TAAGGCACTGCAGAATGGGTACATATTATCACAGAGAAAAACACAACACAATATACAATCCACTTGATGGAGAAAGACGTCTCACTCTTTCCTCTGTCGATGTACCTGTGATCAGACATGTAACCTTGAGGGGATGCTGACATTTTGAAAAGTTGCTGTTCGTTTCCGAATGGCACTGAAGGGATAATCCACAATGGAAGTCCAACTAAACACACGCTTTGTTAAATAAGTTTGAAACTACATCTTACTGTGGACTACTTCGAAGATCGTGAGTTCGCTCGCATTGACGTCCCAACACATGTTGCACACGTCGATACTGGTGATGACAGCTTGTTGCTGATTGGCTGAATCCATGTTGAATGACAAGGTGTAGGTAGGGAGAATTTGAACAATGTGTTGTCTGTCGTGTATACACGTAGTTTGCGAACGCGACCTACAAATGGTTATCGATATTTATTAAATTCTATCACGCACTAGATGTTTAAATTCATATGCATTGATTCTGCATCACGAGGCTTAATAACGAGATCAATATCGTTTAGCTTTTTTTTTTTATAAATTAACCTTATCGCAGAAAACCGATCGAAGTAAGAATCAAGGGACATTGGTAGCCCAGCGGTTAAGGTGTTCGCTCGCCACGCCGTAGATCCGGGATCAATTCCCCAAATGGGTATAAGCTGTGGAGACCTTTTCAGCTGTCCCGTACCGTTATATTGCTGGAACATTCTATCGTGCACATTAAACAATAAACAAACAAACAAAAACACAACTGATTTCGAAATTAAAACCTAAAGGTCCGGGTTAGAATTGATCTTCAGTAACACATGCTTGTCGCAGGAGTCGACTAACGGGATCGGGTGGTCAAGCTCGCTGACTTGGTTGACAGACGTTATCGTATCCTCATTGCGTAGATCGATGGTCATGCTGTTGGTCATTTTATTGTCTGGTCCAGACTTGATTATTTACAGACCGCCGCCATATAGCTGGAATATTGCTGAAAGCGGCGTTAAACAACCAACAAACCAACCAACCAACTAAAGTCCTAAGACCATAGAAGTATTGCACGTGAATCGTGCAGTTCCTCCGTGTACGGGGCGGTGGGGTAGCCTAGCCGAGTGGTTAAAGCGTTCACGCGTCACGCCGAAGGCCAGTGTTACAATGTGTGAAGTCTATTTCAGGTGTCTCCCGCCTTGTCCATTTCCCATTTTACTCTTGCTTGCTCTGATGCAGATTATGACCAGTCATCTACAAGTTGATGGACTAATACAACTCACCGAGAGGTAGCCATCATGTTCAATTTGCAAATTTATCTCAGTCTTTGATTTGCAGACTTTCTGCATAGTTTCTGCAAAAACAAAATGTTGATGATCGGATGTCCATGTCAGCAACACGGGAGCTCGATCAAGATTAGATTGCTCTGGACTTTTTGCAAAGACGTGGACGTGTCTCTTGGCCTGCTGACGAAGGTCATACGGAAGGTCATACGTAAGGTCATACGGGGTGGTTGTGTGCTGGTTTGTCGTTTTGTTTTATTTTTGTTGTTTTTTTGTTGTTTGTGGTGTTGTTTTTTTGTGTGTATTTATTTATTTTTTTTTTTTTTTTTTTTTTTTTTTTTTTATTTATTTATTTTTTTTTTTTTTTGGGTACGCCACGACTTCAGAATGGGGGGATTACAATTACCTTTTCGCGTGGAGCATTTCTGGGACGTCAAGGTACACCAGCAACGGAGGCCGGACAGTGCTGCAGGAGGGATGGACAAGACTCCCTGAAATTATCATTTGGAGAAAGACCCGTGAAGATCCGGGTTAGAATTGTTCTTCAGTAGTCCATGCTTGTCGTAAGAGGCGACTATCGGAATCAGATGGTCAAGTTCGCAGCCTTGGTTGACACACGTCATCGTATCCCACTTACGTAGATCGATGCTCATGCTGTTGATCACTGGATTGTCTTATCCAGACTCGATTTCTTATAGATCGAGGTCATATATGTGGAATATTGCTGGATGCGGCGTAAAACTAAACTCACTGACTCATTGGGAGAATGATTCAGACTATACCATGCCACGCCCAACAATTACCACAATATACTACCATGTTTGCTATATGGGTGGGTTAGGCTTGTTCCTTCCGTTTCCTTTCTCTGTGTATTTCTGATACCAGCTGCTATTTTCCGATTTCCCTTCCTTCAGGAAGATCGTCACGATATGGCTGCAATATTGCCGATGTGACGTCAAATATTAACTCACTCACTCCTTCAGGAAGAATATATACTGACGCACAAAAGAAAGTATACACCTGGTACTTTGGGTTTATTTTCCCCAAATAACGTAAATATTTTAAAAGGTATTTTGATTTCAAGTCACAAACACTGTGTGGCAGAAACACCAGGTGTGTACTTTTATTTGCACGTCAGTTGTACAGACATCCCACATGATGGGGGATACACAACATACAATGTGTATGTAACATACAGTCCCACCTTAAATTCAAAATGGAGATATGATACTGGTCGAATACAAATCACAAATCTATACTCTTTTTTCCAGCATAAATGATTAATCATCACGTGTGAAAGGCCACATTGTCAGATTGTGTCAGATAAATATACTGTAAACCAAGTTCAATATATGTCAGCGGCAACATACAAAGCCTGCGCCACGTGGAGGCGAACTGCGTGCATCAGCCACGCCAAAACATACATCACGGCTAGATAATCAATACTAAACAATAATGTAGGAAGGAGACGTGGATTGTTTCATCAACTTTTTCCGTCCATGTTTTTCCATCCATATATCACTGACACTGACTCACCGATTCTGAGTGTTATATACCAAGAGAAAACAAGAAACCTCCTTAAAATTATGATTTATTTTATTTCCATGCGCTGCATGTAATAGATGCTAAGAAGGTGTAAATTGTAAAACGAAAATGTTTAAGTGTGAGGTAGGCAAATATATGCAAGGACATATCACATACATAGTTCTGACACACGAAGCCTTCGCCAAGCAGAAAATGGGTACCCGGTGGGATAAGTCATTATGACTATTAATCTTCTAGCGTCTCACATGCCGCTTTGGTTATCCATATTAATAGTGTCCATGATGTTGTGTGCGCTTTAAGCAGAAATTGTTTTAATTGTCAAGGTATTTTTTAGAGTCGGCAGTATAAAAAACCCACTGTTATTATTTTGTCCGTAAACTAATACAAAATGTGAACCCTTAACTCATTACCTTTAGTTGTTTAAGTGAGCGAGTGTGTGAGTGAGATTGATTTTAGGCAGCTGTTAGCAATATTCCGGCGGGTGACACCAGAAATGTGCTTCACACATTGTACCCATGTCGGAAATCGAACCGTGACGAGCGAACGCTTTAACCACTAGGCTACCCTACCGCGTATGTGTAGTGTGTAATGTAGAATACTAATTATATAGTACCGTATATTATGTAGACCAAGTTAGGTTACCATGTCGACTCTGGCAGACTCAGGGTAAAATATATACTGCCCATCAAAAGTTTAGACTCACTAGTGTACATGTAGCCACTTACTTCAGGCAACCGTTCTAAACTAAATTTTGCAAAATATTCCATACTGTTTAAAGATGCTGTTTATACATGAACTGATATATTGTAAAACAAATTCATAACGTTGAAAAGAGTATTGTCATGTGTTCAATAAATGATGAAACTCGGTTTAAAATGGCGAATTCTTATCAACACTTTACACCAAAACGCAGCTGTTCACATGCACGATATTTGCATATACTTTTCAGCAGTTTGATGCATGATCCTCGTGCAATTAATCTGCATAATGTTTGCAGTTGTTTCCCCCAAGTTAGTGGAGAATTTCATTTCTTTGTAACCATATATACATACATAACATATAGTGAATGTTTTAAGTGAGGTAAACTTTTGATGGGCAATATATGATACATGACAAAATTAATAACTACGTTGTTTGTTATTATCTGTGTGTAATACAGTTCTTTTAGTCAACGCAATTACTTTCATTTCGCAGGAAAATCGTAAAAAAAATATCATTGGAATTCAATGATAATGATTATTCTCACTGTCTAAGGGATCATTGACATGGTTGGCACATTCTTTGATTCGAAATCCATTTTATATGTAGTAGTAATAAATCAACGATGAAATTTATTTCCATTCTGGTTCTGGTTTTATCTTCGAGTTTTCGTGAATTCTGACAACGAGCTGGAAGTGTACGCTGCTCAATAACTACTGATTAGTTTCGTTTCGAATTCACCCTCAGCCATTTTAAGGTTGAGTGAGTGGTGAGAAAAAATATTATAATAAGCGTAATAAGGGCTTGTAAAATAGCTCTGGAACAAATTTCACTTTTCTGTGCTGCTCGAGATTCATTATATCAGGGATACTCTACAACATTATATAGTCTCCCTACTTATATGTGATGACGGGTCACCAAAGCTGAAATAGTAAACAACATATGACAAACACGTGTTTCATAGATTTTAATAGATAAAGAATTTTAAAGATAATATTTTGAACTGGACAAATTGCTTGCAACTATTTTCATACTTGATCTCATCTGTGTCATTACGAATGAAATTTATGATGTCTTTCAGTGGCATTTAGAAGTTGTACATTGATGTCCAAGATATTTTTATGGATTAAACTGATGTCCAAGATATTTTTATGGATTAATATTAATATTAATATTTTATGAATTTATGATTAGGGTGTTTATGAAATTATAAATTATAAAGAACTTTAATCCATAAAAATATCTTGGACACCAATGAAATTTATGTTCATCCTTGTTTAAGCAGAAAAGGGGGCGTGGTCGATTGGTTGTGTTGTCGTAAATCCAAACAGTTAACCCTATGGACCTTTATATACGTATATTTACCAGTTATGTATGTATGAAACAACATTGATACAGCTTTATTTCATGTGATAGTGAAAGATATGGCATATTAAGCGCGTAGTTGATTGTCGTAAAAGTGCCGGAAAACGTCATATCAAAATGGCGACCCGCATGGCGAGTCGTGTTTGGAAAAGAGGATGTCAAAGGTTAAAAAGGTATAGACTTAATTGTTGTTTTGAATGATTCATGCTAATTAGTCCTCCCTGCATTGCGTGATGTTTGTAAACAAGTCGTTGTCGGAACCCAAACGTTAATGCAAATGATTTCCGAAAAGAGTGTTTGTGTGACATTGAAAACCTCATATTTTGCATGAATCGCTGTTAAAATAATCACTGATGACGGATTACAAATAATAACGGTGTATGAAACAGAAATAAAGCCTACTTTCTTAAGGAGTGTAACGTGTCTATTTGAAACTCTGCCACAGGTAAATATGGTATATACTGGTGAATAGTTGGTCCGATATTTGTGAAAGGTGTTAACTTAAATATTTTCTGATGCAACTCTGATTTCTCGAAACTGTTCGTTAGGTGATTATTATTATTCAAATAATACTTTCCCAGAAGAGGTTAAAAGGGTCTATCATTGTGCGAATATGAGTAATATTACAGCTATATCATGGTGGCGGTCTGTAAATAATTGAGTCTCGACAAGACAATCCAGTGATCAACAGCAGGAGTACCGATCTACGCAAGTGGGATACAATGACATGTGTCAACCAAGTCATACTACCTGATGCCGTTAGTTGCCTCCCAGTGGAATAATGTAAAAACTATTTGCCTCCCGTGGGTTACTGAAGATCGATTCTAACACAGATCTTCATGGGTCGTGCGAAAGTGACTTGCTTGTATATACAGCATGAAGGGTTGGAAGGAATGTAGAAGGACATGTGTGCTCATGTGACCACAGCCCACGTGACCACAGCCCACGAGGTCCCCTTGTTTTAATGGGACTACCAGACCCGTGAAGATCCGAGGTAGAATAGGTCCTCCCCAACCCATGCTTGTCGTAAGAGGCGACTAATGGGATCGGATGTTCAGGCTCGCTAAATGGTTGACACATGTCATCGGTTCCCAATTGCGCAAATCGATGCTCATGCTGTTAATCACTGGATTGTCTGGTCCAGCCTCGATTATTTACAGGCCGCCGCCATATAGCTGGAATATTGCTGAGTGCGGCGTAAAACTTAACTCACTCACTAATGGGACTCCCAACAGTAATGATTGGAAAAGAGTGCTTGATCTGAAAGGGGATCCTAGGGGCAGTGTTAGAGTTGGGTTTATCCTACCCTAACTTGCACACCTAACCCTAAGAATTGAAGGGGCAAGCAAAAGATCTGTGAAGAAAAATCCAAAGCCAGCAACATCTGCCAATTCATGCTACATAAGATGTACATATACTCCACTTAATTGCATTTAATGCTCCACAAAATTGCTTTAAATATTCCCTTGGCCACATGACCACTCAAATGATCCTCTAATTTTCAGCACCCCCAGATGTCGGAGTTTCTGCAGCAGCACCCCTGGTGCAGACATCACCTCCGTGCCACTCTCCAAGCCCCTTCCCAACATTGCTGCCCCCAATACGCCTCAGTGTCTGGGTCATCGGCTGATACTCAGGTCACAGTGCTCAACAATGGCCTCTCTGTGGCTTCACAGAACAAATTTGGACAATTCTGTACAGTAGGAGGTATGGAGAGATTTTTGTGTTTTGTTTGTTGTTTAACACCATACTCCAATATTCCAGCTATATGGTGGCTGTGTGTACATAATCAAATCTGGATCAGGCAATCCAGTGATCAACAGCATGAGCATCGATCTAAAAAAATGGGAAACAATGACATGTATCAACCAAGTCAGTGAGCGTGACAACCCGATCCCGATAGTTGCCTCTTATGACAAGCATGGGTTGTTGAAGACCAAATCTAACCCAGATCTTCAGGGTTTTTACTAAGCAATTACCATAGCAATATGACTGGAATATTAAATAGGTGAGTGTCAAAAATTTAATGCTGATTTTAAGAAATGTGTATCAAATTCACAAGTTTAATGAAATTGATATATATTGATAATTTTTATAACCTGCCACTATCAGGGTATGAAACTCCCAAAATGTCAGCCAGACCACAGGGCTGGTTAGATGTAAAACTTGCCAGCCCTGACCATAACTTACCTGCCCACAAAAATACTAATTTACTTAGTATAATTAAATTATAATTTTGTAAAATATTGAAGAAACTAATACCAATGCAAGAAAAGTATTAACTGTTTATTTCAGATTTGTGAGTGAATTAATAATGATTTATTATCCTGAAATATGATGGATATCTTCATACACATGTCTAAATTTTAGCACGACCATCGGGCAGGTGAATTTGAGAATCTGGCAGTCCATGTTGAAAATAACCTGTTCTGGGCAGGCAGGTATTTCGAACGCTGCTACTATGACTAGTGAATGTTGAACGATCCTGTGATATTTTTAACATAACAGTCAAATTCTGTTCCTATTTATAATATCTCAGTATTGTATTTCCTCCCGTGTTTCAGTTGTGTTGGACTCCGGGTCAAGATATGAAGTTGCATACCCCAGTGGGATCTCTCACTTCCTGGAGAAACTGGCTTTCTGTGTAAGTCATTCATTATAGAGGCTTATGTGGTTAAATGCGTTAGCTCATCAATTCGATTCCCCAATGGGTACAAGAACATTTTATCATTGCAACTAAATGGTGCATCACCACCATTGATGCAGGGACCTGGTTAAGCATGCTTAATGAAGGTCCCTAGCTGTCAGTTGTGAGAGGACGGTGGGTTGGCCTTGTGGTTAAAACGTTCGCTTGTGATGCTGATAGCCAACATGGGTACAATGTGTGAAGCCAATTTCTGGTGTCCCCCGCTGGAATATTATTAAAAGCGGCATAAAACCATATTCACTCACTCACTCAGTTGCAAGAGACAACTAAATAGGTCAAGGTCGTGAAGTAGGCTAATGATTCTTGACTTAGCTAATTATCCACTTGAAGTATTGTGCCTTAGCGATGAATTGATTCTTTACACTAGTTTTCAATCACTTTCAAAGATGTACTTTTAAACGGCACACACTTTGTTGTCAGCTAGCCTGGCTTGTAAGTATGATCTTAGTGATGCTTTAAATCACCATTCAATTGTGTTGTACTTTCTACAATTATACTGATATTCTGCTTCATCGGCAGATTTTATGTATCTAGTTCCATGGAGTTCTGAAGACACACTCACTCACTACAATTACACTACCTGCTTCATCGTATCTGTTCCATGGTGTTCTGAAGACACACTGGGGCTGATGAGGGTTCGTCGATTCCCCACATGGGTGCAATGTGTGAAGACCATTTCTGGTGTCCCCCGCCGTGATATTGCTGGAATATTGCTAAAAGCAGTGTAAAACTAAACCCACTCACTCAGTCTGAAGACACAAATGTTTACTACCTACAACAAAAGATACAGGTAGCTTGCATCAATATTGTAATCATTATCCATGCTTAACTAATAGGAAGATAATCCATTACCAGGACAACTGACATCCTTGTAATTTGTTTTGCAGTCAACAACAGAATATGAAAATCGGGATCACATCTTGCAAGAACTTGAAAAGCATGGCGGAATATGTGACTGTCAGGGATCAAGGTACTGTCTAAAATTGATGTGTGACTGTCAGAGTTATGTAAAGGGGTGGGGAGGGTATATGTGGCTGTCAGAGGTCAGGTATTGTATAATGAGGGGACGAGATATGCTACCATCATGGAGTATGGGACCATAGAGACGGTGCTGGGGACATGTGCCTGTCAGGGGGCAGGGCACTATAAACATTGGGGACAGTGGGAGGGTATATGTGGCTGTCGGGGGTCAGATATTGTACAGTGGGGAGGGGGATATGCTACCATCATGGGGTATGGGACCATAGAGAGGGTGCTGGGGACATGTGCCTGTCTGGGGGCAGGGCACTATGAACATTAGGGACAGTGGGAGGGTATATGTGGCTGTCAGGGGTCAGGTATTGTATAATGAGGGAGGGATATGCTACCATCATGGGGTATTGGACCATAGAGAGGGTGCTGGGGACATGTGCCTGTCTGGGGGCAGGGCACTATAAACATTGGGGACAGTGGGAGGGGATATGTGGCTGTCAGAGGTCAGGTATTGTATAATGAGGGGAGGGCACCATCATGAGGTATTGGACCATAGAGAGGGTGCTGGGACATGTGCCTGTCAGGGGCAGGGCACTATAAACATTGGGGACAGTGGGAGGGGATATGTGGCTGTCGGGGGTCAGATATTGTACAGTGGGGGAGGGGATATGCTACCATCATGGAGTATGGGACCATAGAGAGGGTGCTGGGGACATGTGCCTGTCTGGGGGCAGGGCACTATAAACATTAGGGACAGTGGGAGGGTATATGCGGCTGTCGGGGGACAGATATTGTACAGTGGGGAAGGGGATATGCTACCATCATGAGGTATTGGACCATAGAGAGGGTGCTGAGGACATGTGCCTGTCTGGGGGCAGGGCACTATAAACATTGGGGACAGTGGGAGGGTATATGTGGCTGTCAGAGGTCAGATATTGTATAATTAGGGAAGGGGATATGCTACCATCATGAGGTATTGGACCATAGAGAGGGTGCTGGGGACATGTGCCTGTCAGGGGCAGGGCACTATAAACATTGGGGACAGTGGGAGGGGATATGCGGCTGTCAGAGGTCAGGTATTGTATAATGAGGGGAGGGGATATGCTACCATCATGGAGTATTGGACCATAGAGAGGGTGCTTCAGACATGTGCCTGTCAGGGGGACAGGGCACTATACACAATGGGGACAGTGGGAGAAGGGATATGTAAATCGGGGGTCAGATATTGTACAGTGGGGAGGGGTCGATATGCCCATCATGGAGTATGGACCTTCTGAGGGTGTTGGTACAAATGTGCCCATCAGGGGCAGGGCACTATAAACATTGGGGACAGTGGGAGGATAGCCTTCAGAGGTCAGATATGAGTACAGTGGGGAGGGGGATATGCTACCATCATACAGTGGGAGGATATGCGGCTGTCAGAATGTCAGGTATTGTATAATGAGGGAGGATATGTTACCATGTCTTCTGTATGGGACCTGGAGAGGGTGCTTGGACATGTGCCTGTCAGGGGCAGGGCACTATAAACATATGATAAACATTAGGGACAGTGGGAGGGGATATGTGGCTGTTGGGGCTCAAAGTGTATTAAGATCACTGTTTCAACTGATAGCATACCCCTAGAATGGGTTATTTTTACTTTTAGACAGAAGCCTTAAAGGGCAGATGTCTAACCAAACTCATGAGTGGCACTGGTACAAATGACTGGTGTGTTCACAAGAATCATCAACAATGATGAAGAAGCCTTCAGATGTCTTCTGAGGGCACTGGTACAAATAGACCATGCCCCTAAATGGGTGTGTTTTGGAAGAAGCCTTCAGATGTCTTCTGAGGGCACTGGTACAAATAGACCATGCCCCTAAATGGGTGTGTTTTGGAAGAAGCCTTCAGATGTCTTCTGAGGGCACTGGTACAAATAGACCATGCCCCTAAATGGGTGTGTTTTGGAAGAAGCCTTCAGATGTCTTCTGAGGGCACTGGTACAAATAGACCATGCCCCTAAATGGGTGTGTTTTGGAAGAAGCCTTCAGATGTCTTCTGAGGGCACTGGTACAAATAGACCATGCCCCTAAATGGGTGTGTTTTGGAAGAAGCCTTCAGATGTTTTCTGAGGGCACTGGTACAAATAGACCATGCCCCTAAATGGGTGTGTTTTGGAAGAAGCCTTCAGATGTCTTCTGAGGGCACTGGTACAAATAGACCATGCCCCTAAATGGGTGTGTTTTGGAAGAAGCCTTCAGATGTCTTCTGAGGGGCACTGGTACAAAACAACAGACCATACCCCTAAATGGGTGTGTTTTGGAAGAAGCCTTCAGATGTCTTCTGAGGGCACTGGTACAAATAGACCATGCCCCTAAATGGGTGTGTTTTGGAAGAAGCCTTCAGATGTCTTCTGAGGGCACTGGTACAAATAGACCATGCCCCTAAATGGGTGTGTTTTGGAAGAAGCCTTCAGATGTCTTCTGAGGGCACTGGTACAAATAGACCATGCCCCTAAATGGGTGTGTTTTGGAAGAAGCCTTCAGATGTCTTCTGAGGGCACTGGTACAAATAGACCATGCCCCTAAATGGGTGTGTTTTGGAAGAAGCCTTCAGATGTCTTCTGAGGGGCACTGGTACAAATAGACCATGCCCCTAAATGGGTGTGTTTTGGAAGAAGCCTTCAGATGTCTTCTGAGGGCACTGGTACAAATAGACCATGCCCCTAAATGGGTGTGTTTTGGAAGAAGCCTTCAGATGTCTTCTGAGGGCACTGGTACAAATAGACCATGCCCCTAAATGGGTGTGTTTTGGAAGAAGCCTTCAGATGTTTTCTGGGGGCACTGATACAAATAGACCATGCCCCTAAATGGGTTTGTTTTGGAAGAAGATTTCAGATGTTTTCTGAGGGCACTGATACAAATAGACCATGCCCCTAAATGGGTGTGTTTTGGAAGAAGCCTTCAGATGTCTTCTGAGGGCACTGATACAAATAGGCCATGCCCCTAAATGGGTGTGTTTTGGAAGAAGCCTTCAGATGTCTTCTGAGGGCACTGGTACAAAAAGACGATACCCCTAAATGGGTGTGTTTTGGAAGAAGATTTCAGTATGCTCGGAAGTTTTGCTTGGAAATTTTAATATGTCATCTGATTATAATTAATTCTTCTGTCTTGGAAATTGACTCAATGCTTGAAGGAAAATGATGACCTGCCTTATGTGTCTTTGTTCCCTGATTGACCCGTGAAGGTCCTGGTTAGAATGTTGATCTTCAGTAACTCATGCTCGTTGTAAGAGACGACTAACGGGATCGGGTGTTCAAACTCGCTGACTTGTTTAACACATGGCATCGGTTCCCAATTGCGCAGATCGATGCTCATGCTGTTGATCACTGGATTGTCTGGTCCAGACTCGATTATTTACAGACCGCTGCCATATAGCTGGAACATTGCTGAGTGCAGCGTTAAAACTAAACTCACTCAATCTTTGTTCCCTGATTGGTGCACATGTTGTCAACCCCTGGTTTCTTTGACACAAATGTGATATAACGAGAATATTGCCTAGCTCACAGTGCAATAACATTTTCTCACTGTTCTTTTGTCTCACTGTGTCATGAGAATGTGTCATGTGAGGTCATTTTGTCATGTTTCAGAGACACAATGATATACGCAGCATCAGCAGAAACAACCGGACTGCCAGCTGTAATGAACATTCTGTCGGAAGTGGTCCTTCGCCCCAACATAACAGACAATGAGGTTAGTTTGTGATCACCTTCAGTCAATATGACCTGTGAAGGTCCGGGTTAGAATTGGTCTTCAGCAACCCATGCTTGTCGTAAGAGGTGACAAACGGGATAATGTGATCAGGCTCGCTGACATAGTTCACAGATGTAATTGTATCCCAATTGCGTAGATCGATGCTCATGCTGTTGATCACTGGATTGTCGAGTCCAGAGTCAACCATGCTCTTGAGTTCCACCCAGGTTTTAAATGTCCGAGACATGCATAACAAGGGTTTCCATTCAACATTGAGCTGGGACGCTGTGATATAAGGAGTACCATGACAAACGCCATCAAACCCAACTCACTCAGTCTTCTGGAGATAAATATTTTTAAATAATTTTCATCTGAAAGCTAAATAGATGGAACGTCCAATATTATCATCCTCCTTTTGAAAGATAAAGATCCACATAATTGTAATAACATTGATGAAATGCTGATGTATATGAAGTAGGGGGTGTCGCGATACGCGAATGTATCGATGCATCGATACATTTTTACTGACGATACGATACGCGATTCATGCTTGCGCGTATCGATTCCTAATTTAAAACTTTATCGATTCAAATTTTTATGCTATATCCATCTCCTTCAAAGTCTTGATAGTAAAATTATACGAGATCGCTCCGATAAACAGATGTAGCTAGCTTTACTTAAAAAATAGGTTGGAAACTAACAGCTTTTGTGATTGGCTAGACTATTTTGATGGACCAATCAGCGAGCGCGTACGTTGCCGGTAAGGTAATGCTATGAAAAGGCGCGAAAATTATGTATCGCGATACGTATCATATCGTGACCTTAAAATCGTGATACGTATCGTATCGTGAGATTGGTGTATCGTGACACCCCTAATATGAAGTGGGTTTGTTTGTACAGCTTGAAGACTCCCGGGTGGCGATATCATTTGAACTGGAGAATCTCAACATGCAGCCTGACCCCCGAGCCCCTCCTGATGGAGCTCATCCATGCTGTGAGTTGTACTTGAACATTAAACGTTATGGCTACTTTAGGGGACTAGAATATCCAAATATGAGTGTAAAAGTGCAGTATCACTGAGATCTGGTTGTTAGATATGTATTGTGATACAGACTGGCAAAACCACTGGTATCACGATACACCGAAACAACCAATATGACTCCTTGTTTCTTAATATCGCAGACGCAATATAAGCCAAGACCACAATATCATACTATTATTTTTGACAAAATGGTTGTTTTTGAATGTACTAGTTTATGGGTGCATCCACTGTTACCATGTCATTGTGTTCTAGGGTAGTTGGGTAGGGTAGTGGCTTAAATGTTCGCTCGTCACGCCGAAGACCCGGGTTCGAGTCCCCACATGGGTACAATGTTTGAAGCCCATTTCTGGTGTCCACCACCGTGATATTGCTGGAATATTGCTAAAAGCGGCGTAAAACTAAATGCACTCACTCACAAAAACCTTGAAACAAGAGTGTTTTCCCGTCGTGGAGAGAGCAAGCCCATCTGAATCTTACACCTTTTAAACTCAATTACTCAAATACGAACTCATGCTCCAGGCTGCCTTCCCGAGACAACACCGTAGGTCTCCCCAGGTTCTGTCCTGCTGAGAATATTGCTGTCCACACACGGAGCAGTCTGTACACATACCTCAAGAACTTCCACACACCCAGGAGGATGGTGGTGGCGGGGGTGGGGATGGACCACCAGCACCTGGTGCAGCTCACGCAGGAGTACTTCATCAACAGGAAGTCACCCATCTGGACAGAGCATGCTGGGATCATCGACACCAACAAGGCAGACGACAAGTCGGTGGCACAGTACACCGGTGGCCATTTACAAGTAAGTCGGAGATACATTGTGTTTGTGCGAGTTGGTTGTATTGTCAGGGAGAAGTGTGTGGTTATGTGATGGTGAACTTTTCAGTGAATTTGAGCTGAAACCCCATCTAAGGATGTTGTTCAAACTGAAACCGCATCTCTGGATGTTGTTCAAACTGAAACCCCATCTATGGATGTTGTTCGAACTGAAACCCCATCTATGGATGTTGTTCGAACTGAAACCGCATCTCTGGATGTTGTTCGAACTGAAACCACATCTATGGATGTTGTTCGAACTGAAACCACATCTATGGATGTTGTTCAAACTGAAACCGCATCTCTGGATGTTGTTCAAACTGAAACCGCATGTTTGGATGTTGTTCAAATTGAAACAGCATCTATGGATGTTGTTCAAACTGAAACGTCATCTATGGATGTTGTTCGATATTGAAACCGCATCTATGGATGCTGAACCAAACTAAATGGCACACAATGTATGGATGCTGTTCAAATGAAACCCTATGTACAAATTACATTTAAAGTGAAACCCTCTGTATGGATAGCCTTTGAACTGAAACCACTTGTATGGGTCGTGTTTGAACCAAAACCAAATGGCACACAATGTATGGATGCTGTTCAACTGAAAGCCTATGTACAGATTACATTTAAATTGAAACCCCATGTATAGATAGTTTTGAACTGAAACCACTTGTATGGGTCATGTTTGAACTGAAACCAAATGTAACACAATGTTATCGAACTTAAAAGGAAAGCATTTATCAGTGTTGAACTCAAGGTCAAGACAGAATAGGCCGGAAATTGACTGTCTTTTGAACTTTCAACAGGTGGAGAAAGATTTATCAGACGTGAGTCTAGGTCCGACTCCGTTCCCCGAACTGGCGCACGTGGTGATTGGGCTTGAGAGCTGTTCCCACCAGGACCCCGACTTCGTGGCCTTCTGTGTCCTCAACATGATGATGGGAGGTGGCGGGTCCTTCTCCGCTGGCGGGCCAGGCAAGGGCATGTACACACGCCTGTACCTCAACGTTCTCAACAGGTAGGGATATTACAACAAGCCACTATATGTTGTGCCTGGCTGGTTTCCTTTCTTTTGTTGTAATGATTATCCATTCAAATTGGAGTCTCTTAAAGACTTGAAAGTGCGTATGTATTGATCACCAAGCCATTCTACTTGAACACCACTTAACCTCAGCAGGTTCTGGCACAGGAGAACTGCATGTAGACTTCATGCTCTCTCCCTGAGGAGTATACTATGTGAGTGAGTAAGGTTTTACGGCCCTTTTAGCAATTTTCCAGCAATATCATGGCAGGGGACACCCGTAATGGGCTTCACACATTGTACCCATGTGGGGAATCGAACCCGAGTCTTCAGTGTGACGAAAGAGCTCTTTAACCACTAGGCTACCCCACCGCCCCCAGTATACTAAGTCCATCCTCTGTATGCAGGTACCACTGGATGTACAATGCTACAGCCTTCAACCATGCCTACCAGGATACTGGGCTCTTCTGCGTCCACGCCAGCTCGCACCCATCACAGGTAAATAGCATGCATGCCCCTCGTTAGGGCAGTGGAGGCTGATCAGGAAGAACCATATCGGGGGAATTAATCTCAGATTTTTAAGTGCTTGTGGAAGGCAAAATGAAAAGAATTTTTAAAACCATTCTATCTCGCATATTGCATTTCTCCTGAATGCTCCCATGCTGAGTGGGATTGAACAGTTAGGACATGTATCCTTCATTTTCCTGGCCTTGGAACTTCTCACAATTCAGTCATAATGAGTGAGTGAGTTGTGTTTTACATCGTGAAATGGAGTAAAAGAAATATCCTTTTGTAAAGCAGAGAAATATAAGTTAAACAACATTGTATGAATGATGATGATATAAATATCCTGTGTGTCCTTCCAGCTCACTGAACTTGTCGAGGTCATCGTCAGAGAGATCGTCAACACAGCCGGCAGAATTTTCCCGGTAAGTCTTCATCTGCCTCTGTAAGTCTTCATCAGTCTTCATGAGACATAGGCTTAGAGTTAGGTCCCTTTGGCATGCCAGGATTCGCTGATTTTGGTCCTGTGTTCTTGATTTTGCAAATGTAATGAGATGCTGCTATCTGCATAATGTTAGACTTTCCACCTGCATTATGCAAGCATGACATCACATAACTGAAATGCCATCAGAGTTCAAAGATTTGATACCTCTGACTGATTTGATACCTCTAATTTTAAACTTATCCTATCTCACGACTTGCACCTCTCTCTCTTCATTCGACCATGAGTGGAAACGAATTAAAACTTTGCTCAAGACCTACCTTGCCCCTCTCCCCGTGCTGTGCATGCCTTCCTGTCTAAGTCGTGCTCGCTAGTCCATGACAGCACGAGGCATGCGCAGTCCTCACCCACATGATCACCTCACATACTCATTCTCTTTCTTGTCGCTCCACTGAGTGGACGTGAAAAATTTTCGTCTGAGAATTGCTCAAAATGGTTAAGCCTGTTAAGGCCAGTAAGCGGAAGTTTTCGTCCGTTGTAATAAAGTATTTTCAGCATGGGACCCTCACACATCGTGTGTTGATTGTGTGGGTGTTTGTGACTGGGACACACGCTGTCCTAAGTGTTCAGGTCTGTCTAATGAGGCGTTTAAATCTTACAAGCGTGCTTGTGCCAGGCGTTTGGCAGATAGGGCTAGGACTATTTCTGCGGGGTCTGGTCCATCTCCCGCTAAGAAACAATGCTTAGATCGCCCCACCCTCACTGCTCACCGTTCTCAATCGGCCGTCTGCGCCTGGCGAAGATTTTATGGGCCTTCGTCAGATTCCTATTTATCTGAGCGTGAGAGGGGCTTTTAGGGGAGGTTCCCTCACCCAGTTTACGTTCTCAGGAGGAGCGTACCAGGGTGGTAATGACCGATATTTCTTCTCACGCCAGACCTGCGATCTACATTATCTCGTAGGTCTGTTTCTTCGGAACGATCACAGACTTCGAGAACTTCTAAGCATTCATCGTCAAAGCGGGGATCGGCGCGGTTGGAACGTACCCGTTCTCCTAATTCCACGGTTTCATCTAACCGGAACAATTCACCCACACGAGTTGAATCACCATCTGGTGCGAAGGTTCGAATGCGTTCTTCCACGGCTGGCAAGAGTCGTTCTAGGTCTCGTTCACTTTCCCGAGCCGGCTCACCCGGCCGAGCGGCTCACCCCGCCGAGCCGGCTCACCCTGCCGAACCGGCTCACCCTGCCGAACCGACTCACATCGCCGAGCCGGCTCACACAGCCGAGCCGACTCACATAGCCGAACCGGCTCACCTTACCGAACCGGCTCACCTTGCCGAACCGACTCACATCGCCGAGCCGGCTCACACAGCCGAGCCGACTCACATAGCCAAACCGGCTCACCTTACCGAACCGGCTCACCCTGCCGAACCGACTCACATCGCCGAGCCGGCTCACACAGCCGAGCCGACTCACACAGCCGAGCCAGCTCACCAAGCCGAACCGACTCACCCTGCCGAACCGGCTCACACGGCCGAGGCGGCTCACCAGAACATCCTCGAATGAGTTCAGTTGATCGAACTGATTCACGTAGTCGAATGGGTTCCTCTGGCCGTACTGTTTCACGTACTCAAATAGGTTCACCAGGACGAACCGCTTCACATTCCCGACTCAATTCACCTCAACAGGTGTTTCCGTTCGACTCACCACAGCGTTTTGATTCCCGTAGTCGTTCAGTCTCACCTAGTCGAAGTGGTTCGCCATTTCCATCCGGTTCACCTAACCGCTTGGTGTCTTTGCGTCAGAGGGATAATAGAAATCGGTCTCATTCACCTCAGGGGAATCAGAATATCCCCTCTAGCCAGCCTAGTGCTAGTAGCGTCTTCACGGTCAGTGCCTTCCCATGATAGTACACATCAGCAGCGCCGTTCTGTGCGGGTGGTTTCACCTGCTAGGCAGCGTTGCGGCTTCAGTGGATCAGCGTTCACCTTCCGCCTTTCCACTTCTATTTTGCCCGGTCACAGATTATTGCTGAGTCTTGGAATCCTGCTATTGATTCGGCTCAGCGCCCGATTTAGATACCATGCTTCGTGCCGTTCGTCTGCTTGGAATCAGTGTCACTTTCGTCCTCACATGTTCAACAATCGTCTGGCGTGCTTAGCAATAATCGTTCTGGGGATTTGAGGGATCGGACTCGATCTCAGACTACTTTCCCTTCACCTGGGCAGTCAGACATCTCCACTCCTGATGGCAGTTTTGATGTTGTTGAACCGGCTCCGCGTGTTAGCCTGGATAGTTGAAAAACTTCAGCTACCTCTTAGTAAAATCTCCAGATGATTTGGCCCGTCTTATGCCATGACTAATAGAGATGTTGCCAGTATCACACTTTCTTTGCGTCCATGTCTTCAACAATTGCCTTCTTCTCTTGGCGGCTTTCAACAAGCTTAGAAGGGCCGAAGGATGGTTTGTCTGCTCAAGGTTCAGACCATCCACGGCACATACTCATGGTGTGAAACTTTGGTCAGCGGCACCTTCAGTCGATGATGACATTTCCATGGTCTGTGGCAAAGCGTTCCATTTCGCCGTATTTGGTGGAAGACAGGGAATTGGCTCACTTAGATACTACGGTTCGCCATGCTATCCCTGCCATTAGCTGCATTATTTCAGCTGTTGGCGCTGTTGCTTGCGGAGGCGGTCAACCATGCATATCTGGACCAGGGCGCATACATCAGGGGTAGTATGACTCTGATTTTAGACCAATTCCAGGTGGTCTTGAGCAATTGTCTCATTTTTGGCTATTTACTTGCAATACGGCGACGGGTCCGTTGAATTTCTCCTCATGGGAAGATAGATTCAAGGCTGAATTATTTCGTCAACCATGGTGGGGGATCACGGTGTTCAGTGGGGCTATTGCTGAAATCGCATCAAGGTGGACCGTCTTAACCAATTTCAAGTATCTGTTGATCTCTTGGAATTGCAAAAATTCAGCTCCAGATTCTATTCGGCATCGCCCGAACCGCACAATTACCCCTTCCAACCAAGACCTCCGGGACTGTATGAAAGGCACGGCCTCTCAAGCATCGTGGCAGAGGCAGGAGGCCATTTCGGTGGTTCCGCATCCGCGTAAAGCCTATCGACCCGACACGGGGAACTGGCCATAGACAGTCCAAACAGTGACTCACGGAAGTCAGAGCTCGGATTGGTTCTGCGGATCCGGTGGTTCCAGTGTTCGATTCCCCTGTAGGAGGGAGGTTAGGTCTGTTTGCTCCCAACTGGGAGGTTCTGGGAGATCCTTTTGTCACAATGACTCTCATTCACGGCTATCGACTGCCTGTGGTCGGGGATCCACCCCTCACAACTCAACCCTTGCAGCAAATATATCCTCTGGATCGGGCTGCAGTCCTTTCAACTACAGTCCAAACTCTACTGGAGAAACATGCAATAGAACACCTAGATCAGGTGTGCATAACTCCAGGATTTTACTCCCCGATTTTTCTGGTGCCAAAGAAACACTCCAGCAAGTTGCGTCTCATCTTCAATATGAAGACATTCAACTCTCGATTCCTGCAACAACCACCTCATTTTTGCATGGTATCGGTCAGTCTTCTCCGCTCAATTCTGAAGAAAGGGGATTTCCTCATATCCCTAGATCTTCAAGGCGATACCTGCACATTCGATTCACCCAGATCATCGGAATATCTAAGGTTCACCTTCGGGGCCATCACTACCAATGGAGCGTCCTTCCATTTGGAATCTCTGACCCGTGGCTTTTACTCGGGTGACCAAACCCATCAGCAGTTTCCTACATTCTCGGGGAGTGACCTTCGAAAGCTATATCGACGATTGTATTCAGGCACAACAGGATCCAAACGTTCTTCAAATCCATCGGGAGTTCACCATCAGGCTGCTCAAACAGTTAGGGTGGCTCCTCAATTACGAGAAGTCGGAGTTAACACCGACTCGCAGACTTCAGTTCATAGGAGCAATCTTCGACACAGAACAAGCCAAGTTGTTTGTTCCCCAGGACAGGTGGACCAAAATTCAGCGTCTGGTTCCGCTAGCCTTGGATCACCCCAGAACTCGCCAGTGGCAGGAGTTGTTAGGCGTCTTAACGTCAGCTCAGGCTCTGACTTACAGAGGTCAACTGCAGCTTAAGCCCACTTCAGTTATTTCTCGCCCTCATCTTCAAACCAACAACCCTCAGGTGTTGATTCGGTTACCAGGGAACTACGTCAAATTCTACGTTGGTGGCTCAGCGTACAGAATGTTTGCGCCGGCGTCTCTTTGGTGCCATTCAGTCCAACCCATCAGTTGTTTGTGGGCGCCTCTCTAGAAGGTTGGGGCTTCCACTTCCTTCAGCATCAAGTGGCAGGGCAGTGGTGCGATCCGAAGACAAGTCACTCCACATAAACATTCTGGAGTTCAAGGCAGTATTACTGGCGATTCAGCACTGGGCGGCTCTACTCAAGATGTCTCACCTGCTGATACAGTCCGACAACTCGACGGTAGTGTGGTACATCAATCACCTAGGGTCGACGGGTTCAGCAGCACTCCTACAGTGGACGTTTCGTTTCTATCTTCTGATAGATTCTCTCAACATCGTCGCAAAGAGCCAGGCACATTCCGGAACAAAGAGCGTTCCAGTCGCCATTAAGCCCACAGAGTGGCAACTCCTGCCCAAGATTTTTCGGACGATAATTTACCCGATCTCTCGACCGGTGTCGACCTGTTTGCCACTTTCGGTTCAACTCCCAACTGCCGAGATTAAGTATCTCCAATTCCAGATCCACTAGCTTGGGATCACGACGCCCTGGCCATTCCTTGGGAAGGCCTCAACGCTTATGCGTTTCCACCTCCGGCTCTACTTCACAAGGTCATTCAGAAAATTCTGTTAACCAACAAAGTACAACTACTTTTGGTAGCCCATTTTTGCCAGCCGAAGTTGGTTCGTCGGCCTAAAAGTCTATTCAGTCGAAGCAGCATTCCTCTTCCGTCGCGGGACGACCTACTAGTTCATCCGCTTTCGGTGTATCCGCAGTCACCACAGATGTTCAATCTTCACGCATGGCACATTTGCAGAAATCACTAATAGCCAAAGGTTATTCTCACAGAGTGGCCTCAGCTATCACTGCAGCTCATCGTCACGTCTACCGTTCTTTGTATGGCGATAAGTGGAAGAAATTTGAATGTTATTGTCGGGTCAGAGGGATCGCTTCCCCTACTACTGCTTAAGCCCCAGGTTGTTGCGGAATATTTACAACATTTCGCGGGCTACAAAGGAAACTCAAGGGTTCCACTTTAGCCACCTACTTGGCGGCTCTTAATTCGGTCCTAGCCACGACTTCTGAATGCGAAGGTTTAAATGCGGTACGGAACTGCAGTACTTACTTCGTTCTTTTAAGCTAGCCGACCAATCCAGGAAATTTAGTCCACCAGCTTGGGACTTATCCGTGGTCCTGCACCACTTAGTGTCGAGCATTATGAACCCTTACAGGACAAGGAGTTTGAACAAGTTTCATTCAAGACCTTTTTCTTATTGCCTTGGCCACAGCGGCCGCGTTATATCAGAACTGCATGCTCTAGATATCAACCGTGTCCGTTTTGAACAGAGTAGACATGGCAAGGTATTGTTGGGATTGCTGGGATTTTATTGCAAAACCAGTTGCCAGGTCAACCTGATCGTCTTTTACGATCCCGCCTTTGTCTACCATATTGGGTCCAGCAGATGTTGAAGATCTGTCTCTTTGTCCAGTCAGAGCGCCGCATTTACCTTAAAGCATCGCCAAAAGAGCCGCCGTCTGCGTAAGAGACTATTTATACCCTTGTCTACGGCTTCCAAAGGCGGAAGTTTCTCGCACAACACTCTCATATTGGCTCTGAGCTACAATACTCACGAGCCTACACTTTTGCGGTTTGCCACCACCCTCTGACAGTCAACCCTCATGAAACCAGGGCTTTGGCTTCTACTATGGCGTTGCATAGCAACTGCTCGTTAACTGCCATAATGGAGGGGTGTTTTGGCGATCTGACCGCGGTATTTTCGTCTCATTACCTCAGAGATGTGTCGGTGACCGGATATTCAAGGCCTTCATCAGTTTGGACCATTCGTCCTTGCCCAGCAGTTATCAGCGGCACAACATAAGCAGATAATGAACTTCCTTGTGCTCCGATGCTATATGGATCCCACTGTGCAGTTGATCCCAAGTCGCGATCATTTCTGCTTGTGTACAATCTGAATAAATCTGAAAAACTTTTCTGATTTACGTCTTTATTTCTTCTTCCGGGATTTAGATTTTCTCCTCTCATTTGTTTGAGACTACAGAGAGTAAGCCACCTCACTTACTGTCCTCTGCTCCGCGGAGTAATTAAGTCAGTGAAGTGAGTCCTTCGAAGTGTTACGCCGTGGCGTTCATGCTCCTAAGTGCCTATACACATCTATGTGATCTTATTGTGGTAAGTAATGGAAGTCATAAGATGATGTTGTGGTACTGAGCGTTAAAAATTGTGAGTTTTACCGATTCAATTTCTCTTTCACCCTCCTCGGGGCGGTGTCTGTGGGGGTTGTTTGAAGCAGGGGCTGGCCCGATACTAGTCGTTTGACTTTTATTACGGGGGTACCTTGGAAATCGTGGCGATGCCACTGATTACACTCGTTAAGCTTCGTCCTTTCACTTAGTGAAGGTAGTGACTGAACACCACATTGCTCGGGAATCTCGGGTCCCTGGGAGCAGTTGTGCTTAATAAGTCAATGGGTTCGACCTAACCCTCCATGCGTAGTAACTTGGTAGTTATTGCCCTACCTTGCAGTTGCTTCCCTCACGGTTGTTTGGGTAACACTAGCTGTTATCGCTTGAATTCGGGTAATCTATGACCCACCTTCCTACCGTGGGATAAGTGCAAGTCGTGAGATAGGATAAGTTTAAAATTTGAAAATTTTAACTATAAATTGTATATTATATACTTATCCTATCTCACAGCGATAAAGTCCCTCCCTACCTCCCACTACATAGATTACCACCGTTCCGGTTTTGTCCTTTTATGGCTCCAAGATCGAGAATGAGTATGTGAGGTGATCACGTGGGTGAGGACTGCGCATGCCTCGTGCTGTCATGGACTAGTGAGCACGACTGAGACAGGAAGGCATGCACAGCGCGGGGAGAGGGGCAAGGTAGGTCTTGAGCAAAGTTTTAATTCGTTTCCACTCATGGTCGAATGAAGAGAGAGAGGTGCAAGTCGTGAGATAGGATAAGTATATAAATATACAATTTATAGTTAAAATTTTCAAATTTGATACATCTGATTTGTTACCTCTGACAGATTTGATGCCTCCAATTCATACATGTGACTGATTTGATACCTCTGATTCGATACCTCAAATTTTATGCTTGACTGATTTGACACCTCATATTTGATACCTCAGACTCATTTGATACTTCATACTGATTTGATACCTCTGACTAGGTAATAATGCCTTCTATCCCCAGGATGAGCTGGACCGAGCTAAGCGGCAGGTCCAGTCTATGTTGCTGATGAACCTGGAGTCCCGGCCCGTGGTGTTCGAGGACATCGGCAGACAGGTGCTGGCTAATGGGCATCGCAAACCAGCCAAATACTTTTACGAAGAAATCAGTGAGTATCTGTCAATAGCTTCATTCAGTGTTCATCTTTCATGGTACAGTAATAAACTCTGGATCAGTCTCTGTTTCTCAAATGTTAAACTAGTTACTTCTTCCGTCAGTGTCTGTTAATACTGTACTAAGTGAAGCCAGAGACATATCAGAGTCCCTCATTATATACATGGTTGAAGGACCCGTGAAGGTCCGGGTTAGAATGAGCCTTCAGTAACCCATGCTGTCATAAGAGGCGACTAACGGGATCGGGAGGTCAGGTTCGCTGACTTGGTTGACACATGTCATCGGTTCCCATTTGTGCAGATCGATGCTCTTGCTGTTGATCACTGGATTGTCTGGTCCAAACTCGATTATTTACAGCCTGCTTCCATGTAGCTGGAATATTGCAGAGTGCAAAACTAAACTCACTCACTCACTCATGGTTGAAGGACTTGTGTCAACAAAACTACTAAATATAGTAACATGTGTTATATTTGGGATTACACTTTCTTAGTAAAGTACAGATTTTAGTACTTTTTGAGTTGAGTCCCATCCGGGATTCAAACATAGTATCAGGCTCTTACCACTGGTTCAGATTTAGACTAGGCCTCTTTTTATTACTTGTTAGCTGTTATTTTTCTCACATTTTGTAATGTTAATGAGTAGTTGAAATACAAGTAGATTTTCACTTATTTTAATTGTAAGCAAATGGCGTCAAAATGATGAGAGTAAATAGATATATTTGCTCCTTAATGTGGAATATTCTATGTTTTTTCTTCCTGAGTTTTCAGTAAAATAGTGATTGAAAAGTAATGAGGTGAATTTTCGGGCAATTGTGATATACATGTGATATTATCATTACTAGTCGAGTCCATTGGAGGTCGATAGAATGACAGATACAACTCAATAAACTTATAGACACAAAATAACAGCTGGCTTCTTTCATCATGTAGACAAGATCACTGAGGAGGACATCAGAAGAGTTGCCTCCAGGATGTTACGAAGTAGACCTGCAGTAGCTGCCTACGGTTCTCTAGCCCAGATGCCATCGTACGGGAATATTGAGACAGCACTGGTTAGCAAAGATGGCCGCATGCCAAGGAAGTTCTCACTTTTCCGCTCTTCATGATTGAAGAGTTCTGTAGTTACTAAACTTGTGATATATACACCAGATTGTCATGAGGTATTGAAATACACTCACAGCCAAAGATGGTCCTGTTGGAATTGAACACTGGATGTCAACTGTGGTGTGTGTCACATGTGTTCCACTCCTCTTCCACTCATTTGTATGAAATCTCTGTTTTAGTGATATTGTCTTGGTTTAGACTTTGTGGAACTCAAAACCACAAATTTTGTGACTGATGTGTTATTACAGAGTACCCAGTGTCTTGCATGTCTATGTTTGCATTTATGATGTGGGATATGTACCCATGATCAACGGATCCTGGTAGCAAAGGGACACAACTCTGCCAAGTGATTTGCAGGACTAATTCACCACCGGGTATATGACTGTAGGACATGGTGATCCAGTGGTCTAGTTCATCTTCTATGCTGAGTTGTGTCCCTTTTCTGAACCTGGATGTGCTGGTTGAGGGTTTAAATCCTTCTTTAGCTTTCACACAATATGGTCTAACGCAACTAACTAAGCTAGACAGATTCCTTACAAAAACACAAAGGTATCAGTGCAGATTGTAAACCAAAAGTCACTGTGTTCTTTACTCTGATTGGTTGAAAAACATGATTGAATGGTATTCGATGCCCAGAAATCGTAAGACCATTCGCTGCGTATTGATACATACAAACATTGCACACATCATTGTATTGTTACATCGTCAGCAGTGGTGACGTCATTCAAATCATATTGTGACGTAAAGTCCGAATGACGTCACAAATCAGTAGTTCCAGATGCTACCATGGGAGACAGACGAAACGGCCGGCTGATGACATTTCACTGCTGTACCAGAACTCGATGTCAATGAGTGCAGACACAAAAACGTGTGTGGACCTTTTGGTTTACTTTTGTGTTTACAATGTCGATATACATCATGTGTTGGCCAATTTCCGGGTGTTATTGAGTATTTGAAGCACGGGAATATTTTATTTGAAACCTCCGGCTAACGCTGTCGGTTCCAAATGAATTCCCATGCTTCAAATACTCAATAACACACGGAAATGAACACATGATGTTTATAACCTATTTCATTCATATCTTCTCACTTATTATACTCTTAAGTCCATTTCTGGTGTCACCCGCCGTGATATTGCTGGAATATTGCTAAAAGCGGCGTAAAACTAAACTCACTCACTCACTCACTCACTTATTATACTCATAATATATTATATTACTTAAATATGTTATGTTGCGAGAAATATACTTGACACAAATTCACTGCAGATCACCATGTTTGACAGTTATACTGCACACCATCCAATTTTGTCAAAACAAGTACATGTACTTACATCTGTGAACTGTAATGGAAGTTATCAATATAATTTCTTTCCCAAATACTTTTGTGAGAGAGGTGTGCTAGGTTTTCATTAAGATTTCACGCTGCTCTGGACCCATTCATCTTAGCTTTGTCTTGGAAGTGCCATTACCATGTGTGAAGCCCATTTCTGGTGTCCCCCCACTGTGATATCGCTGGAATATTGCTAATAGCAGCATAAAACCATACTAACTCACTTTCCACTCGCTAACTTATGGTGTATATTGTAGATCTGTCTTACAGCTTTATTAAGTGACCAAATGGATGTTGTTCAAGATACCATTATATTGGCTGGTCAGGCGACTTGAACCTAGAAACAATGCCACCAGATGGTTCACTCACTCACTCACTCATTGTCTGGGCAGGTGAGCAGTAGAAGTGGTCACCCACTGACATAGACCTGGGTTCTATTCCCAGCATACGTTGTGTAACTGGGGGGAACACTTGCCACACAATGTTCAGGATGTGGTTACACTGGAGTCCAGGTTTGATTCCCCACCTTGGTACACTGAAACCCAACCGTATTTTCCCTCTACCCCCATTCGGGTGTGTGAGGTGAGGTGAAATTGGGTTAACGTCGTGCTTGAGAATAGTTCGCTCATATGACGACGTTGCGTGTGTATGTGTATGTGTATGTGCGGCTGCTTGTACTAGCCCAGACTGACGCTGGTTTTATAGTGCTAGCCCACTGAGATACCATGCCGCAGTGAAGCATGAATGCCCCACTCAGACACATTAAACTGACTCCGAGCCGACCAGTACTTGTTGTACCCATTAATGCCGAGCGCCAGGCAGAGACCAACAAGTACAATGACTCGGTCGGGGATCGAACCCGCTCTCTGGCGGACGCTCTAACCACTACTGGAGGCGGTCCATTCGGGTGTGTAATGCTGACGAATGACTATGTTACCATTAGTGAATGAGATCTTCTTTAGCTGGTTTACCAGTCAGCATTGTTTATGTATTGTGAATTTTGTACCTTTCATCTTTTAGACCCTCCTTGTATCTGTGACATGGACTTCCATAGAGACTAGTTACTACAGAAATGGGGAATACAATTCAAGGAGAGGAATTGTGAAAAAACTGAATAAAATCATGTAAGAGACATTTTGTGTTTATATTTATTATCTCTGGGACAAGAGACGGGTCGTTTCTAAACTGGAGAAGGGGAAGAAAGGGCATGGATTTTATCCACAAAAAATATTAAATGTCCCAGAAATTGTCAGCAACATTGGGTTAGATTTGATTTTCAGTAACCCATGCTTGTCGTAAAAGGCGACTAACGGGATCGGGAGGTCAGGCTCGCGGAATTGGTTGACACATGTCATCGGTTCCCAATTGCGTATATCGATGTTGATCACTGGATTGTCTGGTCCAGACTCGTATTATTTACAGATCATATAGCTGGAATATTGCTGAGTGGGGAGTATAACTAAACTCACTGTTTCAGTTTGGTTCTTAATTGGAATATATAGTTAGGCTCATAGCCATTTTTAGAGAAATACATACTTAAGAAATGTACTGACTGAAACTTGACAGCTGCCCGTGCAAGATCAACAGAAGAAGCAGCGTTCTTCAGGGAAAGTAACCAAACCAAAGCCCAGTGGTCAAGTGCCAAATCTGCTTCATGTTCACCCGACCATGTCCCAGTGTGGTGTACCTGTTTAACTGCAGCAGGGTTCCAAAGGCGACCCCACACTTTGAATAAGCATATACATACATGCTAGGGCTGCGCACTATAACCGGTTTACCGGTATTTACCGGTTCAGACATGAAAACGATACGTATTGCGATACGCTGATCGAAAACCGGTATTTTGACATGCATTCGGAAAACTTTGTAACAGTCGGAAATCTTCGGATATTTCCGTTTTTTCATTTGTTCTTTTCCCTGTTTCATTAGTGCCAAATGTTACTTACATTTTTATTTTGACATGATTAAAAGTTTTTATAAAAGGTTAATCAATCATAGTGATTTTGTTGTGTTTTTGCTTTATAATCAAGCATTAACTCGATTATAAGTAGTTTTTGTTAAAAAAATAATCCTTGCAATATATTGCAATACATATCACAATATATGCTTCCGCATCGCAATATATCGCAATATGAAAATTCTCTGCAATACCCACCCCTAATACATGCGCACTCTCCGTCCGGCGCCCAATTCATCAACCTATCCATGCGCCCATGCACACGCGCACACACAATCCACCGTGCATCCAACCATGCATCCATCCATCTATTCATGCATGCATCCATCCATACACACATCCATCCATATACATGCCGTTTTATCACTTTCAAGATAATTGTGCTATTGTTTCTAAACATCTATTTAAGTGCAATAATATTGATTTCAACGTTAAGCCCTATTTCAGCTCGCCTGTGTTGTCGCTAAAATTATGTCAAGCAATATCGAAAACATGTCGCTAACTAAATGTCATTATTATGCAATCAAGTTTCTACCGACACAATAAGAGCGATGTTGGGCACCGGTGTAACGGCATACATACAAGAAAACGTGGTTTTACCACTACATGAACTTCCCATCAAAACAAAAATCAATAGAGTCTGACACGAACAGTATCGATCCACTATTTGTAACAGTTCCACATTCCATAAAATATATCTCCCTAAGAAGTATCCATTTCTTAATAATTGAAAAACTGTCAGATATTCTTCTGTTTATTGCCACCCTATATATTGGTAATCATGGTAAATGGCAATTGACGTTGGTAGATGTTCAGGTGTATGGGAACAGGTGTACTCAGGTGTTCTGGCGACGTTAATCGACCGGTAGAAAATGTGGTGCATTATGGGGAATTTATTAGTTTTGGGGTTATAATTATTGAGTGCTGGATTACGGGATTATCTCATGCTTGTTCGAACCATAACTTTTCGACCGTGTACCTTACACACTGAACTACATGCACTAAGCCAGTACAACTTGTCATAGGTGTCGGGGCGGTGGGGTAGCCTAGTGGTTAAAGCGTTCGCTCGTCACGCAGAAGACCCGGGTTCGATTCCCCATATGGGTGCAATGTGTGAAGCCAATTTCTGGTGTTTCCCCCACCGTGATATTGCTGGAATATTGCTAAAAGCGTCGTAAAACCATACTCACTCACTGTAACAGGTGTCCACTGGCTGGTCCCAGTATTTGACCATAAAATAATTTCAGTATTCATGCAGAGCCTTATCCAGATTTCATTGTTCTTGATTTATGACCGCCTCCGTGGTGTAGTGATTAGAGCGTCCGCCCGGAGAGCGGAAGGTCGAAATGGTTCGATCCCCGACCGCGTCGTACTCAAAAGACGTTAAAATATGGTACTTGTTGGTCCCTGCCTGGCGCTCGGCATTAATGGGTACAACAAGGACTGGTCGGCTCGGAGTCAGTATAATGTGTCTGAGTGGGGTATTCATGCTTCACTGCGGCATGGTATCACAGTGGGCTAGCACTATAAAACCAGCTTAAGTCTTGGCTAGTACAAGCAGCCGCACGTACATTTACTCACGCATGCACGTCGTCATATGAAGCGAAATATTCTCAAGCACGACGTTAAACCCAATTTCACCTCACCTCACCTTGATTTATGAATTCTCGGTGAGTATTTTTTGGAGTTAAACTACATATTACCGGGATATCTTGAAACAGGGGCCTGGGATTCGATGGGAATTGTGAACTGAGACTGCCAACACCCTCTCCGTTTGCGGGATTGGGACTGATGGTTGCAGTGAGGGTTAGATGGCATAGCCTAGTGGTTAAAGCGTTCGCTCGTCACGCCGAAGACACGGGTTCGATTCCCCACATGGGTACAATGGGTGAGATGGCATAGCCTAGTGGTTAAAGCGTTCGCTCGTCACGCCGAAGACACGGGTTCGATTCCCCATATGGGTGCAATGTGTGAAGCCAATTTCTGGTGTTTCCCCCACCGTGATATTGCTGGAATATTGCTAAAAGCGTCGTAAAACCATACTCACTCACTGTAACAGGTGTCCACTGGCTGGTCCCAGTATTTGACCATAAAATAATTTCAGTATTCATGCAGAGCCTTATCCAGATTTCATTGTTCTTGATTTATGACCGCCTCCGTGGTGTAGTGATTAGAGCGTCCGCCCGGAGAGCGGAAGGTCGGGGGTTCGATCCCCGACCGCGTCGTACCAAAAGACGTTAAAATATGGTACTTGTTGGTCCCTGCCTGGCGCTCGGCATTAATGGGTACAACAAGGACTGGTCGGCTCGGAGTCAGTATAATGTGTCTGAGTGGGGTATTCATGCTTCACTGCGGCATGGTATCACAGTGGGCTAGCACTATAAAACCAGCTTAAGTCTTGGCTAGTACAAGCAGCCGCACATACATTTACTCACGCATGCACGTCGTCATATGAGCGAAATATTCTCAAGCACGACGTTAAACCCAATTTCACCTCACCTCACCTTGATTTATGAATTCTCGGTGAGTATTTTTTGGAGTTAAACTACATATTACCGGGATATCTTGAAACAGGGGCCTGGGATTCGATGGGAATTGTGAACTGAGACTGCCAACACCCTCTCCGTTTGCGGGATTGGGACTGATGGTTGCAGTGAGGGTTAGATGGCATAGCCTAGTGGTTAAAGCGTTCGCTCGTCACGCCGAAGACACGGGTTCGATTCCCCACATGGGTACAATGGGTGAGATGGCATAGCCTTGTGGTTAAAGCGTTCGCTCGTCACGCCGAAGACACGGGTACGATTCCCCATATGGGTACAATGTGTGGAGCCTATTTCTGGTGTCCCACGCCGTGACATTGCTGGAATACTGATGAAAGCTAAAACTAAACTCACTCACTCACCAGCAGAAGGTAATCGGGACTAAAAAGTGTTTTATTGGCACGCACATATATCATGTTTAATTAGCAGATTCAACATTTAAAAAGTAAAAGCGTTCTTCATCTATTCATTTTCTGATATAATGTCGAGTGAATTATGATGTGAGCTCTTGAATTTTAAATATTAATTTATTTATTTTATTTTAATCGAGAGGGTGAGCAAATGAAAGTGAACGTATTTGGGATTTAGGGGACTGACGGTTTGCACTCTCTGATCTGACAGGCCTTGCAATTTGCTTTTCAGTATTTTTTTTTTAAATTATTGTGTCAAAAATCACGTTTCATTATGTGCGATAAAATCCCGTTTATCCATACGGTAAAGATTAACGTGGAATTGCCCAGGAAATCAGAATTTCAGATAAACGAGTCATGGTTTACAGCTACTATAGATTTATGTTGCTTTTTTTCTATAGATGAGTTTCCAGATTGTCAGAGTCCGTATTATCGAGAGTAAGCCTCAGTCACTGCTTGCTCTCCCCAATGATGTTTAAAAGTTCACTGTCCCCATATGTGTCGTGTACGAAATAATTCTCACCCCGAATACAAATAAAGTAAAATCTAATTTGAAAATATTGAGGTTTATTTATCCGATCAAAATGTGTTTTTGTTGTGATTACCAATAATCAATAGGTAACTGCTGGCTGGAGGCATCGCGGTGGAAAGAATCAGACGTATTACTATTATCATTATGGTTACTATGGCAGCCTAGTTGTCAAATAATTCGATTGCCCTGGTTCGAATCCCCACATTAGTACAGATGCGGTCATTAAATCTCGTCGTAACATAGCTGAAATACAGCCGATGCGAAGATAAACTTTTACCCACTATCTCTTCTTAATAAAAAGAGTTCAAAATCGATAGGCAAAACCAACAAAACAAATAAATGGATTCAATGTGCATTTCCATTTGTATGAAAACATAAAATATATTAAACTAGTAGTGTCAAAATGAAATTGAATATAATTAATCGTGCATATTCGCGCATTGAGCACTCGTGCACCGGAACACCACGTCAGCCATTCGGTCTACTCATTCACTGATGCGTCCATGTAGCACACACAGATGTACAAGTATGTGTAAATTCTCCCAACTTAAACCCCGCCCTTCCGTCGCGCACAGCTTGGTTTAATGGTGGTGAATATATAAACCGCGCGCGGTCCGAAAAGACGATCGATGTGTGTAACATGTGTTTACGTGCGAAGTAATTCCCGTTTAGATATTTCCACGAACACTTACTGCAACGAAGGGAGGTTACCTTGAGAAGAAACCCAAGATTTCCATATCATTTGGATTATTTAAGTGAAAGGCATTTTCAACTCGTCCGGGAGGAAAACTTATCGTGTTCTAGAATCAACTAGTGGGCATTGATTATATGGACGTTCCGTGTTATTCTGAAGTGAAATGTGTCTATATGTGTGAGTCATGGTTGCAATCAACCGACTGACAACGTGAACTACTTATGTAGACTTCGACAAAGACACTACCAAGTGCCCATTACCCACCGTTGATCACCGAAATGTTTACGATGGCACTGAACGACCAAACCACTTTTTCCCTGTGTATCCTTGTATTCGTCCATCAATGTTACGGTCAGACTTGCCCAGAGACCCGGGGTTGTATACCGAATGATCAGGAACTCGTCTTAGCAACAAGTACAGCTCCATCAGCAAGAACCGTTACAGCTACTTCCACGTGCGGTGACCCGAATCCAACTATATACATGAGTTTGGTTACCTCTGATACCACGAACTACACCTGTGCTCCGAACGACCACCGAAAAGAACTTATGACAGATAAAGATAACGTAACTATCACAGTACCCAGTCTTCCCATTAGTTTTGAACTTCAGCCTAAATGGTCCACGTATTGGCAGTCCCAAAACACCGTCGACGGTGACGGTAATCGTACCAGGGTTGAAGTCGTTGTCAACTTTACGGATGTTTTTCTTATATCCGAGGTACAGATATATTTTTCTCGCCCCTGAACGTCCTCGCCAATGTCAAGGTCGACGCACGACCAGCCGCCATGTACATTGAACGTTACGTGAACGGTAACTGGGAAATGTGGCGTTATTTTGCTGAAAATTGTAACGATTTTGCACAAACACCAATGTCGGCCACAGATCCCACGACAGTATTCTGTGCAACACTGACCAGAGGCGATACTAAGAATGAACAACAGAACGCTTTCAGAGTAAGTAATACAGCATTAATCATTATAGACCGAGTTTGTTTTCAGCGCTCTTTGGTTATCGTATGATCGATGTTGCAGATCGATACTCATGGTGTCAGTCACTGGATTGTCAGGCCCAGACCCGTTTATTTACCGACCGCCATCATACAGTTGGAATTATGCTGAGTGTCACGTTCGAGTTGACGATCCAATCACTTTTGTGCCCTATCTGTCAATGTTGGAAATGTCCTGTGCATGACTCGCTTGAAACCTCTTGAAAACTTTACTAAAGGTTTTACCTAGTGGTTAAAGCGTTCGCTAGTCACAGCGAAGACCCGGGTTCGATTCCCCACATGGGCACAAAGTGCGAAACCCATTTCTGGTGTCTTACGCCGTGATATTGCTGGAATATTGCTAAAAGCGGCGTAAAACTAAACTCGCTCATTCACAAAAACTTGAAACAAGAGTGTTATCCGTCGTGGAGAGAGCGAGCCCATCTGAATCTTACACCTTTTAAAATGTAAACATAAAGGTCTCGAAAGTTTGGGGAAGGATTTTGGCCAGATTCTGTTGTTTTGATTTCGGAGAAGAAACTCAGACATAGATCAGCAAGAAAGGGATCTTTATTTGCGTCCGTGGGGACCACTGACCCTTGTGTGCGCACACATATGCATACACTCACTCACTCATACGACATTTGCTTTCACTTCTGACAAATATTCTTGAAGTTAGTTAGTCTTGAATACCACGGAGGGAGACACTAGATATGGGCTCCACAAACTGTACCCCTGTGGGGAATAGTCTAGAACCTCTGGCGATGCAGGGACATCTCTGGTCACCACGTTAGTAAGTAATGCCCCCTGGCTCTAATAATGAAGTGCTTATTTAAGTTTGTTTGGCCTGATAATGGTGTACGATATTAAAATGTTAAACGTTTTGATGAAACTGAACTTGGTACTTTTCTTAAATTGCAATAAAATCAAGTTTAAAAATGTGCAACTCCAACTGCCTCTGTGAATATATAGCAATCGCCCCATCATTTAGTGAGGGTGGTATACATGTATATATATATATATATATATGAGTCCAGATATTTCTTCTTGCCAAATCTCCTTTATATCTGCACAAGATCTTTCTTTATATATATATATATATATATATATATATATATATATATATATATATATATATATATATATAAGAAAGATCTTTCTTTTATATATATATATATATATATATATATATATATATATATATATATATATATAAGAAAGATCTTGTGCAGATATAAAGGAGATTTGGCAAGATATATATGAAATGGGGTTTAACGTCATACTTAAGAATATTTCTCTCATATTTCTCTCATATGACGACGTGCATGCGTGTGTATGTGTGGCTGTTTGTACTAGCCGAGACTTAAGCTGGTTTTATATATAGTGCTAGCTCACTGAGATACCATGCCGCAGTTAAGCATGAATAGCCAACTCAGACACATTATACTGACTCCGAGCCGGTCAGCCTTGCTGTACCCATTAATGCCGAACGCCAGGCAGGGACCAACAAATACCATATTTTAAGGTCTTTTTGGTATGACGCGGCCAGGGATCGAACCCGCGACCTTCCACTCCCCCGGGCGGACGCAAAAGAGGGATGGACAGCCTTGAGGTTGAGTCATGTCAAACGTTGATTGTGCTGACGCGTAGTTTTGACTGCTTACACCCTCAGTGCCATGTTGCATGGCCTGAGACATTACCAGTATGTCATTCATACCCTGTTATTTTATACCAATAGTTAATGTAGTGATGTATACAATTGTTAAATCGTATGATCCATCTCGTCACGAGGAATAATACAAAGTTTCAACTTTCACTGATGATCTTTTCTCTCCAATTTAATTTTGAAAACATAAATTTTGTATAAAAGTTAATTGCTGGGGTTCCCATACTGACATTCAATAATTCCTGTATTTTTTTAACTCTGACACAGACAGTTATTACAATACTTTCGGAAAGATATATCCATGTGCATGCAATGAATTAACCCAGATCTGTACGCCAAAGAATTTGGTATGAAACCAGCAAACAACGAATTAATGTTATGCAGTTGTGTCATACACTGTACTAGGTTTACAAATCAATACAAATTACTGCTAAGTAATAACAATGGCAGTATACAATAGAGAGGCTGTACAAAACCCAATGGTAGTACCATTACAGTAGCAGTATGCAATAAAGTAGCATGGATAATAGCAACAGAGTCAGTGATAATATACTACCCATCAAAAGTGTACACTCACTTAAGGCACTCACTATGTGTTATGTATATATCTATATGGTTACATCGAAGATGAATTCCTTCCCTAACTTGGTGGCTCTTTAATCTTCAAGGAGCTCACATTAAAAAAGTTATTCATTCCTTGTTAAAACCAGAAACAATCTATTCACAGTAGAATCATCACATAAACAAATATATTAATTATCCAAGACTGGCATCCACTGGAGACATGACTTTGGAGAGATTAAAGAAAAGCTTCACTGTTTACAGACACAAATTACTGTTTACAAACTGAAAAAGCAAATTTGGAGGAATGATATTGAATAATCAATAAAACGTCACTTGACTTTTGATATCAAAGATATTAAAACTCGTCGTGAAAGTAGACGTAGGCGTACTTGTAGACATATTTGGTTATAAATACACACTTTGGTGAGGTTCTGCACGTAGTAACACACAGACAAAATATCTAACAATGGCCGTGTGGCTTTTAGTAATAGTAATAGTCCCCTTATATGGCGCTCATATCCAGGCACATTGCTTGCTCACGGCGCTACGTACATTACTATCCCCGGTCATAGGACACTATCGTACTTTCCGATACTTTTTAACTCCCTGGGGAACATACAGCCATGCTGCCTGTTAGGCGCAATGAACTAAACACTAACATTGCCAGCACATCCTCACGGGTACCCATTTTACAGCTGGGTGAACTGATACAATGTGGATCTAAGTATCATGTCCAAGGATACTACGCAAATGTGCCCACCTCGGGACCCGAACCTATAGGTGCCTCCACCGGGGATCGAACCCGGGCCTTCAGCGTGATAGGCAGACGCCATACCACTGTACTACTACACACCACTTCAAACGTTTACCAACTAAGAGGAACATTTTGTTAGGGACAGGTAGCTTCTTCACTGCAAGAAATGCGGCGTGACGATACTAGGATTTACACCGAAACGTCTCATCTATTTCATTACAGAAGCTGTCTATCCATAAACAATGTTCCTCTTCATTACCAGCTTGTAAATGCCACTTAATGAAGTTTAACATACAATAACCTACGGTTATAGCTACCTTAAGTGGACCATTTATACAGTACAACCAGAAATGTTTGAGAATTTAATGATTGTAAATGTTTTATTTTTTTCACTCATTACTCACGTATTAAATGTGAATATTAACAGAACATAACTCCAGATTCAAAGACAGGTGAACAGTTAGTATTTTGTCAAGTCACCATGGGCAGCAATGCAAGCTTCAATGCGGCGGGGCATACTTCTGATCAAAGAAGTTAGGAAGTCGTGGTCCATGCTGTCCCAATATCGGACCACCTCTTCTTTCATTTCAGCAATATTTGTCAGATTTTTCTTATTGACACTTTCCTTCATAAGTCCCCAAACATTTTCTATTGGATTTGGGTCAGGGCTATAGCTTGGCCAATCTAATAATGTCATATTTTGGGTCCGAAACCAGGCCTGTGAATGCTTTGAACGATGTTTTGGGTCGTTGTCCTGCTGGAAAATCCAAAACTTTCCATAGAACACGTGAGCAGATGGAAGTGAATGTCCCTCGAGAATATCTGTGTACCGCTCACTGTTCACGTTCCCTTCAAATACACAGAGGGGCGTTGCCCCTAACACAGATATGCCACCCGAAACGTTAAATTTCGGACTGTACTTTGGGCGCTGATACAAAGGTTTTTCAGTTTGTTTGGTCCAGAATTTCAGTGTATTAGGAACAGCCACACAGAACTTTCATCTGAGAAAATCACATTGTCCCAGTTAAAATTTCTATGCTGTAAGCACCAGTTCAACCTTCGCTCCTTTTGTTCAGGTTTCGAGATCGGTGATGGAATTCCTCGACTTTTCTACCAACCCATTGCATTCAGCTCAGTTCTAATTGTCTCGTTACAGACAGCCACAGTTCCTCTATCGATCATATCCAGCCTTAAGTTTTCTAACCTCCTTCGTTTGTTTTTAGAAGCAAGAATACCAAGCCGCCTCCTGTCACCGACAGTCAATTTTCTGGGCCTGCCTGCGCCTCCCTGGTGCTCAATGCCATATCCATTTGCAATATTTTTCAAAACACGATAAACAGTGGACAAAGGGATGCCTGTTCTACTTGAAATCACTTTAGCTGATCTGGTAAACAAAGGGGGTCCTCCCTTGAATGAAACCAAGCACTTGATAGCTGGTCAAGGTTGTTTGTACTAGAAATCCAATCAATTCTCAATAATTTCTGGTCATACTTTATCAACTCGTTATAGCCATAGTTTGTTAATGCTACCTTAAAGCAGTTCGTTACATCCGTCAGTTCGTTATAAGCGTGTTCGATATAACGCAGTTTTCTTTATTTAACCATAACCAATCTGCTGTTGTTTCCAGGTGGAGTTGCACCCAGCGTCAGAATACAGCACCGAGTTCCTGTCGAATCAGACAGTGATGGAGTACTACACCGCCTCGGCTGTGAGGATCACCCTCGTTAAACCAGCCAGTTTGGAACCTCTGCAGTCTTACTACGCCATAGCAGATATCAAAGTAGACGGAACTTGTTTCTGCCACGGACATTCTTTAACATGCACAGGACCTGTATGTACCATTATATTGTTTTAATTAATTAACTTAACATTTGAAATAAGAAAAGTCTTTTCAAAATTAGTATTTAGGAGTCCATGTCAGCCATTTGTACCCATGCATACACTCGTAAAGGTCCGGGTTAGAATTGGTCTTTAGGAACCCATGCTTGTCGTAAAAGGCGACTAACGGGATCGGGTGGTCATGCTCGCTGACCTGGTTGACACATGTCATCGGTTCCCAAATAGCGTAAATCGATGTTCATGCTGTTGATCACTGGATTGTCTGGTCCAGACTCGATTATTTACAGACCGCCGCCATATAGCTGGTGTATTGCTGAGTGCGGCGTAAAACAACAACCAAACCAAAACAAAAAAACACTACTTAATCAACTTAACATTTATTGTTGCAGTATTTCGTCTCTGCGTAAAGTTTGGGTTAAAAGGGAGTATTCACTTGAAAAATGGGTTAGACCAAGTCGTACCAAAATATGAAGACGCTGCTTTGTTGAAAACACCCCAGATTAAAGCAGTCGCTCTGTAAAACCCCAGCTGTTGCCCCGGTATCAAATACATTAGAGTCTAATAACCATTCCTTTCATTTGTTTTTAGCCACCAATGAACACCGGTGTTTACTTTCATTTACAATAATAATAATAATAATAATAATAATAATAATAATAATACCATCCATGGTACGACCCTGAACATGCCCAGGGCGTCATGGGAAATGATGATTTAAACTTCTGTGGAATAGACCCAAATACAGCCTCAGAAGAATTCCAGCCAACACACCTGATCTTGTCCTTAATGATAAAGCCAATTAATTTATTTATATCATTGAATTTTCTGTCCCTTTTGACAGCAATGTGATTGGCAAGATTCAGGAAAAGCATGCTAAATATGCAGACCTAGCCTTTAAAATGTCTCGCTTGCATCCCAAGTACACTGTCGTCAGGCTCCCCATTGTTCTCGGTGCCCTTGGTTTGGTACCTCCTGATTTCTTGGCGCAGATCAGGAGTGCCCGGGCTCTCCACCGGGAACACAGCCCTTCTGACACTCTGGGTAATGCAGAAGGCTGCAGTGTTGGGGAGTCTACATATTCTCCGGAAAGTTCTTGGTGTTCGACTAGGCAGCGTTTACTGGGAGAAGTCCCATTCGCTGTCTGGGCTGCGTGTAGAGGGGGCAAGGACCCTTAGCTGATAATGATCCTTACCAGCCTGACTGTGCCAGGATCACCCGAACCCTCTCTGATGCATTTTCATCTCAATCTGTAAAACATAATAATAATAGTAATTATCCACTTATATAACGGTTGATCACTGGATTGTCTGGTCCAGACTTGATTATTTACAGACCGCCGCCATATAGCTGGAATATTGCCGAGTGCGGCGTAAAACTAAACTCACTCACTCACTTATATAACGCTGAACTCCACCCCCGCACTGACATACCCTAAGCGCACACAGCATGATCGACATTATTACCCCGAATAACCCAAGCTGCCTGTGAGGCGATGGAAGGTTACCAGTCATATGACTTATCCCACCGGGTACCCATTTTCTGCTGGATAAACAGAGGCAATGTTGAACAAACTCACTTGTCTGAGGTGTGTCCACATGGGTGCTTCCTTATGGGGCAGGACTGAAGTCCTGGAAACTCTCAGGTGTCATGCTACTAAACACGGTCACCCGTGCAGTTTAGATAATAGTGACAGCTTGTAGACATTTATAACTTTTTACGGTATATATAATAACGATTTACTGCTTTCTGCTTGATAAATGTAGTCTATTGCATAACACTCTCCTGTATTCTATTGAGATCCACTGCATCATTGTACATTACAGTCATGTATAACTATGCACTACTGCATCCAGTTGCAAACAGTACTCTGTATTCTGCCGATCTGATTGTGCTTTACTGAACCGTACAATATTATAACACTCTCTTTCATATTGGACTGAACCGTACAACATTACAACACTCTCCTTCATAACGGACTGAACTGTACAACATTATAACACTCTCCTTCATAACGGACTGAACTGTACAACATTATAACACTCTCCTTCATAGCGGACTGAACTGTACAACATTACAACACTCTCCTTCATAACGGACTGAACTGTACAACATTATAACACTCTCCTTCATAGCGGACTGAACTGTACAACATAACAACACACTCCTTCATAACGCAAGGGCGTAGGAACGGTTTTCGTGTGTGTGTGTGTGTGTGTGTGTGTGTGTGTGCTAATTTATGTAAAGTATTGAAAATCAAAATGAAATTGTAGTTATAGTAAGGTAGATATGGTTTCGTCTTAAAAAAAGCCCCCAAGCCCCCCCTGTTCCTACGCCCCTGTAACGGGTGTGTACTCTACTGCATAGCTATACTCTGCTTTGGACTATAGTACAGCTACACTCTGTCGCCTTTTACCTCATAACTATACTCTACTTCACTAGTCTGTGCTCTACTGCGGAACTATACTGTGTTGCATTTTACTGGATAAGTATACTCTATTTCTCTATTCTGGGCTCTATATAGTGCGACTATATTCTGTTGCGCTTTACTGTATAACAATACTCTACTTTACTATTCTGGGCTCTATAGTGCGACTATATTCTGTTGCGCTTTACTGTATAACAATACTCTACTTTACTATTCTGGGCTCTATAGTGCGACTATATTCTGTTGCGCTTTACTGTATAACAATACTCTACTTTACTATTCTGGGCTCTATAGTGCGACTATATTTGGTTGCGCTTAACTGTATAACAATACTCTACTTTACTATTCTGGGCTCTATAGTGCGACTATATTCTGTTGCGCTTTACTGTATAACAATACTCTACTTTACTATTCTGGGCTCTATATAGTGCGACTATATTCTGTTGCGCTTTACTGTATAACAATACTCTCCTTTACTATTCTGGGCTCTATATAGTGCGACTATATTCTGTTGTGCTTTACTGTATAACAATACTCTACTTTACTATTCTGGGCTCTATAGTGCGACTATATTCTGTTGTGCTTTACTGTATAACAATACTCTACTTTACTATTCTGGGCTCTATAGTCCGACTATATTCTGTTGCGCTTTACTGTATAACAATACTCTACTTTACTATTCTGGGCTCTATAGTGCGACTATATTTGGTTGCGCTTAACTGTATAACAATACTCTACTTTACTATTCTGGGCTCTATAGTGCGACTATATTCTGTTGCGCTTTACTGTATAACAATACTCTACTTTACTATTCTGGGCTCTATAGTGCGACTATATTCTGTTGCGCTTTACTGTATAACAATACTCTACTTTACTATTCTGGGCTCTAACTATACTCTATCGCATTTTACTGCATAACAATGCTATACTTTACTATTCTAAGATGTATACTGCCTAACGATACTATATCGCATTTTCCTGCATAACTATGCTATACTTAACTATTCTCAGATCTACTGCCTAACTATACTATACCGCCATTTACTGCAAGTATATGCTCTACTGCCCTATTCTGGGCTATACTGCTTACCTATACTCTACTTCACCATTATGGGGTCTACTGCATTTTATTGAGTACCTTTACCCTTCAGTATTCTAATTCATTACTGCTGCACCCCACTGAGCTCTACGCCATGCCTGTACTCTACCGTACCCTACTGCAATTTATTACCCACGTGGTCAACGTATGGGTAGTTGCATACTAATCTCGTACGTCACACGAGTGTCGTATCCCGTTGACCTGTGTCGTAACGACTTGACCTGAGATTCTAACGATTTGGTGCTTCGGAGTAGTTTACTGTAGGAGGCTGTACGAGGCGATGACAACTGACATGCATCGTGACGTCGGTTACCAAGGCAGTGACGTCATTACAGTACGACGTCATGCAAATATTGTACTACTGTACAAAACTCTTCCGCAACCTCTTTATGAAACCGGTTTCGGTTTGAAACCAAAAACATAACAAAAATACGCTATTTTGTTAATTTAATGCATGTAAGACGTGGGTAATAAATAAAATACCACACTCGGTCTCATTACATACGAATTATACGAAACTCGTGACCTTCCTATGTTATCTGACCTCGCTTTCGCTCGGTCAGATACCATAGGAAGGACACTCGTTTCGTATGTAATGAGACCTCGTGTAGTATTCTCTACGTACTGCATCTCTACCGCAGTGCATTCTTCTGCATAGTTCTCCTCGACGCTGACCAGCTGTTGACGCTCTATTTACCAGTAGTAAGCAATTCGCTGAATGTTATCGACAGATCCCATGAGTTGCTGGCGTTGATCATGTACGCCGTGGACATCAGCGTTGTAGTCGTACTGACATACCGCTCTTCGGCATCACCGTTCTGTGTAAATACATTCGAAAGAATGGCAGTTTGTTTAAATTTGAATAAAACAAAGTAAATATATTGATAGATACCCTGACTCGGTTGATTTAAAAAATTATGTTAGACCTAAACCCATGACTCCCAAATCCGAAGCTGTTGCACTGTAGAATTCAATAAATTATGCCTTCTTTGAAATCTGAACAGGTACATTTACAGATGCAATTTTACTCGTGACGATCTTATTTCATTTCCCATTACATGAAGACCAGCTGTCACCCGTGGGGATCCGGGTTAGACTTGGTCTTCAGCAACCAATGCTTGTCGTAAGAGGCGACTAACGGGACTGGGTGGTCAGGCTCGCTGACTTGGTTGACACATGCGTAGGTCGATGCTCATGATGTTGATCACTGGATTGTCTGGTCAAGACTCGCCGCCATACAGCTGGAATATTGCTGAGTGTTGCATTAAAAGACAAACAAACAAAAACACATGTTTATGTAGTAGATAAGTTGCAAACAGTAACAAATAAGCAACAAGCGTCCCGAGGTCCCCTGAATGTTTGTCAAGGCTGCAACCCAGCGGTCGCTCTATTCCCGTGGGCGATGGTGGTTCACACGTGTTGACAGCCTCAGAAATCCCCCTTTGTGACACGATAACAGGCCTCTTTGTACGTGTAATTTACCACGAGCAATTCGTATTGATGTTTGTGACACAAATACCATTACGTATCTAACGGCAATGGGTTCGCAAGGCCCTTTCACAACACGAGCTGTTGAACACTTGGTCTAAACTGATCGCTAAACTGACGCGAAGGGCTTGAATGGATGCCATGTTCCAAGTGTATTGACACGTTTAGTGAACGTATGTTCGCGATTTTCGGCACTTAAATCTAATCAGGAAGTCATAAGGTTTGTGTCCTAGACATACGGGTAATTCGTTTGCCGGTCACGTGTTACTTTCGAACTTTAACCTGTGACGGTGATCTCACACACACACGCACCCACGCAAGCACACATACACGCACGCACGCACGCACACACACACACACGCGCACACACACACACACACGATCAGGCACCAGCGAAGGGTAACAATTTGGTAACAATTTATCAGAGGCGAAATTACAAAAAAACGTGAATATAATAAATGCTGGCGAGCATGGTTACCATGACAACGCAACCAAATCTGATTTTTACACCCCTCGTACGGATAAGAGGGGTTGGGGGTCGAGAGTTAATGATATACCTATCATATCCCGTTGTCAAACACGTTGCTTAACACTGTGTCAATTAAAACATTTTGGTTTTTTAACTGACCAAACTGCAAAACTGTCGAGGGCAGGCCAATGTATCTTAGGTCTATTACGTTAAATACCACATACATACTATACTACGTTCGTCAATCTACACGACGTGAAAAAATAGACTAACTTATTAAACGTTTGTGATAGATCAGGGTCGTCGATTCCTATAAAAAACCTTGAAACTACAATGCCCAATGGACCCAGATACACCCTAGGTATGAGAGGGTTCTTGGCTACATGAAACTCAATGTAAACTTCACGTTGTGTTTTCCAGAACATGAACGAATGTGTCTGCAGTCACAACACCGAGGGGTCGAACTGCGAGAAATGTAAACCTCTCTATAACAACAAACCCTGGGCTATGGGGACACCGACCTCTAGTAACGCATGTGAAGGTAAGTACAGTCAATATGATACCCTCTACATTACAAAACCTGGACAATAAGGATACATGTGAAGGTAAGTCGGGTCAATACGATAACCTATATATAACAAACCCTGGACAATGTGGACGCCTGTCACTGTAAACTCATGTGAAGATAAGTCAGGTCAATACGATTACCTCTATATAACAAACCCTGGAGAATGTGGACGCATGTCACTGTAAACGCATTTGAAGGTAAGTCAAGTCGATCTGATCATCTCTACATAACAAACCCTGGAGAATGTGGACGCATGCCACTGAAAACGCATTTGAAGATAAGTCAAGTCGATTTGATAACCTCTACATAACAAACCCTGGAGAATGTGGACGCATGTCACTGTAAACGCATTTGAAGGTAAGTCAAGTCGATCTGATAACCTCTATATAACAAACCCTGGAGAATTTGGGTTCGATTCCCAACATCCGTACAGTGTGCGAAGCCCTTTTCTTGTGTCCCCCGCCGTTATATTGCTGGAATAAATCTAAAAGCGGCGTAAAACTAAAGTCACTCACTTTTAGGAAATCTTTAAGACGTTCTATTTAAACATGAACCTTGGCAAAATGGTTCTCGGTTTGCTATGCTATGAATGTTTAGTATAATATTAACTATTCTAAATTTGGTGCCACAAGGTCTTGTTATGTCGTCTTCCGCCCAGAAGACCCGGGTTCGATTCCCCACTTGGGTACAACGTGTAAAGCCCATTTCTGGTGTCTCCCGCCGTGATATTGCTGGAATATTGCTAAAAGCGGCGTAAAACATACTCACTCACTCACTCTTCTGCCCAAGGTTATGACTGATATTCACTGAATTTGTTTTAGTCAGTCCGTCCCTTGACCATTACTATGTAAGATTTGCAATATAAAATGCATGTTAACACGGCAATTGATGACGTTGCAACATCTACTTGACAGCCTGCAGCTGCAACAGCCGTGCCGGTGCGTGTGTGTACAACGCTACAAAGGGCCACGGTGTCTGTACAGACTGTACGGGGAATACGGCGGGAGACAACTGTACAGAGTGTAAATCCGGGTACTTCGCCAATCCGTCCCAGATGCCCGGATCCTCAGTGGCACCGGCTCCAAACGGCACCATGTGTAAAGGTAAGTCTCTAAAGGTCAATATAGGCAGGAGATACTATATCAAACAGTGTACCAGATGATCCAAGCTTTGTACCCATCGGGTAATTAAAGATGAATATATTTTCTTACAGTTTGTGCGTATTTAAATTACATTAGAAATACACACTTACATCTATACTATCTATATAACCCCATTGTAATCAAGTATTGGTATCTGTTGGCTGTTGGTCAGGTGAGGTGAAATTGGGTTTAACGTCGTGCTTGAGAATATTTCGCTCATATGACGACGTGCATGCGTGTGTATGTGTATGTGCGGCTGCTTGTACTAGCCCAGACTTAAGCTGGTTTTATAGTGCTAGTCCACTGAGATACCATGTCGCAGTGAAGCATGAATACCCCATTCAGACACATTATACTGACTCCGAGCCGACCAGTCCTTGTTGTTTCCATTAATGCCGAGCGCCAGGCAGGGACCAACAACTACCATACTTTAACGTCTTTTGGTATGGCGCGGTCGGGGATCGAACCCGCGACCTTCCGCTCTCCGGGCGGACGCTCTAACCACTACACCACGGAGGCGGTGTTATTGGCTGTTGGACAAGATGTTAAACTTATTAACTGTGGTAAAAATATGTTTTAAACTGTTGCTAGAAGAAAAAAACGTCTTTGTAATATTACCATCTGTCATTGTGCAGTGTTTCCAATGATATGTGTGCGTCCAATTGAATTGAAAAACGCATTACGTGGCCATTAGAGTTCTGACCTATGACCTCCGATCTATTACCTATGACCTATGACTGCTGACCTATGACCTACGATCTATGACCTATGACTGCTGACCTATGACCAATGACTGCGGTGCTTCAAATACATGTCGATGTATTTGTCATTCATATGCATTTCTATTGTGACATATTTAGATGCTTGTGTCTAAATGGATATTTTTAGATGATATTTTGAATGTATATTGGCAAAGATACACATATTGATAGTGATAGAAAAAGTTGCATATTTCAGTAGGTATGCTTACAGCTGCATATTATGATAACGCCAGGGATAGATTCAGATTTCAATAGGTATCTATAAAGCTGCTTATTTCAATAGTGATAGAAATAGGTGCATAGTTGAATATATACATGTATTTAGATCCATTTCAGTGGTGATGCTTAAAGCTTAATATTTCAGTAGGTATGCTTACAGATACTTATTATAATATTGATAGAAATAGCTGCATATTTAAAACACGACAGGGAAATGTTAATATTTTAATAGGTATCTATATAGCTGCTTATTTATATAGTTATATAAATAGATGCGTTTCAATGGTGATGCTTAAAGCTGAATGTTACAAATGTAACCCAGATGCATATTTCAAAAGTATTGCATTTTATTTCTTTTTTCAGTAGTGAAGTTTGTAGATGTACATGTCAATAGTTATAAAAATAGCTGCATATTTCACGCTTCTAGTTGAATAATGCAAATGTAATACAGGTGCATATGTTAGCAGTTGCTATACAAATCTCTGCATATTTCACTTGTATTTCATTAAGATGCTTGTTTTTTATGGTTTTCTTTATATCTAGATACATATCTTGATACTAGCGCATATTACGTATTTCTAGAGGGATGTGTATAGCTGAATATTAAAATGATGGTGCAGATGCTTATTTGAAGATAATGCCACACACGTCAATGTTTCTGTGCTATATTGATATAGCTGATGCAAGTGCAGACAGGTGTGCACTGTCATTGTACTTTGCAGCACGACTAGGCCGAACTTAATGACACACAGTCCCCAGATGTTGGCTACGCCAAATCAAATACACTCGAGATATTGCCATATTGTCAACACTGATTGCTGAGGGCAAGCCTAGTTATCAATGTTCAAATTAAGAGAAATATATTTCATAAAATACTGTGAAATGGTTAAAGCGGCCGCAGTGAAGCATATTAAAATAGATGAAATTAAATGGTGATATGGGATCGCACTTTCTAAATTTAATAATTGGCATAAGAAATATTGGTTTGTATGTATCGTAGCAGCCAGATCCATTTGGTGCAGGTGCACTCGTAAGTGATGCACCACAGTTAGCAATAATCTGGCTTGATCAGTGCGGCTGGCGCATATCTGTGTCAGATGTCAGTCACAGACTGATCCCAGTTCAGACTGCTACTACTAGGCTGCTTAGACACTTTGAATTTACATTGTCCTTCTTTGAGTGGCATTTTAGAAGTTGGGGAGTATAATATTGACAACATTTATTGATAGCAACTTAATTTATTTCGTTAGTGAAACTTTTGGATACAGATTCCTGTACCCTTGCAGGAATGACTTACATTGCCCGCAGAAATTAAGCAGTATAAGATATAGAAAAATTGTATAACCTGTCTATAAATTATCTTTCAAGAAGTCAAACACATATAGTGTACATTTATGAGGACAGTAGATACTACAGTCGGTCAAACATGCCTTACCAATGTTACTACCATGTCTCCAGTGGTGTCACTAAGTATTGTTATAAACGTTGAACCTGTATGTATGTACAAACTTAACTCCGATTCTTTTACTTAACAAATGAAAGCATTTACAGCTAAACTAGCTCGTAAGGTATGTCGTGTGGGTATTTACGTGATTACTTATCTCGCTTGGTTTATTCAGCAAATGTATCAATATATTGATTTTTATCAATCGTATGAACACTTAAACTGGATAGGCCTGTGTTAGCTTATAATTATTGTCCTATACGTTTGCAAGTTTTTTCAGACTGTTTGTGCAGAAATTCTAATTCTTACTTGTTATTGCTATATTCGTGTAGGGTCTCCAGGTACGTATGGTATAGATATATACTCTATTTATTTCCCTCCAGGTCAATCCGACCAAGGCCCAATAAGGGCATTTACTGGTTTTTCATCCTTAGACTGCGCTCAGACACTGACCTGGGCTCCGTTTCACAGCGCTCTCGTAAGCCTAAGATCTCGTAACTTTCCTCGTAGCATTCCTACCTCCTATACTGTAACACTGACTTACGATAGTCGTAGCGCTACGAGAACTTTGTGAAACGGGGCCAGGAATTCCTCAATGCCCATTTGTCTCAGGGTACAGTAACTGAAATATCGAAATTCAGTATTCAAGAAACCAAGTTTCCTAAATACATACTTCTTTTCTATATTTCGGGGGAAGACGGAGGTGTGGGTGGGGGGAACGTCGGAATGGTTCTGCGAATACAATGAATACAACGTGGTTAGATGTGGTTGGTGGTAAAGACTTATCTCCCTGAAATCTTCAATTATCCTGTAGGTGAGCTACAGAGACTCCAGTTCATACATATTGTAGTTCACGTAACCCTGTCTTTTAATAGTTACATTAGATTATTGTAGAACATTAGTTTTTCCTTTTGTCACAGTATCATTCCCATTTTTCTCATTTTAACTGGTGGTTGACTTCCAATCCCCGAATAATATGATTCAACACTCAACAAAATATTACTTTCCATCGACTGAAACGTACAAACTGCCAGAAGGTATTCTACTGTACATTGTCTTTGAGAAACAATCAAATGTGACAGCAAAGTAGGTATGTAATCTTTAGATCTGCTACACTGGTATTATTTAGTCCCCAGATGTTAACGTTTCACTACAAAATGGTGGAGTTTTACACCCTTTTTACATTGTTGGTGTCGCAAACATGCGATTGTTGAAACAATATTTTGTTCTTTCATGCTAACATTTCTGATATCAACCATATGGGTTTGAAAACGTTTCACACGTTTGTGAAATTTGTAGATCCTATGATGCAAAAGGGCCCTAATCATACGACGACCTTTAACCATTAATAGGTATCATGACTGTGTGACTTTAAAAGATGACAAATCATCCACGTCACTAGACAAATCATTTATCAAATGGTCACGGGTAGTTTCAAGTCGTCGTTTTACGTTCTGGGCCGTGAAGATCAGGGTTAAAATTGATCTTCGTATGAGGTAACGGGATTGGGTTGTCGGGCTCGCTGACTTGGTTGAAACATGTCATCGGTTCCCAATTGCGCAGATCTATGCTCATGTTGTTGATCACTGGATTGTCTGGTCCAGACTCGATTAATTACAGACCGCCGCCATATAGCTGGAATATTGCTGAGTGCGGCGTAAACCTCACTCACTCACTCACATAGTAGAAGTATGTTATATACATAGTAGAAGTATTTTTCACTACATAGTAGAGGTATGTTTTATACATAGTAGAAGTATCTTTTATACATAGTAGACGTATTTCAATACGTAGTAGAAGTATAGTAGAAGTAATATGTTCTATACATAGTCGAAGTATGTTTTATGCATAGTAGAAGTGTGTTTTATACATACAGTGAGAACATATGTTCATGATCGCATGTGGTCTGTATTTACGTTAACCTTTGCTTTTTTCCAGGTCACGATGGTTCTGGAAGTGTAGGTAGGTAAGAGAAAATGTCGCCAAAAACGTTTTGATACACCTAGTGTTGACATCAAACATAGTCAGATGACGGAGAGTGTGTGAAGTGGGTTTAACTCCACTTGGAATATAACCATTGATCAATGAGTGAGATGTGTTAAATACCACTTTGAACAATAGTTCAGTGAGAAAGGTGGGATTAGCATCACTTTGAACAATAATCCAGTGAAAAAGATGGGATTAGCATCACTTTGAACAATAGTTCAGTGAGAAAGATTGGGTTAGCATCACTTTCAACAATAGTTCAGCGAGAAGGATGGGGTTAGCATCACTTTCAACAATAGTTCAGCGAGAAGGATGGGGTTAGCATCACTTTCAACACTAGTTCAGCGAGAAAGATGGGGTTAGCATCACTTTCAACACTAGTTCAGCGAGAAGGGTGGGGTTAGCATCACTTTCAACAATAGTTCAGCGAGAAAGATGGGGTTAGCATCACTTTCAACACTAGTTCAGCGAGAAGGATGGGGTCAACATCACTTTCAACAATAGTTCAGTGAGAGAAATGGGGTAAACATCACTTTCAACAATAGTTCAGTGAGAGAAATGGGGTAAACATCACTTTCAACAATAGTTCAGCGAGAAGGATGGGGTAAACATCACTTTCAACAATAGTTCAGTGAGAGAAATGGGGTAAACATCACTTTCAACAATAGTTCAGTAAGAAGGATGGGTTCGCATCACTTTCAACAATAGTTCAGTAGGAAGGATGGTTTGCATCACTTTCAACAATAGTTCTTTGTGTGAGATGGTTTAACACCCTTTTTAAGAATATTTCCCTGTGCCTCATTAGAAGGAAATACCAAGATGTCTGCTGACGTGTTCCATCATGAATGGGGAACAATATTATGCATAGTGATTTCACAGTTTTTAAATATCAACAGTCGTGAGAATATGTTACCGCAAAGATTCAGCTGATGTTTCAGTATATACACAACAATGTATGTGAATGATTAATGTACATGTATACTATAGGTAACTATGGTAACACTATTGTTTCCCTTCCAGACTATCTCTGCAACGAGTACTGCATCCGTAAGTATTTAACACCTTTCTCCGTGGCTTTTTCTCTGTAATGCCACACTCAGCAATATCCCAGTGAGATGGTATTGGTCTGTAAATATTCCCACGGATTATCTTACTTGGAATCATTCAGATATGCTCGTAATATATTTGGTTTTATGTTTAACCAGTTAGATCGGAAGGGTTGTGATTTTGATATGCAAAACATGAACGTAGTTCTGTATTCCCAGGCTTGTTTAGGACTGCGTCTGTTTTTTCTCTTTGATATGCAGTTTATTCTTGTTCCCAACAGGATCAGGCACTTAGGTCTGGCCCGTGAAGGTCCGGGACAGAACTGGTCTTCAGACCCATGCTTGTCGTAAGAGGCGACTAACGGGATCGGGTGGTCAGGCTCGCTGACTTGGTTGACAAATGTCATCGTATCCCAATTGCGTTGATCGATGCTCATGCTGTTGATCACAGTATTGTCTAGTCCAGACTCTGGAATATTGCTGAGTGCGGCGTAAAACAATCAACCAACCAACCATTTGGTCTGCTGTTCTCACGAGGTGAAACAGTGGTCAAAGACTGGAATGTATTGCATATCATAAATATTTAAAGTGCGGGTTTCTGTTAATTGTTGTAGTTTATGATATGATATTATAGTTTATTTATGATATTTATTATTTCTAGGGTTGTTTTATTCGCCCCGGTTTGTCGAAAGAGTGATAAATATATTTTTTAAATGGCAGATTGCTATCTCTGTTCTTTTATCACCTGTTGCAGCTTTTGTGACCGAATCTATAACAAAAACATTCACCGGCAAAACTCAATCAATGCTACATAGGTTGTCTCAATTTACAGGGCAACCAACTAGTATAACCCTCCACAGTGGATTATTTAGTCCATATATTTGATGCAAATTCACACCAAACTTCCATCGGTGATATTGCCTGGGGAATATTGATGTATATTTCACCTGTCATGTCATTACAAGGATATTGACCATGCTCATAACATGAGCGTTGGCGTATAAATGGGATATTACCTGTCTATTCACTGTTGTCAGTTATTGAAGGTATAGACAATGAGCTAGTTTGTGGTATATGTTAAAATACGTATCGACCATTCAAATGGCTTTCGTTCGTAATTAAATTAAATCATGGTTCTTGAAAGATAAATAGTTGGGTATTTTTCTATCTAATACGCTGACTTTAAAACCCAGAAATGGTGCAGGTCTCAGATAGTAACTATTTTGGTGAAACCTATAGAATATGGCGTTGACAAATCAAGCAGCTTTATCACAGCGAATGTTGGATTCGAACCCACACTGGCAAATCTTTCTGTTGCCTGCATGCAGTTATGAAGTCTGTGTCCTCTCTTTCAGCCTGTAACTGTAGCGGAACCGGCACTGAGCAGTCCAGCGGCTACAAGTGCAATCCAACGACTGGTCAGTGTGTGTGCAAGTCTATGGTACAGGGCAGGACCTGCGACGAGTGCAAGGACCAGTTCCATAGCCTGGATGGTATGAATGCTCTTGGATGCACAGGTAAGTTCCAACTGGTGGTGTTTGATAATGAAACATGTTCACAATTGTCAGTAACTCTGTCTTGTTTTAATGGGGCGGTGGGGTAGCCTAATGGTTAAAGCGCTGGCTCGTCACGCCGAAGACCCGGGTTCGAATCCCCACATGGGCACAATGTGTGAAGCCCATTTCTGGTGTCCCCCGCCGTGAATATTGCTAAAAGCGGCGTAAAACCAAACTCACTCAGTCAGCCAGTCTTGTTTTATGCGACTTGGGTGAGTGAGTGAGTGGGTGTGACGGTGGCTGGATAGATGGTCTAGTAAGTGAGTGAGTGCGTGGGTGAGCTAGTGAGTGAGTGCGTGTTGGGTTTAATGCCACTTTGTACTGTATTCCAGTTATATCAGTTTAATGTTGGTGGGTCTGACGTAATGGACAGCTCTGACATTGAAATGGTGAAACCACTGACCACCACGCATATGGGGCTGACAAACCTAGACACGTAACTGTTTGGCATTAGACATTATATTTGTATTTTAGAACAGAAACAGTGCATGTTTTGTATATGCTTTAACAACGACATCGTATTACGGTACTTGCAAAATATTTTACTCTGATTAAAGCAAAAACAAAACAAAAAAGTTGGTAACAGTTTACTTGCAATCTCAGAGGAATACACAAAAACGTGAGTATCGACAATGCCGGAAAGAATGGTCACCATGACTACGCCACCAATGTGATTGTCACGTTGTTTTTACACAGTGATTGGTGTGGTTGTATGAACGAGTGCCTGCTACTACATCTACACCTAGTGTAGCCACCCCTACGGATGACATCTACCCGTCTTCTCCCCATACTCAGAATCCTGTCATACCTCATGGATCTTCTGAGTATATCTGGTTCGAACTTGGCGGCCATGATTGTCTCAAAGATGTTTGATGGGGTTCATATCGAGGCTCCATTCGGGCCATAGTATTGTTTTGATGGCGTTGTTCTGCAAATAGACGATGACGGCTCCTTATTGGGGAGGTCTTGTGTTGTCACCAATGACCATCTGACGACAGGCAAGAGGGCGGTTATCGACGGAGTCCAGTACTTCCTGTTGATATCGTTGATCATTTAGGGTCCCAGGTACAGTAAAAACATCCAACTTGCAGTCATACGAAGCGCACCCCCTACCATCACTGAGCCACCACCAATGGGTCCAGCTGTATGGATCATCTCAAGTCGTCTCAAGCCGTCACAAACCCTCTTGCCTTTTCATAAGCTATATTGCAACTGCTATTTGTAAGTGCTGTTATACCGAGACAGTGGTGTAGGCCAGTGGGTCAAGCGTTAACTTCCGTCAGATGTCGTGTGTGTGTGCGCTTGCGTGCGTGCGCGTGTGTTCAATTGCTGGAAACCTATTTCTGCTGTCCCCGCCTTGTTACTTCTAAAAGGTACGTAATGCCATAGTCACACATACAGAACCCTGGCATCAACAATCTTGGGTCAGGTCTGCCGGTAACTGATGGGGAAGTGGTCTAAGGGAGGTAATCGTGAGATGCTACACAGAACCATCGCTTCCAAATGATGGAAAGGTGTAAAATTAATTCGGCCCAGGAAATAAGGTCCACTCAGCTATAATACAAAACAATGTGTGTCGGGATACAACGAGTGTCCGGATGAGCATGTGTTGTAAGGCCAAGTTAAGGCGTAACATTCGGAAGACTCACATATGTCTGGAAGCAATGGCTTACAAAATATTCTGTCGCAAACGAAATGTTACCGTGATACAAGAGGCAAGTGATGTGCTGGTATAATTATTCAGCCTCCATGCGAGACATATTGACTGTTTCTCTCTGTAGAGCCGAATACCCTGTCGTTTTCTGTATACAGGACTGGACCATAAACAAAGGCAGACTACAGAAACTTACCCGGTAAATAATAATATAACTATTTGTATAGCTCTGACTTCCACCACAACAAGAACAATGCTCAAAGCGCTGACAAGTCACAGTTCATTAGTACAAGAAAATACAAGGTATCATGAAACACAGCGTTGAAGAGGTGTATTTTGAGTCTGTTTTGAAGAGTGGCAGAGTAGGTACTAGTTTTAGATCAAAAGGCAGAGAGTTACCCTTAACAACGGACAAGTCCTTATTCCGCAATGTAACCGTATGTAGTTGTTCCCATTTAACTGATTGCGAGTGGCATTGTGCTTCACGAAGTATGCTCGTTCCTAATATAACGCAATCAACTGTATTTAACACAACAGTTCGGATCAAGAAAGAAGCACTATGCGTCATGGACTCGTCCTAGGGAACGTTTCTGTATTTTGATATTGTACCTGGGGTACATATCTGTGACACCTGTGCCGACAAAGACCCCACCAGCCTCGGTAGAACGTGCGTCTTTGAAGGAATTGGCGTTATAGGGCCTGATATTGTTGTGTTGATTCTGTTTCAGCGTGTGAATGTGATGCTGTTGGAACCTTCAACAGCTCCAACTACTGTGATAAACAGTCTGGACAGTGCGTGTGTAAGAACAACACTCAGGGCAGTCGTTGTGACACGTGTAAGGTAAGACTGCGGCAATGTATGTAGTGGGTGGGTGTCACAATGGCGTGTGTCGATGGTGCAGGTGTCACCGGCATCTGTAGTCAGTGTGAACAGGCCGTATAGACAATGGCGTATGTAGTGTGTGTAGTGTGCACAATATGAGACATGGCTGTGTGGAAGCAGTGTGTGAGACAAGGACGTGTATAGGCAGTGTGTGAGACAAGGACGTGTATAGGCAATGTGTGAGACAAGGACGTGTATAGGCAATGTGTGAGACAAGGACGTGTATAGGCAATGTGTGAGACAAGGACTTGTATAGGCAGTGTGTGAGACAAGGACGTGTATAGGCAATGTGTGAGACAAGGACGTGTGTAGGCAATGTGTGAGACAGGGTTGTGGGTAGGGAGTGTGTGAGATAAGGACGTGTGTGAGACAAGGTTGTGTGCAGACTGTGAGGCAAGGAAGGGTGTAGGCAATGTGTGAGACAGGGTTGTGTGTAGGGAGTGTATGAATTAAGGAAGGGTGTAGGCGGTGTGTGAGACAAGGATGTGTGTAGGCAGTGTGTGAGATAAGGAAGGGTGTGGGCAGTGTGTGAGACGGAGTCATGTGTGGGCAGTGTTTGAGACAAGGACGTGTGTAGGCTGTGTGTAAGACAAGGAAGGGTGTAGGCAGTCTGTAAGACAAGGAAGGGTTTAGGCAGTGTGTGAGACAGGGTCATGTGTGGGCAGTGTGTAAGACAAGGACGTGTGTAGGCAGTGTGTAAGACAAGGAAGGGTGTAGTCAGTGTGTGAGACAAGGAAAGGTGTAGGCTTGTGTGTGACACAAGGAAGGGTGTAGGCAGTGTGTGAGACAGGGAAGGGTGTAGGCAATGTGTGAGACAAGGAAGGGTGTAGGCAATGTGTGAGACAAGGAAGGGTGTAGGCAGTGTGTGAGATGTAGACAAGGAAGGGTGTAGGCAATGTTTGAGACAGGGTCATGTGTGGGCAGTGTGTGACAAGGAAGGGTGTAGGCAGTGTGTGAGAGACAAGGAAGGGTGTAGGCAGTGTGAGACAGGAAGGGTGTAGGCAGTGTAGGGAAAAGGCAATGTGTGAGACAAGGAAGGGTGTAGGCAATGTGTGAGACAAGGAAGGGTGTAGGCAGTTTGTGAGACAAGGAAGGGTGTAGGCAATGTTTGAGACAGGGTCATGTGTGGGTAGTGTGTGAGACAAGGAAGGGTGTAGGCAGTGTGCGAGACAGGGTCATGTGTAGGCAATGTGTGAGACAAGGAAGGGTGTAGGCAATGTGTGAAACAGGGTCATGTGTGGGAAGTGTGTGAGACAAGGACGTGTGTAGGCAGTGTGTGAGACAAGGAAGGATGTAGAGAGTGCGTGAGACAGGTTCATGTGTAGGCAGTGTGTGAGACAAGGAAGGGTGTAGGCAGTGTGTGAGACAAGGAAGGATGTAGAGAGTGCGCGAGACAGGTTCATGTGAAGGCAGTGTGTGAGACAAGGAAGGGTGTAGGCAGTGTGTGAGACAAGGAAGGGTGTAGAGAGTGCGTGAGACAGGTTCATGTGTAGGCAGTGTGTGAGACAAGGAAGGGTGTAGGCAGTGTGTGAGACAAGGAAGGATGTAGAGAGTGCGCGAGACAGGTTCATGTGAAGGCAGTGTGTGAGACAAGGAAGGGTGTAGGCAATGTGTGAGACAAGGAAGGGTGTAGAGAGTGCGTGAGACAGGGTCGTGTTTAGGCAATGTGTGAGACAAGGAAGGGTGTAGGCAATGTGTGAGACAATATTGTCTGTAGGCAGTGTGTGCAGCATCATTTTATTGTTATTATTTTACTATTTTATCATTTAATACTTGCTATTTGAATATTGCTTAAAGCAGCAAATACAGACAATCACTGAAACACCTTACAACCCGTTCCAAGATGAGATATTTGTATTATCTTTTGGTTGGTTTGCAGCCCCAGACATACAACCTACTGATAACTAATATAGAAGATGGCTGCACGGCATGTGCTTGTGACATCGGGGGTGCGGTGGACAACAACTGCCAATTGACCGGTGGCCAGTGCACATGCCGCAACAACATCGAGGTGAAGAACTGTACAACGGCGAAGCTGGGCTTCTTTGTGCCTAAGTTGGACTACTTCACTTACGAAGTGGAATTCGGAACATTGACGGTATTATTATGATATGCATGGTACTGTAAACTGAATGATGCCTTCATTTCTTTTCAAAAAATGAATTGATGATGGCGACATTCATCAGTGAACTTTGTTAACTCACTTCTTTTACATTCAAGACATTCACTTACTCTGTTCCCTGAAAACCTGTGGACATGCTTTATGTTTACCTGACAACCTGTAGCCATGCTTTATGTTTACCTGACAACCTGTAGACATGCTTTATGTTTACCTGACAACCTGTAGACATGCTTTATGTTTACCTGACAACCTGCAGACATGCTTTATGTTTACCTGACAACCTGTAGACATGCTTTATGTTTACCTGACAACTTGTAGACATGCTTTATGTTTACCTGACAACCTGTAGACATGCTTTATGTGTACCTGACAACCTGTAGACATGCTTTATGTTTACCTGACAACCTGTCGACATGCTTTATGTTTACCTGACAACTTGTAGACATGCTTTATGTTTACCTGACAACTTGTAGACATGCTTCATGTTTACCTGACAACCTGTCGACATGCTTTATGTTTACCTGTCAACCTGTAGACATGCTTTATGTGTACCTGACAACCTGTAGACATGCTTTATGTTTACCTGACAACCTGTAGACATGCTTTATGTTTACCTGACAACTTGTAGACATGCTTTATGTTTGCCTGACAACCTGTAGACATGTTTTATGTTTACCTGACAACTTGTAGACATGCTTTATGTTTACCTGACAACCTGTAGACATGCTTTATGTGTACCTGACAACCTGTAGACATACTTTATGTTTTCTGACAACCTGTCGACATGCTTTATGTTTACCTGACAACCTGCAGACATGCTTTATGTTTACCTGACAACCTGTAGACATGCTTTATGTTTACCTGACAACTTGTAGACATGCTTTATGTTTACCTGACAACTTGTAGACATGCTTTATGTGTACCTGACAACTTGTAGACATGCTTTATGTGTACCTGAGAACCTGCAGACATGCTTTATGTTTACCTGACAACCTGCAGACATGCTTTATGTGTACCTGACAACCTGTCGACATACTTTATGTTTTCTGACAACCTGTCGACATGCTTTATGTTTACCTGACAACCTGTAGACATGCTTTATGTTTACCTGACAACCTGTAGACATGCTTTAGGTTTACCTGACAACCTGCAGACATGCTTTATGTTTACCTGAGAACCTGTAGACATGCTTCATGTGTACCTGACAACCTGTAGACATGCTTTATGTTTACCTGACAACCTGAAAACCTGTAGACATGCTTTATGTTTACCTGACAACTTGTAGACATGCTTTATGTTTACCTGACAACCTGTAGACATGCTTTATGTTTACCTGACAACCTGTAGACATGCTTTATGTTTACCTGACAACTTGTAGACATGCTTTATGTTTACCTGACAACCTGTAGACATGCTTTATGTTTACCTGACAACCTGTAGACATGCTTTATGTTTACCTGACAACTTGTAGACATGCTTTATGCTTACCTGACAACTTGTAGACATGCTTTATGTGTACCTGACAACCTGTAGACATGCTTTATTTTTACCTGACAACTTGTAGACATGCTTTATGTGTACCTGACATCCTGTAGACATGCTTTATGTGTACCTGACAACCTGTAGACATGCTTTATGTTTACCTGACAACCTGCAGACATGCTTTATGTTTACCTGACAACCTGTCGACATACTTTATGTTTTCTGACAACCTGTCGACATGATTTATGTGTACCTGACAACCTGCAGACATGCTTTATGTTTACCTGACAACCTGTAGACATGCTTTATGTTTACCTGACAACCTGTAGACATGCTTTATGTTTACCTGACAACTTGTAGACATGCTTTATGTTTACCTGACAACTTGTAGACATGCTTTATGTGTACCTGAGAACCTGCAGACATGCTTTATGTTTACCTGACAACCTGCAGACATGCTTTATGTTTACCTGACAACTTGTAGACATGCTAAATGTTTACCTGACAACTTGTAGACATGCTTTATGTGTACCTGACAACTTGTAGACATGCTTTAAGTGTACCTGAGAACCTGCAGACATGCTTTATGTGTACCTGACAACCTGTAGACATGCTTTATGTTTACCTGACAACCTGTAGACATGCTTTATGTTTACCTGACAACCTGTCGACATGCTTTATGTTTACCTGACAACCTGTAGACATGCTTTATGTGTACCTGACAACCTGTAGACATGCTTTATGTATAGCTGACATCCTGTAGACATCCCACTCACATCTTTAATATTTACCAAAGAGACCATTGACTAGCCTTGTGTGTATACCTAACAAGCTGACAGCCCATTGACTAGCCTCAGATTTAATGATGCTCATTCAAAGATACTGATTGACAAGATGCACCTCCTGTGTTGTTATTGAAGAAATATGAGACCGTAAAAGTTTCTTTTACTAACTTCTTTTCATTCAGTGAAAACGAGATGTGGATATGTGTTTAAAGATAGAGATAGAGATATATTTATTCAGTAGTTCGGCCTCATTGCCTAGAATACAATTGGTTTTTAGATAGAACACATGTCACGTAGGAATAGAAAGAAAAATGGCGAGTGCTCGTAAAGTATCCCCATTGTTTGTATTTGATACAGTACACAAGAGTTTCACCGAATAGTGAGATACTTGGGAGATATTTTAAAATATGTGTTTTTATAACTTATATGACCCTCCTACTTCAGAACATATCATGACTTTGTGCCACATATGTATTCTAGGGCAGCTCAGTCATAGAGACACCTGGACACGGCCAGCTCACGGCGGATCTCACCGGAACCGGTTACGTCGAGCTCACCCCGGGTACTTCAGTTGCTGTAGATGTCCAGTTGCCAGGCAACCTTATCCGTCAGTTCGTGGTAGTTGTCAGATACAAGGTAATTCTTCTTCCCCTGAATTGGCTTAAATTTAACTGAAGAGCCAGTGCCTTTAAATTTGGGCAAATGTTTTTTCCCACACAAGATGTGTCGACAAAACTACCCTGGACAATCATTGCAAGTTGTTTACTGTACAGTTTTACAATAATTCTGTTACCATATGTATACATCTTCAATGTTACTGTTGCCTCTCTAGTTTTTGGTCTCTGTGGGTGCATGCGTGCGTGTGTGTGTGTGTGTGTGCATGCGTGCGTGTGTGTGTGTTTCAGCTGATTGTTCAACCACTTACATGGTTTGATTCAACTAAGTGATTGTTCAACCACATACTTAGTGTGATTCATGATATCTCCCTCTTCTTCCAGTCAACAATCACGACCGCACAGCCCCTGAACGTACAGATCAGCATGCCGAATGGTGGGGCTTACACATGTGAAGGGACACCAATCCTTGCAACTCAAACCTGGAATGGGACATTATCTGCGACTGGTCCAGTACCCAAATGTGAGATCTTGGGAATTCTTTCAGAAAAACAACCTTCTATTTGTTGCATCCTTCTAGTCTGTCTCACAGTCCCTGAACCGCATAATTTTATTTTCTGTCTAGCCCTGTCTGCAATGAAGCAAGTGTACATTCCCTCAGGTTCTGAATCTCCGATTTCAATTTTATTTCTTGTTTTACAGGTTTTTGTCCTCAGAAAACCTAACGGCAGGAGGGGAAAAAAATAAAATCACCAGTCAAAGTAATATTCCTTCTAAACATTAAAAGTATTTTGCATCTGGCAATTTATCAAGTGTATTTGGGGCAAAAAGCAATCAAAATATTATTTCTTTTAAGTTTACATTTTTTGGCTAATAAAAACATAAGGTTTTTTTTTTTTGAGAGGGGAAAATTAATGGGTTTTTTCTTATTCTTGAAAAATATGACCGGTAGATCTGTAAAACAAGAAATAAAATTGGTCTGGCCTTATTATGAAATGAAAAATTACGAAATTCTGTGCTTCGTCAACACTACAACAAAATATCCTCAAAATGGTCATGATGCTGAACTTTTTATGTTCAGTATATATGGGCCGGGTTAGGGTTAATAGGAATAGTGTGGGTGTATTTCTTTGTGTGCCTATTTTCAACATAATCCTGTTGGTTTAGTAAGTGTTTGTTTGCTTATTTACATTCTAGCTTCATTGCAATGATATACTTTCTCTTGTATAATCGTGATATTGAGTATTTACCTTTATAAATACAGGGTGCCATTTAGAAAGCGGTCAAATGCAGCATATGTTATTTTGGGGATGAAACTTTGTTAGTAAGGTACAGATTCTAGTCCTTTCTGCGGTGGAGCCCCATCTAGACTACCAGTTGTTACATCTACATTCAGTGGAAGCTATGGGGGCTAAGTGGGTTAGATCACTGTGGCGATTAGGTGTTGGGGTTCAAATCCTAGATGCGACTCAACCGAAACTGTAGTTTACTGAGAAAGTGTAATCCCAAAATAACATATGTTATGCTTTCCTTTATCATATAAAATTATATAGAATTAATCCTCTGGCTTCTGTTTGAATGATAAACACTTTTTGATTTTGCAGCTTCCCTGGAACTGGCAACACAATTCTGTGCGTCCTCCGCCTTCAAATATACAATAAATGTTGCCGCTCCTGCCTCCAATACAGGCAACATCATGGTGGACTCGGTGAGTGAGTGAGAGAGTTACTCATGATAACACTCTTGTATCAAGGTTTTTGTGAGTGAGTTTAGTTTTACGCTGCATTTAGCAATGTTCCAGCAATATCAGGACAGAGTGAATGAGGAGACGAGAGTTTAAAGGTCACATAAACCCTAAGGGGTACAAATACATAAATCACTAACTGGCATCGTTATAAATGAAACCCCGTCATTAAAACTACTCATTTCGACCTTTAATTGACTTAAATCGACCTTTTTGACAACAGTGCACAATTCTCACCCGCGAACGAAATTTCAACCAATCAGAGCGGCGCGTCTCTGTGACGTCATATTTGGAATAGCTTTGAGGGCCGATGCAGAATTCATCTACATTTTAGGGGGTAAATTATCTTGTTTACAGGCTTGTATAAACCTGAAATCGTGACAATTGTTGTGGAAAATGAAAGCTATATGTTCTCACAATCTACTGTCATTTAATTTTGTCTCCTGCTTTGCCTAGTTTCCGAGTTACAACTTGTTTTCATAGACGATTCTGTCAAAATCGATTGGTGTCTTTAGGCCCTATTTGTATAATGACTGATCTAAATTGATCCCATTTCTGTGTTTTTTTACCTCGATATTTAATCATATCATGTAAAAATCTGTTTGTATTCTCAAAACAGTGTCGGCCCATAAGTTTTCACATGCAATACAGCAATTAATATTCCCTTGTTCTAACCCTTGTTAGGTGGTATAAACCTACACGTTATTTGTCATCATTCACTTGATGGTCAGTTAATGAATTTATAACAGGTATAATTAGTGGTAACACCCTTAGATTACCCGACAAAGGTTCCCATTTGGCATTTCTTGTGTCTGGAGTAAATATTCAACATTATAAACATCGATCAAAGGATTAACCGATAACACGCTGACTGATTAATTACTTTTATCTTACACAGCGGAATTGTCAAAAGGTAGTGTTTATGTATGTAGATTTACTAATCTATACTGAATACACTCTGTCGTGTCGGTGTCTGCGTAAAAACAACGTGCTCCGTTCAAAGGATTAACCGGCAATACATTAATTGATTGCCCATTATTGGCTAACTAAATTACTGTTTTAAAGAAAGGCGGACATTATGCAATTAGTTGCCAGGTGTGCTATCTTGGGTGACCAATGAGACTATACACCAATACCTGAAAAGATTGATCACTTTTTCGTATATTAAACTGTTAAAAGACACATCATTTGGAACAGTTTTGTGGATATTGATGGATACATTCCTCGAACATGGTAATGGCCTGATATTGTTCCTATAACTTTAATCTGTTTTAATTTTAATATTTGCATTTTGTTTTTGTTCATTTGTCGTAGCATTCAACAGAATCATTGTTTTCGCCGTGAAGTGTAATGAGACAGACAACATGCACTAGGGTGTGTGTGCGAATTATGATTCACATTGGCAAACTATAAAATGTCTAGATATTACAGTTCTGTTATAAATTCACTATAAGTATCAGCAGATCGTCTGCTTTTTATTTAGTTTCAAAATGCATACAAGTATGATCACAAACTAATTAGGATTATAAGACCAAATATAAAGACGCACATTGACTAGTATCTACATACTGGTGAGTGGACATTAACCATGTGAATGTAGCAAGAAATTTATCGCGCAGTATTGTAACTTCGACCCCACCTCGCTTCCGTGGAAGAAATCGTTATGTTATAAGTTGTGTCATGCAAAATCCGTTTGGTTATGATTCCAATACATATTTAACTACGAGTAGAAAGTAGTTTTGATTTTCTAACTTGATGAAAACAAACTATAATCTCATTAATTCTAACAGACTTTACGATTTTCAAAAATGGCGGCGCCCTGTCGGGAACATCCGCCAGTCTGAGGATAAATGCTATTTAGATTTGTTTTCACCGAGTTACAAAATCAAAACTACTTTCTACTGGTAGTAAAATATTTATTTTATTGATGGCCAATAGGATTTTGCATGACATAGCGTATAGTATAACAATTTCTCTCCTGGCAGCGAGGTGGGTGTCAATATAATACTACTTACAATATTATTGTTACTTCGACCACAACTTCACTTCCGAGGAAGAAATCGTTATGTTACAAGTTGTGTCATGGAAAATCTTTATGGTCATCAATCATATACATATTTTACTACTAGTAAGTAGTTTTGATTCTTTAACTTCCGTGAAGCGATCTGAACACAAGTAAGATATCGTTTCAGGCTTCCACAACGCTCGCTTCGCACTCACAAACATAACCCATTTAGCACGAACTGCGGGGTCCTGTGGAAATCTGTGCATGGTGACACCATCGCCCGACCCCGAGGAGCAATTGACGACAAAGCAACGATTCGACATGTCGTCGTTGATGTCGAGAAATCATCAAAATGATGAGCATGCTACACACTTTGGTGTCCTCCCATTACGCAGACAGCCAGTTTGCAGACACCTTAAAACAACAACATTTACGGTTCAGTGAACAGATTATCTACTACCCGTTACCTACACATTATAATGGAATAGTCCAAATAAAACACAGGAACAAACTGAAGCTATATTATTTATTTTGAAAGATGGACGAAAAGACAGTAATTTGAATTTTTATTGCTGCAATATAAAAAACAGTTTATTTTCATAAACATTTCGGCTTAACCTTCTAGTCTAACGGGAGTCGGCATCATCATATTGAAAACATTAGCTTAGCTATTAGATATTGCGACACTGTTGTATCATATAAATCAAATAGACAAATGTGAACCTAAATATTATTCATATGGAATAAAGAAATTATATGTTTTGCACACAATATTAAGATCCATGACAAGTGCACTTAATTACGATTTTTTTTTAGAATAAATATTTAAAATAAGACGCATCATGTGAATGTGGCCATGGATGTGAGAATGTTTTTCATTACTTCTTTGAATGTCCATTGTATATTACTCTAAGACACAAACTGTTACAATCTTGAGAAAGTATTGTAAAAATTAGAAAACTGATTGGTATTAATCATATCTTACATGGCAATGCAGGTGTTTCATTTACTGCAAATTAGAATGTTTTCAAATATGTACATATCTATATCTCTCCAACAAAACGTTTTCTCAGTTAACTTCTGTTGTACATATCCTATTATTGGGAGGGGGCTTTTCTATCAATAAACACAATCAAACCTCTCAATGACTAACCTGTTTTTCTATTTGATAGTAATTGATAGTAAAATCAATTTGAGAAGACAAACCATTTATCATTTAATCACAACAAAGTTCTATTTACCCACAATCAAACTTCTCAGTAACGAACCTGTTTCAGGCTCACCCTGCTCTACTCACTAGACAGTGGATTGTTCCATTATACCTTTAGGTGTTACCTTCATTAACCTTCTAATTCAGTGTCTGTCAACTGGGTGTCTGTCAATTGGGTGTCTGTCAATTGGGAGATAACCCACACTTTCTATACAACTAACTGAAAATCGTTCCTCATATGACGTCACTGCAGTGCTCTGGCGACAGAGTTACGTAACCTGTCTGTGGTTTCGTTGGCGGACGAGAGAGAAGCAGGCGACTTTTTGGCCACTTTTAAACGCTCGGTATTAATTAACCACAAGTTTTTAAAGAATAAATTTGGTGTTCCGCATAAGACTAACCACAAATCTTTCATATGTAATGGTTAAAAGAGTAACAAAAAAACAAAGTTTAGTGGTTCTTTAAGCATGGGAGAGGTTGGTCAGCTCAAGTGAATAAGTGAAATAAATACACTGGTGTGGTGCATGAATGAGAGGAGGATTGCAGTGGTCAGACAATGAAATGTCTTCACTATTGGGTCTAAAATAGTGGAGTATTTACCAAGGGAGGTAACTCGCATTTTGATGAAGTATTTGTGTATTCCATGAAATATAAATGTCTTCTTGGGTCAAATTCATTTGCAAGTATGCACGTTGCAAAATTAAATTTCTATTGCTGAGTTTATAAGTATGTTGTAAAGTTAAAAAGTTAAAATGTTGGAGTCAGTGACTGTTTTGGGACGGTTTATAATTCATGCTGGGGGTGTGCTGATGATTTTAAGGTGGGGTCACCCATTTTGTTCTGGGAAGGTAGGGGGGTCATCAGTTTTTTACATACGTTTTAGGGGGTCAGCTATTTTGTACATGAAAATATTCAAAACATTATGCTTAAAAATTAGGGGGAGTGCATTGATTTTGAACATTGCATGCAGGGGGTCAGGTACTTTGTACATAAATCTTAGGGGGTTCATTCACATTGTACATGCTTCTCATCACTGACGTGTCTGTTTAGGATATGAGTTTCATCACTGACATGTGTCTGTTTAGGATATGAGTTTCATCACTGACATGTGTCTGTTTAGGATATGAGTTTCATCACTGACATGTGTCTGTTTAGGATATGAGTTTCATCACTGACATATGTTTGTTTAGGTTGTACTTCTTCCTGATATTACAAGACTGACAGCGTATCTCAACTCTTCGGACACTGTCAAGTCGAACATGGACTCATGTGTTGCTACTAGCAAGACTGTGGATGTAGCTGTGCAGCAATCTGGAAACTGCTCGGCCCTCGAATACTCAATCATGGCTGAGTTTATGAACGGAGCGATACGTAAGTGTATTTTTAAAGGTATTCCCCCTCTTGCCATTTTCTTTAACAAAGAAAAAGTGAGTTTAGTTTTACGCCACTTTTAGCAATATTCCAGCAATGTCACAACGGGGACACCAGAAACGGGTTTACTATAATGTACCCTTGTGGGGAATCGAACAAGGGTCTTCGGCATGACGAGCGAACACTTTAACAACTTGGCTACCCCCCGCTCCTGGATAGAAAGAACATATGGCTGTAAATGAATGGAAAACATAGGAACTGCCATGGTCAAATAATCTGCAATGACAGATTGTACATATAGCCTACGATTTGTTTCACATGTTTGTCGGAATATAAGACGGAACCCAGTCTATAAACTGCCAGAAAAGAGAACAGAAAAATGAGTTATAGTACTGTCGGAAATAGAAAAAAACTGTTTTTAGGCCGTTACGTCTTATCCCTAAAATTTACACAATTGCAAATAGCATATGTCGAAATAACCCACTTCGGCCTAACTGGGCGTTCAGTGGGATGCGTAATACGATATCCAGAAAAGCATGTTTACTCGTAAAATCGGGCAAAACTTAGAAAAAATACGAATAGCTGCTACAAACAATAGATCAGACTATAGATGACAATTAGGGCGCTCAGCCAGGTATGACGACGGATCGTCGACTCACCTGGCATGAAATGCACGTGCTGCCTACAGGCACAAGGGGTCATCTCAAAGATATTTTGTGCTTTTTCAGGTGTGTTGACTATGTCTCATCCACTGATAAACATCTTACGTCTCTTTCTCTACAAAGTTTATTTTGAGATATGTAAGAGAGTATGATACCCGAAAACCATAGAAACGCATCGTAGTATATAGGTGGCATGACCACCCGAAGATCGACAGGACTGGATATTATTTGTAAATTGTTATGACGTGCCGTGGACCTCCCCAGTATAATTTCCCTAAACGATTATCTTATCTTAGCTGATATCTCTATCCCCAAGCCCGAACCCAGGTTTTGCTTTTGAGGCGACCCCTCCTATCTGTTTCTTTTTGTGACAGTGAGACTGCATGGTGGCTACATCCTGAATAGTTTCGGCATAAAAGTTATTATTTTTTACGTCAGCTATCGTTTATGATGAATATACGTCTAATTTCAAAGTGGGCATTAAAAAAGTGTCCTTTGTAATACAATATCGTCGCACACGAATTTGCATAAAGCCATAGTCTGTTCCAAATGATTCATTTTGGACTCAGAAAAAAACCGCATTGCTCATTTCTGCACTAATTTCCCCTCAGTAAAGTCCTTTTTCTCCGTTTCCTATCTCTACCACTGAGACTGTAGTTAGGTCGAACTTAGTTTCACAGATATTTCACACTTTCACATATCAACTACATAAATTGTAGAGATGAATGAGAAAATACAGGGTTTTTTCTATTTCCGACAGTACTATAGTGAATGTTTTTCATCCAGCTTTAATAGTGGCCCAGATTTCAATAGTTAGCCACCTTCATTAGTGGACCTAAACAATTGTAAATGCATGCAAGTGAAATGAAGGTTGTTAAGTGACAGTCACAGTATATATCAAGTCTAAACTAGAGACACAAATGATTGATATCATGAGCATAGACCAGGTTACAATGGTATCATTCTGTACATGAGAACTGTCTTAGTGCAGCTTACAAAATGTAATGATATTTGCTTCCAATACAACAATTATTACTACAAGTGTATGCTCGCATACAAGATGCATCAAATAATTCTTCATTCTTACAATGGCGTTTCTTGGTGGCAGTAATGGGGGAGGTCGGGTAGCCTAATGGTTAAAACATCACGCCGAAGACCCGGGTTTGATTCCCCACATAGGTACAATGTTTCTGGTGACCTCCGCCTTGATATTGCTGGAATATTGCTAAAAGCGGCGTAAAAACATACTCACTCACTCATTTGGTGGCAATGGGCATTACAGATAAGACAGATCCTCGGTAACCTGTGCTTGTCCTAACAAGCAGCTTAAATAGGTATAGTTGGGGGATCTTATTGGTTACAGTAGGTAGCATCGAAGGTTCAATATGGCTCATAATATCAGTCAAGGTCAACCTATGGGCTGACATGATACAGCTGGAGTATTGTTAAGTGTGGTGTTTAAGAACATCAGCTCATTCCCTGTCGGTGCTCTACTATTGAAGCGAGTATTACAATGTTAGATAATGCATTACTGCCTCTGAGAGTGATGCATGATCGGACTTCCCTTGACAGCATGTGCCTGTGGCAGTGGGACGGTGGCGGCATCGGTGGGGATGTGCAACCCTAAGGGGGGGGAGTGTGATTGTCGGGAGGGCATGATCATGCGGGACTGCTCTCTCTGCCAGGTCGACTCCTACGGACAAAACTGCTCAGGTAAGTACAACATGCTCAGGTAACAACAACATGCTCCATTACAACATTGTTATCAGGTAACTACAACATGCTCAGGTAACAACATGGTCAGTTACAACATTGTCAACAGGTAACTACAACATGCTCAGGTAACAACATGGTCAGTTACAACATTGTTAACAGGTAACTACAACATGCTCAGGTAACAACATGGTCAGTTACAACATTGTTAACAGGTAACTACAACATGCTCAGGTAACAACATGGTCAGTTACAACATTGTTAACAGGTAACTACAACATGCTCAGATAAAACAACATGGTCAGTTACAACATTGTTAACAGGTAACTACAACATGCTCAGGTAACAACATGGTCAGTTACAACATTGTTAACAGGTAACTACAACATGCTCAGGTAACAATTTGTTCATTTGATAACAACATAATCAGGTTACAATTCATTTTACAACAGCATAATCAGGTAACAATGTGTTCATTTAACAACAACAGAATCAGGTCACAATTTGTTCATTTAACAACATAATAATAAGGTAACAATTTGTTCATTTAACAACAACAATCAGGTAACAATTCATTTTACAACAACATAATCAGGAAACAGCTAACCATACTATCCTTACACCATACTCTTTACTTGCAGCATGTAACTGCTACAGCCTCGGCTCGGTCAAATTGTCGTGTAACGGCACTGGTGACTGCACCTGCAAAGTTAACGTCACTGGAAGCAAGTGTGCTGCCTGTCTGCCTGACCACTTTGGACTGGGCACAGGTGAGGATGCGCTGATGTAGGAACGTAAAAAATAATAACGGCTGGGTGAACAGAGGCAATGTATGAACAAACTCACTTCCCTAAGGTGGGACTACATGTGCTATGCCAGTGTTCAGACATTGTGTTTTTGTACATGTGTGAGAAAGAGAGAGAGAGAGAGAGAGAGAGAGAGAGAGAGAGAGAGAGAGAGCGAGAGAGAGAGAGAGAGAGAGAGAGAGATAAAGAGAGAGAGAGTGTGAGCGTGAGAGAGAGAGTGAGAGAGAGTGAGAGAGAGAAAGAGAGAGAGAGAGAGAGAGAGAGAGAGAGAGAGAAAGAAAGAGAGTGACAGAGAGAGAGAAAGAAAGAGAGAGAGAGTGAGAGAAAGAAAGAGAGTGAGAGAGAGAAAGAGAGAGTGAGAGAAAGAAAGAGTAAGAGAGAGAGAGGGTGAGAGAAAGAAAGAAAGAGAGGAGAGAAAGAGAGGAGAGAGAGAGAAAGAAAGAGAGAGAGAGAGAGAAAGAAAAAGAGAGAGGAGAGAAAGAGAGAGAGAGAGAGAGAGAGAGAGAAAGAGAGAGAGTGAGAGAAAGAAAGAGTGAGAGTGAGAGAAAGAAAGAGAGAGAGTGAGAGAAAGAAAGAGAGAGAGAGAGAGAGAGAAAGAAAGAGAGAGAGAGAAAGAAAGAGAGAGTGAGAGAGAGAAAGAAAGAGAGAGAGAGGAGGGGTTGTAGAGGCGTGGCTGAGTGTGAGAGTGAGAGTGCATGTGTGTAGATGTTGTGTAAGCTAAGCTGTGTTAGGGGCTGTTTGTTTGGGTTGAGTTTTATGAATGTGTTCCCTTGAATAGAATGCTTGTAAATGTTGTTTGTAATCTTATGCCAGGGGTCTTTTCGGCCAGTAATGGCCAGGTGTTTTGAAAGTGAATATGTATGCATTTTGTCTGTTTGCACACATGACACCATTATAGACTATATTATTATTATCATTATATTATTATGTATTACTGAGATCTATACTTCCAGGGAACGGCTGTTCTCTGTGCAGCTGCAACATGAACTACTCGGCCAACAACTCCTGCAGCGACAACGGTCAGTGTCCGTGCAAGCCCGGTGTTGGGGGGCGTCCTGTGTGACGTGTGCCTGGATGGGTATGTGCTTACCGTCAACTTCAAACGACCAGTCCGTTCATATCTTGTTGATTGGACCGGTGAAGATCTGGGTTAGAAATGAACTTCAGTAACCCATGCTTGTTGTAAAAGGCGACTAACGGGTGGTCAGGCTCGCTGACCTGGTTGACTCATGTCATCGGTTCCCAGTTGTGTAGATCGATGCTCATGCTGTTGATCACTGAATGTCTTGTGTCATCACACCTCGTGGGATCTCAAACCCTTGAAGATCGGGGCTAGAATTGATCTTCAGCAACTCATGCTTGCCGTACACGTGTCATCGTATCCCAATTGCTTAGATCAATGCTCAATTTTGTTGATCACTAGATTGCCTAATTCAGACTCCATTATTTACAGGCTGCCGCCATATAGTTGGAATATTGCTGAGTGTGGCATTAAAATACAAACAAAACAAACTCAGTGGAATCTGTTTCGACGAACACCATGACTGGGCACTCTCTGGCATGGACAGAATATATTTCAATAATATGAGAACTGTCTATTGCAGTAGGACACATACATTTGGGTACTTTAAAGCCGAAGGTATATACGGCTGTTTAATCTTTTCTCGATCCGTTTCATGAAAATACAGATGACATTGACATTTAAGAAAATTCTCGTCTCTCATACAGATACTACAATCTGACGACATCTGGGTGCATGCCGTGTGGATGTGAGACTAACGGCAGCGTCAGCAACGTCTGCAACAAGGCTACTGGAGTCTGCACGTGTAAAGCAAACTCACAGGGAGACAAATGCACGCAGTGTAAAGAAGGTACCCATCAGTGTCTGTTCGTTTACCATTCCTTTACTGACCAATACCCCATTCATCTGAAGATCATTGAACTATCAGTCCCTTGTCAGCCTAATATGCATAAATTAGGATATTATTCAGCTATCAGTCTGTCGTCAGCCTAACCTCCATAAATTAGAAGATCATTCAGCTATCAGTCTCTTGTCAGCCTAATATGCATAAATTAGAAGATCATTCAGCTATCAGTCCCTTGTCAGCCTAATCTCCATAAATTAGGTGATCATTCAGCTATCAGTCTGTCGTCAGTCTAACCTCCATAAATTAGAAGATCATTCAGCTATCAGTCTCTTGTCAGCCTAATATGCATAAATTAGAAGATCATTCAGCTATCAGTCCCTTGTCAGCCTAATCTCCATAAATTAGGTGATCATTCAGCTATCAGTCTGTCGTCAGTCTAACCTCCATAAATTAGAAGATCATTCAGCTATCAGTCTGTCGTCAGTCTAACCTCCATAAATTACAAGATCATTCTGCTATCGGTCTCTTGTCAGTCTAACCTCCATAAATTACAAGATCATTCAGCTATCAGTCTCTTGTCAGCCTAATCTGCATAAATTACAAGATCATTCAGCTATCAGTCTCTTGTCAGCCTAACCTCCATAAATTACAAGATCATTCAGCTATCAGTCTCTTGTCAGCCTAATCTGCATAGATTACAAGATCATTCAGCTATCAGTCTCCTGTCAGCCTAATCTGCATAAATTACAAGATCATTCAGCTATCAGTCTCTTGTCAGCCTAATCTGCATAAATTACAAGATCATTCTGCTATCAGTCTCTTGTCAGTCTAATCTCAATATAATAGAAGATTACTGAGCTAACAATCCATTATCAGCCTATTCCCCATTCATCTGAAGATCATTCAGCCATCAGTCTGTCATCAGCCTCCACAAAGCCAACACGCCAGGAGACAAATGCATGCAGTGTAAAGTAAAAGTAAAATCAATTTGTTAGCGGCCAACCTGCATTCATTTGAAGATCTTGCAGCTATCAATCCTTAATCGGACAAGGATTTGAAAATCATTCAGCTGACGATCTGCTGTCGTCTGATTCCCCCTAGACTTGAAGATCATTGAGCTAACAATCTTTTATTCACTTATTCCCCATTCATTTGAAGATCATTCAGCTAACAATCCTCCATTAACTTATTCCCCATCCATTTGAAGATCATTTGGCTAACAATCCTTTGTTAACTTATTCCCCATCCATTTGAAGATCACTGAGCTAACAATCCTTTATTAACTTATTCCCCATCCATTTGAAGATCATTCAGCTAACAATCCTTTATTAACTTATTCCTCATCCATTTGAAGATCATTCAGCTAACAATCCTTTATTAACTTATTCCCCATTCATTTGAAGATCATTCAGGTAACAATCTTTTATTTACTTATTCTCTATTCATTTGACGATCACTCAGCTAACAATCTTTTATTAATTCATTCTCCATTCATTTGAAGATCATTCAGCTGACAATCTTTTATTAATTCATTCTCTATTCATTTGAAGATCACTCAGCTAACAATCTTTTATTAATTCATTCTCCATTCATTTGAAGATCATTCAGTTAACAATCCTTAATCAACATATTCTCCAGTCATTTGAAGGCCATTCAGCTTCCAATTCTTTTTCGGACACTTTTGTTCCTAGGATACTACGGCCTGGGAAGCTGGTCAAATGATGGCTGCCTAAAGTGCCAGTGTTCCGGTCACTCCAGCAACTGCACCACGGCCACAGGATGGTACCTGACCCAGACGGAGAGTCACTGGACACTGGAAACTGTAACCGCAGCCACTGGTGACCGCTGGACCGGCCAGGATGACCAGGGAAATAACGTGACTGTTGATGACCCACTGCGACTTAATGAGTTGCCCTCAGACCCCTCGGCTCAGTAAGGACGAAATACGAACCTGGCTAGCTATTCTTAAAACGTTAGTAGCCCTACGAACTTCTTTAGCCCATTCTTAACACATTGGCTACGATCAAAGTTAAGAATTCTTAGGGCTACGAACGTTTCGAGAATAGCGAGCTTAACACTAAGATTGTTGTATCTCTGACTTTCTAAAACTGATTCAGGACAGTCTAAGCATTTAACATAAGCTTATGACACTAAGGAGGACATCCGACTGTTTATAATGCCAGAAATCTGTTCCCCATAGACTTTCTGCAGTTGCAGCATTTAATACAGGCTTACGGCAGTCAAAGCGTGTAACATAGACTTTCTGCAGTTGCAGCATTTAAGATAGGCTTACAGCATTTGTAGCGTGTAACATGGACATTCTGCAGTTGCAGCATTTAAGATAGGCTTACGGCAGTCGTAGCGTGTGACATAGACTTTCTGCAGTTGCAGCATTTCAGATAGGCTTACAGCAGTCGTAGCGTGTAACATAGACATTCTGCAGTTGCAGCATTTAAGATAGGCTTATGGCAGTCATAGCGTGTAACATAGACTTTCTGCAGTTGCAGCATTTAAGATAGGCTTACGGCAGTCGTAGCGTGTAACATAGACTTTCTGCAGTTGCAGCATTTAAGATAGGCTTACGGCAGTCGTAGCGTGTAACATAGACTTTCTGCAGTTGCAGCATTTAAGATAGGCTTATGGCAGTCATAGCGTGTAACATAGACTTTCTGCAGTTGCAGCATTTAAGATAGGCTTACGGCAGTCGTAGCGTGTAACATAGACTTTCTGCAGTTGCAGCATTTAAGATAGGCTTACGGCAGTCGTAGCGTGTAACATAGACTTTCTGCAGTTGCAGCATTTAAGATAGGCTTACGGCAGTCGTAGCGTGTAACATGGACATTCTGCAGTTGCAGCATTTAAGATAGGCTTACGGCAGTCGTAGCTCGTAACATGGACATTCTGTAGTTGCAGCATTTAATATAGGCTTACAGCAGTCGTAGCGTGTTACACAGATACAAAGTCAGTGATCTAACTTACTCAGCCACCACTGCTTCCACAAAATCGAATCAGACAACAGGTAGTCAAGATCACATACTTTGTGTGTCCCTCTGGCAAATGTAGAATCGAGGTGGCTCAGTGGGTTAGATCGCTGACGTTGTGTGCTGGCGATTACTTTCCTGACCCTGAGAGTGTGGGTTCTAATCCTGGATGGCACTCAATCAAATAAAATTACTTGAACCTATCCGTTACAGTAAAATATAATATAATGTAATCTTCAGTGTACTTACAGTTTGGTATTTTTATGGATGTTTAGTTGAAATAATCCAGCTATAGGGCAGCGGTCTGTAAATAATCGAGTCTGGACCAGACAATCCAGTGATGAACAGCATCAGCATCGATCTACGTAATTGGGATACAATGACATGTATCAACCAAGTCAACGAGTCTGACCACCCGATCCCGTTAGTCGCCTCCTACGACAAGCATGGAGTGTTGAAGATCAGTTCTCACCTGGATCTTTTCAGATATGTGATGAGGCTGGTGAACAGTGGAAACAACATCAACCGTCGTCACATGTACTTTGTTGCACCGGCGAAGTTCCTGGGTAACAAGAAGACAGCGTATGGGCTGTCACTGACGATCCAGATGCAGGTGAATGTGACAGAGGTTGTCCAGGACAAATACGTAGAAGGAGACGTGATCCTTCAGGGTATGGGGCTGCCATACAAGCTCACCACAAGCCTCCAGCCGCCTGCAGATGTCCAGATCCGTACTTATGTGGTGAGATATGGATGTATAGTCGTAGTAGTAGCAGTAGTAGTAGCAGTAGTAGTAGCAGTAACACCAGATTCATCCAGTACAATAAGTTCAACTATATTCTGACAATCTTTCAGTACAGTAAATTCTAACCACACTGTACATTAGATATTGACACCAAACTCTTCTGTGACCTATATCTCAATGAAACATGTTTGTATTGTTTGTGTTCCCAGATAAATATGCATGAGGGCAGCTGGATGGTCAACACGACAGATGGCCAGAACGCCACCTACGATCAGATGTTGCAGACGCTCACGGAGTTGACGTCGTTCAGAATCCGGGGCAAGTTTAGCAATGTAAGAAGGCAGACAACGTTCATTCTATGTCCTCATAGTCTGTAATACGTTCTTTGTTACAAAGGATAATCGTATTTTACTTTTGTTTTGCTGAGATCAGTCAAGGTCAAAGTGGGGCGCTAGGGTAGCCTAGTGGTTAAAGCGTTCACTCGTCACTCCAAAGACCTGGGTTTGATTCTCCACATGGGTATAATGTGAAGCCCATTTCTGGTGTCCCCCGCCGTGATATTGCTGGAATATTGCTAAAAGCGGCGTAAAACCATTCTCATTAACTCTCTCACTCAAGGTCAAAGCAGATATATCCTGGTTTAGGTACTAAGCCACACAAAAGGAATTGTATAATAGTCAAATGGTTCATTGGAGAAAAACATAATGTCATGAGGGAATGAACAAATTTGGCTGAAAACAGTTTGACACAGTTTATCTCCGTGACACATGTAATTTTGACTTGCTGAAATACTGCTGAAACCAACATAATCACTGATTGTAAGAGGACTACACACGGAGTTGCCAGGTGATGTTAAGACTGTCTAATCAAACTGTTACTGGCAAACAAGGATAAGTTGAGCACTGACCTGACAATTGACCCCTATTAGCATGTATGAGTGCCGCCCACTGGCTCTTGTCATTGTTAGCGAAGGGGCCCCAGGTTGTCCGCGATCAAGTGTAGTGCAACTTGCTACACCGACGTGAGAGTCTTATGAGCAAGGCGTGTGCAGCTACGCGCGGAATCAATTTCATCATCATGCTCTCCCTTTCACAAACCAAACGGGTTTGCTAATTGCCGTGCACCGCCTACTTCTCGTAAATGTGTTCTTTGCGCCAGTCCAACTTATCCTTGTTTGCCAGTAAATATCTTCTCTGATGGACATTTGCCTCTGTAATGATAAGAAACTTTGTCTTTCACTTTTTCATTTACGTAGCTTATCCTCGTTGACTTCAGGTGATATTTATGTACAAGCTCAAATCTACATCACCCCTGGCTTGCCTCCCACCTTGATCACACATGCCATGATACATGGCTGAAATATGTTCAAACCAGCCTACACTCACCTATATATAACATATCCTCCGTGGTGTAGAGGTTTGAGCGTCCGCCCGGAGAGCGGAAGGTCGTAGGTTCCATTCCCGACCTTGTCATACCAAAAGTTGTTAGAATATGGTACTTGTTGGTCCCTGTCGGACGCTTGGTATTAATGGAGCACAACAAGGACTGGTCGGCACGAAGTTAGTATTATGTGTCTGATAGGGGTATTCATGCTTCACTGCGGCATGGTACCTCAGTGGGCTAGTACTATAAAACCAGCTTGCGTCTAGGCTAGTACAAGCAGCCACACATGCACATGCATGCAAGTTGTCATATGAGAGAAATATATTCTTAAGTACAATGTTAAACCTCATTTCACCTCATCTCACCTCAACTATATATATTTTTACTTATCCTGACTCATGATCTTTTGCTTATCTCCCTTTCCCTTTCGAATGGTAGTGGAACACTTGAATCCTTTGAAGTTCCCGAAGCGGACGTAAAAATACACTCACCCACGAGTTACCTCCCTTTTGCCCTATTCCCGCGCAAACCAGTCAGGTGACATGCCTTACTTGTCACTCTCTCCCTTATCGCCCAAACGGATGGTTGGGCGAGCACTGGAGTCCCGTATACGGCATTATATCCTTTTTATTTAGGTCCTATTCTTCAAAATTACGCTGTATATCGATTTGGCTATAACTACTATGTAGTATTTGTAAAACAATTGTAAAAATTAACTACATTTGAGTTGTGTTTTCATCGTCAAGTAACTTTGTTTACATTTCATGAAATCCTGCAGTGTTTGCAGGCACAGGTTATCCGTGGCTGATCTCACCCCCAGTGCCCTTCGTGCATAAAACCATGTTCTTCCAGCTTGCGCTGTACTTATTGTGTTGATTTATCAAATCTTCAATTTAATTAATATTTGTCTTATATCTATAGACATGCCATGGATCGGGTGAGGAAGTCATCTCAAGTCACGGTTGATAAAACTGGAGATCAGCCTACAAACCGTATGTTGCTTTCTACTGCTGATGTTCATAATACTGGTGCTATGTTTAGTGCGTTACAGGGGCAGTCTGCTGGTAATGGGGCTAAGAAGAGATCGTCTACATTACAGTCGACTCCGTCTCAGGCTAAGAAAAAGACGTCATCCTCTTCTACAACGCAGAAGAAAGCATCTGTTACCAGATCGGAGGGCAAATCTACGCGTGCTAGTACATCAACGCAGCAGAAATCCTTCAACGAAGAGATATTACTTCCACACGAATTAGACGTCTTTGATGAACCCCCATTACTTCTACCTGAAGTATTTATGAGATCAGCGACTCAATCGACCTCTACTACTACAAGATCGTCCCCTACAACAGTCACAGCAGGACAGCTGTTTGACGAACTACCTCTTACTTCTCGGAGTGAAGTTGAGGCACAGAACTCATCAGCGTTCGCGAACGCTTCATCTACACCGCAGCAGCTTCAACCTATGCAGAACTTTGACCCAGGCGAATTTATGAAACAATTCACCGATCAGATGATGGCCATGATGGAACGCAGATTCCAGTAGGAAGCGAAGGCTAGGAAAAGCCTCTCATCTACCGACACCGTGCGCAAACCTACAGACCTGTGCGAACCTACAGACCTGCGCGAATCTACTCCTCATGGAACTAAACCTCAAGACTACGTTGGCGAACGTACACCTTTGCGAAGGTCTCCACAGTCAGGACGACTCTGTCATCTTGGAGGATAGAAGAGATGACATGCCTACTCTCAATTCTACTTCTGCGAACCCTCAACGTTCGAGCAAAGGATCCAGCTCCTACACCTAGCCGCTCTAGGTTGAGATCTCATATCTCTCACAGACGTTTGCGAAGTCACTCTCCTCAAGACAGAGGTTCGCGAAGAGAAGGCTCACAGCACAGAAGTTCGCCCTACGATAGACGTTCGCGAAGAGATAGCTCACCTCACAGAGGTTCGCGAAGAGGTGTATCTACAGATAGAGGTTCACGAAGAGAGCACTGCCAAGATAGACGTTCGCATAGGGAGGAATCTTCAGATAGAGGTTCGCGAAACAATGATGAAGGTTCGAGAAGGGATACAGGTTCGCAGATGGATGAGTTGTTGAGACCTAGCACTAATAATCAGGACTTTGGACTTGCAAACGGACTTCGTCTTCCAAGACTTAGAGGTTACAGCATGGATTGCCAACGGGTTGAACTTGGAGTCTCCTTCTAAGGATAAAGATGAAGTCTACACTTATATGATGCGCAACGATGACTTTGACTCCGTCACTATCCCTCTGATTGAACCTACACACAGCTTTCGCGAAAGCTTCCAAGTACCAGAGTCAGCACCTACCATCATTTAATATGAAGAGATTCCCCCTACATCATATGGATCCATTTTCAAAGGCGCCTGAATGGGATGATAACATCAAGGACTCCCGAAACAAGATGTATAAAGTGGAAGACAAAAAGTTATCTCAACTTGATACTGCTACAAGGAGATCCTTCTTCGGGTTGGCCAGGTCCAGACCCATCAATGAAGAATTGATAAATACATTCCAGAATTCAAGTTCGGAAGATGATATAAGATGATATACTCAGCCCTCATTACACAGAAGAAGGACCAATACTTTTTGTCGGACCATCTGACATCTATAGCTGCAGGTCTCACTTTACTACGCAGACAAGGGCTACTTGCATCCTGTTCATGGAGTATTAGATTCACCCAACCGCTACTAAGTGCTCCATGGGAGGCGCCTACTATTTTTGGAGGACTAATAGATGATGCAGCTAAGGAAGCTACGCACGATACCAGGGAAGTTATGATGATAAAATCCATAGATACTCTGGCCGACGTCATCCGTCATACTTCTCAAAAGTATAACAACAAATCAAAATATTCCGGCATACAGAAGGCAAAGGACAAGAAGTACTCCAGCTTCAAGTTGCTCACTCAACTAGGATGGTTGGTGAACCTTATGAAGTCAGAGTTGGAACCAAAACAAGATCTACAATTTCTGGGGATAAGGTTTATCACAACACAGAATCGTATGTCGTCCCAGAGGATCGTTGAGTCAAGATACAAGCCATGATTGCACCAGCAGTCATCTCTCCATTAACACTACGATCATGAGTTCTACTCAGTCTGCTAACCTCGGCGCAGGACTTGACTCAACGCTGCAATGGTTCCTGATAAAACATCTAGACAGCGTCGACCCTATCTTGCTGCCAGACAGCCTCAAGAGGTATCTACTGTGGTGGACACACAGGTCGAACGTTTGCGGAGGGACCTATTTACAAGAGCCGGCCTTCGACACACATCTCTACGCAGACGCCTCGATGAAGGGATTGGGTGCGCATCTCAACGTTCAAGTGGCGTCCGGAAGGTTGTCCAAAATAGAACAGCAGCTTCACATCAATCTGCTAGAGATGAAAGCCGTGATCAATGCCTTACAACTATGGTCGAGCTTGCTGAACAACAAAATGCTGATGATCCACACGGACTACTCTACAGTGACATTGTCCATAAACCGGCAAGGGTCCACGAGGTCTCCAAGCCTGTTACAGCTCACATTCCAGTTGTTCCAGATCACACAGGAAGCAAACATCTGGATAAAGGCGTGTCACATACCCGGAGCCAAGAACTTACTTGCAGACGCTCTCTTCCGACCACTGCACCCGTCACCTATGGAATGGATGCTCCATCCAGAAGCGTTTCGGCTCATAAGGGAAATAGGATCCCCTTGCATAGATCTGTTTGCCACGAGGTTCTACAAACAACTACAGACGTTTGTCTCGCCAGTTCCAGATCCTCAAGCCTGGGCAACAGATGCAATGAGCATGTCGTGGGAAGGACTAAACGCCTACGCGTTTCCGCTCCCGATACTACATCCAAAAGCACTGTTCAAGATCAAACAGACTCAGACGCTACAACTGACTTTGGTCGAGCCCTACTGGCCAGAAAGAGCATGGTTCCCAGACCTAATAGAAGATCTCGGAAGTCCAGTTATCAAATTACCAGATTGGCCGAACCTATTAATACATCCGCACACCAAGCAAGTCCACGGGAGCCCGACAGTATTCCAGTTACACGTGTTGACCGTATCAAAACATGCTTGAAGAAAAGAGGATACTCCGCCAGGGCAGCCAGGGCAGCCAAGGCAGTCACGCTAGCGTTACGCAGATCGCCTCGTAACATGTATGATGACAAATGGCTAAAGTTTGAGACTTCGCTGCGATGATAGCCACTCATCCTCAAGTGGCGGAATATCTGTGTCATCTTAGACAGACCAGACATCTGAAGGGTTCGACATTATCTACATACCTCGCTGCTATCAGTACAGTGATTACTATGAAAACAGGCATCAAGTTGACGAAAGTACCAGAATTACTTGCTCTGCTGAGATCTTTTAAGCTGGAGGACCAGCCTGGGATCTAAATGTAATTCTACGTCATCTTACGAGTGATGTCTACGAACCACTAGACCAGATTACTCTCGAGCTGCTGACACAGAAGACTCTGTTCCTGCTTGCGCTAGCCATGGCAGCTCGAATATTGGAGATACATGCGCTGGACTTTGGTCGAACCAGATTCGACAGAGGGCAACATAATGCAGTTCATCTTGGACTTAGATGGGACTTTATTGCCAAGAACCAACTACCTGGTCAGCCAGATAGACAGTTCCACGTACCAGCGCTATCTACAATCCTCGGCCCACAGGATATAGAGGACTTATCCTTGTGTCTGGTCAGAGCCCTGAAGATATACCTTCAAAAGACTGAGACAAGGAGCCTGTTCATCCCATTATCAACAGAGACTTCAGCAGAAGTCTCAAGAACGACCATATCGTTCTGGATGAGAGCCGTCATATTGAGAGCCTATAAAGCAGCAGGACTAGAACCTCCTAGAGCTTCCAACCCACACGAAGTCAGAGCACTTGCGTCAACACTGGCTCTGCACGGAAATTGCTCTATACCAACAATTATGGAGGGCTGCTTTTGAAAGTCGGACACAGTGTTTGCTAACCACTACCTCCGAGACATAACCGCTGAAGACGTCTCAGGCATTCACCAATTTGGGCCTCTCGTTGTAGCACAGCAACTAACGGTTCCTCAAAGGCGCTGAGTTGGAAAGTCTCCCCCTTTATCACGTTGACTTGTTGATTACTTTTACTAAAAGAAAAGTACTAGTTTGAAAGTCCATGTGCACAGTCTAGCAGAGGCTAGCATGAGTGATTAAAGATCCTGTACGGGTAAAGATCTTACCTGTACGTGAAGGGGTCGCAACTCATTTATGATAAAGATTTTATCATAATCTATGGGTTGTTATGAGATATCTAGTAATAGGAAGATACTAGTTTATCTGTAGCCACATGAATCAACATGATTCAACCTGTCTGAGATTGAAGTAAGACAAGAAAGTGGTCCCCTCTAGTTATAACGGAAGTTCGAAGAATAGGATCACGGAAATGCTGTTCGCAGTTCCCATGGGGGGGATACAGGACGTATCTAAGGACAGCTGATGAATCCACAAAGTGGCTTGACCCACCACCAATCTGTCGGATTCTATAAGCAAAAGATCATGAGTCAGGATAAGTAAAAATATGTAATTTTAAAGTAAAATTGATATTTTTATACTTATCCTGACTCATGACGAGAAGCCCTCCCAACCTCCCCGTTGAAGTCACTTGAGATTTCACAGCAGATCCAAGTGCATGGGCAGAAATTCAGGAGAGAGTGACAAGTAAGGCAGGTCACCTGACTGTTTTGCACGGGAAAAGGGCAACAGGGAGGTAACTCGTGGGTGAGTGTATTTTTACGTCCGCTTCGGGAACTTCAAAGGATTCAAGTGTTCCACTATCATTCCAAAGGGAAAGGGAGATAAGCAAAAGATCATAAGTCAGGATAAGTATAAAAATATAAATTTTACTTAAAAAATTACATATTTGGTTTCAGATGAGCAGTGCAGCGACCGATCTGTTCCGTGTGGTGATGGAACACGCCACCAGCAGCCAGACAGCTAGCACTGGGGTGCCAGCAACCAACGTGGAGCAGTGCTACTGTACAGAGCAATACACGGTGAGACAGAAACTGTCATATGTGTCTGTAACGGTGTAAGTGAGTGAATTTAGTGTAGCATGGGCACGAAGCCATATAGTGACGAGACCAACTTTACACATAACAGTGTGAATGCTTAGACTAGCGTAATGGTGTTGAGGAGCGTGAATGCTAAGACCAACATAATGGTGTTTAGGAGTGTGAATGCTTAGACCAGCGTAATGGTGTTTAGGAGTGTGAATGCTTAGACCAGCGTAATGGTGTTTAGGAGTGTGAATGCTTAGACCAGCGTAATGGTATTTAGGAGTGTGAATGCTTAGACTAGCATAATGGTGTTTAGGAGTGTGAATGCTTAGACCAGCGTAATGGTGTTTAGGAGTGTGAATGCTAAGACTAGCGTAATGGTGTTTAGGAGTGTGAATGCTAAGACTAGCGTAATGGTGTTTAGGAGTGTGAATGCTAAGACTAGCGTAATGGTGTTTAGGAGTGTGAATGCTAAGACTAGCGTAATGGTGTTTAGGAGCGTGAATGCTTAGACTGGCGTAATTGTGTTTGGGAGTGTGAATGCTTAGACTAGCGTAATGGTGTTTAGGAGTGTGAATGCAAAGACTAGCGTAATGGTGTTTAGGAGCGTGAATGCTAAGACAGGCGTAATGATATTTGGGAGTGTGAATGCTAAGACTTACGCAATCCTCTTTGGGAGTGTGAATGCTAAGACTAGCGTAATGGCATTTTGGAGTGTGAATGCTAAGACTAGTGTAATGCTATTTAGGAGTGTGAATGCTTAGACTAGCGTAATAGTGTTTAGGAGTGTGAATGCTTAGACTAGCGTAATGGTGTTTAGGAGTGTGAATGCTTAGACTAGCGTAATGGTATTTAGGAGTGTGAATGCTAAGACTAGCATAATGGTGATTAGGAGTGTGAATGCTTAGACTAGCGTAATGGTGTTTAGGAGTGTGAATGCTAAGACTAGCGTAATGGTGTTTGGGAGTGTGAATGCTTAGACTAGCGTAATGGTGTTTAGGAGTGTGAATGCTTAGACTAGCGTAATGGTATTTTGGAGCGTGAATACTAAGACTTCTGTAATGGTGTTTAGAAGTGTGAATGCTAAGACTAGCGTAATGGTGTTTAGGAGTGTGAATGCTAGCGAATGCTAAGACTAGCTGGTGTTTAGGAGTGTAGCCAGACTAGCGTAACGTAATGGTGTTTAGGAGGAATGCTAAGACTAGCGTAATGGTGTTTAGGAGTGTGAATGCTAAGACCAGCGTAATGGTGTGTGAATGCTTAGACATGTGAAGCGTTTGAATGTGAATGCTAAGACTAGCACTAGCGTAATGGTGTTTAGGAGTGTGAATGCTAAGACTAGCATAATGGTATTTAAAGTGTAAATGCTAAGACTAGTGTAATGGTGTTTTTAGGAGTGTGAATGCTTAGACTAGCGTAATGGTGTTTAGGAGTGTGAATGCTTTAGACTAGCGTAATGGTGTTTAGGAGTGTGAATGCTTAGACTAGTGTAATGGTGTTTAGGAGTGTGAATGCTTAGACTAGCGTAATGGTGTTTGGGAGTGTGAATGCTTAGACTAGCGTAATGGTGTTTAGGAGTGTGAATGCTTAGACTAAGCGTAATGCAATTTAGGACCGTGAATGCTAAGACAGGCGTAATGATATTTGGGAGTGTGAATGCTAAGACTTACGAATCCCTCTTTGGGAGTGTGAATGCTAAGACTAGCGTATGGCATTTTGGAGTGTGAATGCTAAGACTAGTGTAATGCTATTTAGGAGTGTGAATGCTTAGACTAGCGTAATAGTGTTTAGGAGTGTGAATGCTTAGACTAGCGTAATGGTGTTTAGGAGTGTGAATGCTTAGACTAGCGTAATGGTGTTTAGGAGTGTGAATGCTTAGACTAGCGTAATGGTGTTTAGGAGTGTGAATGCTTAGACTAGCGTAATGGTGTTTAGGAGTGTGAATGCTAAGACTAGCATAATGGTGATTAAGTGTGAATGCTTAGACTAGCGTAATGGTGTTTAGGAGTGTGAATGCTTAGACTAGCTTAATGGTATTTAGGAGTGTGAATGCTAAGACTAGCTTAATGGTATTTAGGAGTGTGAATGCTAAGACTAGGGTAATGGCATTTAGGAGTGTGAATGCTTAGACTAGCGTAATGGTATTTAGGAGTGTGAATGCTTAGACTAGCGTAATGGTATTTAGGAGCGTGAATGCTAAGTCTAGCGTAATGGTATTTAGGAGTGTGAATGCTTAGTCTAGCGTAATGATATTTAGGAGTGTGAATGCTAAGACTAGGGTAATGGTATTTAGGAGTGTGAATGCTTAGACTAGCTTAATTGTATTTAGGAGTGTGAATGCTAAGACTAGGGTAATGGTATTTAGGAGTGTGAATGCTTAGACTAGCGTAATGGTGTTTAGGAGTGTGAATGCTTAGACTAGCGTAATGGTGTTTAGGAGCGTGAATGCTTAGACTAGCTTAATTGTATTTAGGAGCGTGAATGCTAAGACTAGGGTAATGGTATTTAGGAGTGTGAATGCTTAGACTAGGGTAATGGTATTTAGGAGTGTGAATGCGTAGACTAGCGTAATGGTATTTAGGAGCGTGAATGCTAAGTCTAGCGTAATGCTTTTTAGGTGTGTGAATGCTAAGACTAGCCTAATGCTATTTAGGAGCGTGAATGCTAAGCCTAGCGTAATGATATTTAGGAGCGTGAATGCTAAGACTAGCGTAATGGTATTTAGGAGTGTGAATGCTAAGACTAGCGTAATGGTATTTAGGAGCGTGAATGCTAAGTCTAGCGTAATGCTTTTTAGGTGTGTGAATGCTAAGACTGGCGTAATGGTATTTAGGAGCGTGAATGTTAAGTCTAGCGTAATGATATTTAGGAGCGTGAATGCTAAGACTAGCGTAATGGTATTTAGGAGTGTGAATGCTAAGACTAGCGTAATGGTATTTAGGAGCGTGAATGCTAAGTCTAGCGTAATGCTTTTTAGGTGTGTGAATGCTAAGACTAGTGTAATGGTATTTAGGAGCGTGAATGCTAAGACTGGCGTAATGCTATTTAGGAGTGTGAATGCTAAGACTAGCGTAATGCTTTTTAGGAGTGTGAATGCTAAGACTAGCGTAATGGTAATTAGGAGTGTGAATGCTAAGACTAGCGTAATGCTATTTAGGAGTGTGAATGCTAAGACTGGCGTAATGGTAATTAGGAGTGTGAATGCTAAGACTGGCGTAATGCTATTTGGGAATGTGAATGCTAAGACTAGCGTAATGGTATTTAGGAGTGTGAATGCTAAGACTAGCGTAATGGTATTTGGGTTTGTGAATACTGAGACTAGCGTAATGGCATTTGTGAGTGTGGAAGCTAAGATTAAAGGTAGCAAAGTTTGTCACAAGTTTTGGAAATCTATGTAACGTTGATAGCTACACTTGTCACTATTGAGAACGCTGTTTGATTCATCCACACAGGGCACAGGCTGCGAGAAGTGTGCTGCCGGTTACCGCCGTACAGTTGCCTTCAGCGGGCCGGCGGGACAGTGCGAGAGCTGCCAGTGTAACAACCACGCTGTATCATGTGACCAAGAGTCTGGCGTCTGCACCTGCAAAGACAACACCACAGGGTCTCTTTGTGAAACATGTCTGCCAGGTTTCTATGGAAACGCACTAGCCGGAACGCCAGGTACCTGTGATTGAGTTATGGTGGTCAGACACACGATGTTGAACAAAGATAGAACAATGCGTGTGTTGGTTCATATGCTGTATTGAACACTTCAGTTATTTGTCCACTGTATTGTGAGAAAATGGTTTAACATACGCGGGTTGTACACGTTTACCATTCAATGAATGTGCGTACTCAGTATGATGCTTAGAGGCATGGATTACAGGCAGGAAGGATATGAGATTTAACTCAGTGATCAAAGGACCCTTCTAAGGCACCGTTACACAACTCTGTAGGTCACCTGATGAGGGAGGAAGGATATGAGATTTAACTCAGCGATCAAAGGACCCTTCTAAGGCACCGTTACACAACTCTGTAGGTCACCTGATGAGGGAGGAAGAATATGAGATTTAACTCAGCGATCAAAGGACCCTGCTAAGGCACCGTTACACAACTCTGTAGATCACCTGATGAGGCAGGGAGAATATGAGATTTAACTCAGCGATCAAAGGACCCTGCTAAGGCACCGTTACACAACTCTGTAGATCACCTGATGAGGCAGGGAGAATATGAGATTTAACTCAGCGATCAAAGGACCCTGCTAAGGCACCGTTACACAACTCTGTAGGTCACCTGATGAGGGGGGGGAAGAATATATTCCAACATGTTGTGTCCTTCATGTTACAGTGAATGAGTGAGTTTAGTTTTACGCCGCACTCAGCAATATTCAAGCTATATGGCGGCGGTTTGTAAATATTCGAGTCTGGACCAGACAGTCCAGTGATCAACAGCATGAGCATTGATCTGCGCAATTGGGAACCGATGACATGTGTCAACCAAGTCAGCGAGCCTGACCACCCGTTAGTCGCCTCTTACGACTAGCATGGGTTACTGAAGATTCATTCCAACCCGGGATCTTCACGGGTTTCATGCTACAGAAGTTGATGCCCATCAATATTCACCCTTGATGTCTATGACATCTAAATGTCATTCAAAGATCTTTCTGTAGGTTGAATTGCGTTCCTTAGACAACTCAACCACGCATTTTATAATAATTATATATTCTGGGATAAGTACTATACGATCTAGATGTAACCCATCCACTTCCTAAATGTTTTTAGAATTTTTCAACTTTTGATATACTCCCTCACAGGATGTTCCCTTAAGTTAGTTCAATATGAGAAAATCTTAACCGCCACAGGTTCATATTTATAGCTAACATCAGGATTTGAAAGAGAAGGAAAAATATTTAAAAAGGAACAGGATCTCCTGAAATGCCATTCAAACTGTTACATTCTGAACACTGTAAGGTGTAGATGCTGAGAGTGATTTGAATAATAACAGTACCTGTAAACTGATGTGTGATGATGTGGTAAATATTGATTAAGCATAACATTTATGATGTATCCAATTCATTGTGCCTCGTGGCACATTTCTGATGTAAATGTTTCTTTGAAAAAGCAAAAAGGTGCTCATCATGAAATAGTCAGAAATATGTCTTCGATCCAGTCCCATTAATTATCTGTTTTAACCAATGAGATTGCATCATTCTCTCGTTCATATTACCATTGTTTTTCATTGCCTTTCAGGAATACTTGATTGTATCTGTAAGGTTTGTGTTTGTAGGTGACTGTAAGCCATGTACATGCCCTGGGAATGTAATTGCGAAGGACGTGAATGTTTTTGCCACGGAGTGCGTTCTCAACACCACTTCAGGTGGTCCGACTTGTACCAACTGCTCTGTTGGCCATGAGGGTGAAATGTGTGAATCCTGCATCCAGACTTACTACGGACAACCTGCAAATGTCACAGTTAGTATTTCGTCCTCCCTCCCCACACACACCGCACACCACCACACACACACACCCCACACCACCACACATACACACACCTGCATACATCAACCCAACAAAGGTACAAGAATCTGTACTAAACTAAAAAAGTGTAATCCCAGAAATAACATATGTTACATTTGACCACTTTCTAAATGGCATTGTGTATTTCATAGCTTTCAGCCGTGGGAGCCGTGCTAATTAACACTTATCAGAGGGGTACACAAAGTCCGCAGTCTAGACTACCAGTTGTCCGACTTCCATTTTTGTGGAATCTGCGGTGGCTGAACGGGTTAGGCAGCTGACTTTTTGTGCTGGCGATTAGGTGCCTGACTCTGAGGGTGTGGGTTCAAATTACGGATGGGACTCAACCCAACAAAACTACAAGAATCTGTACTTTACTAAGAAAACTATAATCCCAAACATAGCATATGTTACCTCCAGAAATGCTTAAGAACCTATCCATTTCGACATCCCCACTGAAGACAAGTTGTATTTTCTTGTCTTCTCGGACAGTACATTTTGTTAATTCTTCAAGGCATGACATATTGGTAAAGACCACAACACACGATCTTCATAATATTCAACATGCCCATTTTGGGGGTAAAACCTGTTGTCAGTTTAAGTACAAATCTTTACCATTACCATCACGCCACCTACATTTGAAAGGTGAGTTAGTCGACGCCCATAAGTTGGAACACTATGACATTAACAAACAAGAACGAATGAGAATCGTAATGAATGTCTCATTGCAGAACAATGATGGTAAATGTAGAACATGTTTCTGCAACAACCGATCGGTGAATTGTGACAGGGTGACTGGCAGGTGCATCGGTTGCATACTTAGTTCCAAAAAAAAACGCGACATTCATGTTTGTTTTTGAAATTTCCATAATTGTCTTATCTACTTTACAATCGTAACGAATGTGCATGTTAAATGTTCTTTGAAACCAATTTTCGAAATAAAACTTCTGAAACAAGACTTTTAACGTCAGATTAGCCGTAACAATTGAATCTAATTATTGAACATTTTTATGGGAAAAAACAACAGAAACGCATCACATAAACGCATGCCCTGACACGTTGTGCACATGAATTTAATGATACGACAGTTTCTTCAAGAAAACGAGAGAAAGAACCCTTTAAAAGATGCGACGGCAGTTTCTGTTGTGTTCTTTTTCTGAATGGTTCAGAAAACAATATGCCACGTTTGAGCAATGAAGCACGTCTACGTGCTCTTGGGATGATTGATGCTGGTTCCAGTGTTGTCAACGTTGCACAACATATGGGAGTACATCGGACGACAATTTACCGACTGATTGAACGCCAAAATCAAACGAATTCGGTGAGAGATCGACCTAGAGATGGCAGGCCACGAGTGACGTCACACAGGCAAGACCGTTACATCGTAACGTCACATCTTCGCAACCGTTTTCTTCCAGCTACTGTTACAGCCCGTCAGACAATTGGGATTCACAACAGACCAATTTCAGGAAACACTGTGCGTCGACATTTGAGAGCACACCGGCTACACTGTAGGAGACCCTATGTTGGACCGATTTTGACGCCATGGCACCGTCGTCTGCGCTTAGCATGGGCTCGCCAACATCAGCATTGGAGATATGCACAGTGGCAGAACGTTGTTTTCTCAGACGAGTGTCGTTTTTGTGTCCACGTTGCAGATGGGAGAGTGAGAGTATGGCGTCGACGAAATGAACGTTTCAGAGACCCATGTGTTCTGGAAAGTGACCGCTGAGGTTGGCCATCCCTTATGATGTGGGGTAGAACAAGCTAGGGAAGGCATGTACCACATGTAATCTTCCAAAACAATGGTCAAGGTCGTGGAAGGGGTGTAACTGCACGACGCTACATTGACGAAGTCTTTAAGGCCTGTTGTCCCGTTCTTTAGACCCTGACCACAGTTGCAGTTCCAACACGATAATGCCCGCGCCCACGCCGCCATTATCACAGGACAATCCCTGGCCAATCACCACATCCAGATAATGGTTTGGCCACCTCTTAGTCCTGATTTGAATCCAGTGGAACATCTCTGGGACGAGTTGGACCGACGCCTTCGTCAAAGACCAGTTCCTCCACAAAATCGGCGGCAGTTGGAGAATGCAGTGTTGAATGAGTACAATAACATTCCCCGTGCTTTCATTCGACGTTTGTTCATGTCCATGGGAAGACGGTGTACTCATGTGATAAACAATAATGGTGGTCATACCAGGTACCGATAACATCGAATATCAGCTTAAGCTTCTAAACGTATCTAATGCAGACTCTTCAGGTTGGGCACACATAAAAATTTCATCAGATCTTAAATCCACTGTCGTTGCTGTTGTCTTTTATCTTTCTTTGGCGCGTTCTGTGTAAAGCATATAGTGGCTGGAAGCACGTATGTGGGACAACAGTTCTCATTTCAAATGGACATGTCGTCGCGTGTTTCTTTTGGAACGAAGTATATTAACTAAGTATATTGTATATCTGCACCTTTGGGGTGTACATGGGCGGATCCAGGAGTTTTGAAAGGATGGGGTTCGAACCCCCTGAACCCCGACTCCAGTTGGCTCCACCAACGCAAAAAAAAAATCTTCCATGTGAACTTATTTTTCTGGATACGCCACTGGTGTTGACATCATTCGTCGTCTTCCAACATTTCAAAATTTATGTAAGTTTCAACATCAAGTAGATCAAACAGAGATGAGAAAAAAAATGCAGATAAGTAATAAGTTCTCACTGTGTAATATCATATGGTTGTCATTACAATAGGCGTGGTTGTTAGAAAACACAAACATTCTTTTGAGACTTTATTTCGTGATGAAAATTTCAAGCATACTTGCAAGGCTGCAATGTTTAACTTATCTGTAAAGTTGATATGAATCTTACAACCTTATCTTTATCTTGTAGAATATTAACAAACTTAATGGATAGCAACATCCTTTATTCCGTGACAACGATACAAGAATCTGTATAGAAACGTTGTTTATCCCTAAAAAATGTCAATCCCAATGTCTAAAATGCCACTCAAGGAATGTATCTTGAAAAGCTAATACATTTTATGGAGTGATTATCTTGTAAAATTATCACATATCACACAGGGTTCCTTAAAAGGTTGAGGCGGTGGGGTAGCCTAGTGGTTAAAGCATACGGCCAAAGACCCGGGTTCGATTCCCCACATAGGTACAGTGTGTGAAGCCCATTTCTGGTGTCCCCCGGTGAAATTGCTGAAATATTTCTAAAAGCGACGTAAAACCCAACTCACTCACTCCCTTTAATAGTTGATATATGTACATCACCGGAAGCTTCGAGCCTGAACATAGCTGAACCTGTTTCCTCCATGTTACAGCTTGCTCCTGCACAGCGTCTGTGGGTGCTTCTGGCGAGTGCGACAACAAAGATGGCCGCTGTACGTGCAAGACCAACGTTGAAGGATTCCAGTGTGACAAGTGTGTAGTGAACGCCTACAACCACTCCAGCGGGCTAGGTTGCACCATGTGCAACTGTCACAACGAGGGGGCCACAAGTCAGCAATGTAATGTAGTGAGTATACTGACCAGCGAAACAGACGCTAAACATTTACTCCATTCCTGACTGTCGCATAAGAGGCGACTAACGGGATCGGGTGGTCAGGCTCGCTGGCTTGGCTGAAACATGTCATCGGTTCCCAATTGCGCAGGTCGATGCTCATGCTGTTGATAACTGGATTATCTGGTCCAGACTCGATTATTTACAGACCGCCACCATATAGCTGGAATATTGCTGAGTGCGGCGTAAAACTAAACTCACTCACTCACTCCTGACTGCCGCTAGGTAACCCATTGACTGAAGGCACATGGACTTGTTCTGATAAACCCAAACAGCTGAGTGAGACACTGATGGTGATATTCACCTCTCAGCTACAATAATGTACCTAGCAAGAAAGGCTTCCCAAGGTGCAAAATCAATCACACACACACACCTTTTCCATTATTTTTCAGCATATGTTTTTGATATTTCTATGTAACTTTTTACCTAACTTCCGACATGGACTGGAAGTATATTTGAGTTGGGTTTTATGTTCCATCGGCATTATTTCATCCATATAGCGACAAGTATCAAAGTCGTTGGAGTGGCATTTTAGAAGTTGGGAACTACAATATTGACAAAATTTAACTTCCTTTTTTTCGTAAGTGTGATGTTTCGATACAGATTCATGGTTACTGCTTGACAACAGTACAAGCATCTGTAACATCGCACTCTCGAAATAAAGAAGTTTTTATCCGTAAAGTTTGTGAATGAGGTAGAAAACATTCACAAGATATTGTTATTTGTTGGTAATCAGGATATTTATGTAGAATTGCTGGTTGTGTTGTTTATACAAGTGAACGAGTTTATTTTTATGCCACACTCAGCAATATTCCAGCTATATGGTGGCGGTCTGTATAAAATCGAGTCTGGACCAGACAATCCAGTGATCAACATCATGAGCATCAATCTACGTAATTGGGATTTGATGACATGTGTTAACCCAGTCAGCGAGCCTGACCACCCAATCCCGTTAATTGCCTCTTACGACAAGCATGGGTTACTGAAGACCAATTCTAACCCGGACCTTCACGGGTGTTTATACAAGTAATGCCATACAAGTCAATATGTGTTGTTTGCAGACATCAGGAATATGCCCATGTCGTTCCAATGTTAATGCCCAGAGATGCAACTCCTGCGTCGACAAGTTCTGGAACATCAACCTCAACACAGGATGTGACGGTGAGTGTGTGAAAATGAGTTAGATTATACTTTGATCAGTATATACGTTTAAAATGTGAATCCCACAGAAATACACCGACGTCGCAGCCAGTAGGGCTAATTACCACTCACGTGTGATTGTTTGTTTACAGTCGGATTATCCAACCGGCTGTGTTGATTGTCAGATTAACGAATGTTTCTACAATGTATTTACAATAATCAGTTGCTAGATTGGTATGTCTGAGTCAGAATGCAAGAATGTTGGATTAACGAGAGTAATTATCACTGTTTTAAATGGTTCCCTAATTGTTTGTCGAATTAACGAGAGCTGACTTTATAACTCCTAAATAAGCTGTGTGTCAGCTTATAAGGATAATGTCCCAAAGCAAAATATGTCATGTCCGTAGTATGGACCAGGGCCCACTTGCACACAACAATCTTACGCTACAGTTATTGTAAATCCTAAGATCGCTATCTTAGACTTCGGCTACAATCGCCATCTACTTGCACAAAGCGATTGTAGGCTAAGATCTTCGTAAGATATAATCGAAACTAACAACTGGTCCGGACCAATCTTAAGTAGTTTAGATTGTTCTAAACAAAATGGCGTTCTAGTAGACAAGAGTTGAGTTTAAGAAATTCGTACATTGAAGAGTTTGATCTTAGCTATAATTGCGATCTTAAATCCATGCCCTCTTACAATCGTGCTGAGATGGGTATTGTGCAAGTGGAGTAGGACAATTGTATGGTGATTGTAAAATTGATAGTAGGGGCCTAAGATTGATTGTAACTAATACAAGTGCAAGTAGGCTCAGGGTTCCATTTCACAGAGCGATCGTAGCGCTAAGGTGATCGTAACTCCCATACTTTATAATAGACTTACGACAGTCGTAGTGCTACGATCGCATTGTGAAACGAACCCAAGGACACATTCAATATTTCATTTTGAAACTTCACAAAAAATTTAGTCTTCTTATGTAAATGTATTACTTATGAATGACAACAGGGGAATAGTTTCCAACTTGGAACCCTACATCAACTGACAGAAGATGTGTTGAACTGGCAACTTTGGTATTTGTTAATTTTTGAAAGGTTTAGTCCTTGTGCAAAGGTATAAGTTATGAATGACAGCCGGAGAATAGTACTGTACTTTGGCCACTATGTTGACGAGCGAGGGATGTGTTGAACTTGGAAGTTTAGTAGCTTTAGGAGTTTAGTCCTTGTGTAAACGTATCACTTATGGATTACAACAAGGGTGTAGTTCTGTACTTGAACCACAATGTCGACTAGCGGACGATGTGACTGAGTGACATATTTGAAGGTCATGTATCAATGCTGTACCACTCTTCCCCCCAGCCTGTGACTGCCATGTACAGGGGATGCTTCCACAGTCTAACGGCAAGTGCGACCTGGTTTCTGGACAGTGCACCTGCAAAAATGCCGCCTTCACCGGACAGAAGTGCAATGGCTGTTCCCCAGTGTTTTTTGGTATGGTATGAACTCTCCGGTCAGGCATGAACCATATCTAGCACTGTGTGTAGACACACAGAAATGTAGTCATTTTCATGTGAAATCTAAGCGTGCATTATACCCGGTGTGGGTCGTGAAAACATGGGCAGGTTTATTACACAGACATCTGAGCATATACGACACTCTATGAAAACACATGAATACAAAATAATTAGATGCTTGATGGGCATTTAGAAGTTGGGAGGTAATACAACAACGTATGGTGTGGATTTACAACTTCTTTAATATTTACAACGTTGTAAATATTAAAGAAGTTGTAAATCCATACCATACGTTGTTGTACAACATAATTGCATGTAAAATTAGCACGGATCATACCCACGGAACATAAACACAGCTATTTACAGAGACATCTAAGTATAAGTGACTGTATATAGGCACACACAAACAAGGCAATTTATTTACATGTGTGAAATATATCCATTCATGACATGTTCGGGAACTTCATTTGCAAGTGACATCTTAGGGAAGGCACATGAAAACATGAGCACTTCCTGTACATATGACATCTTAACATGAATGATACACCATGAAGGCACATGAAAACAGGAGCACTTATGACATCTTAGCACGAATGACACACCATGAAGGCACATGAAAACATGAGCACTTCCTGTACATATGACATCTTAGTATGAATAAAACTCCAGGAAGGCACATGAAAACAGGAGCACTTCGTGTACATATGACATCTTAGTATGAATAAAACTCCAGGAAGGCAAATGAAAACAGGAGCATTTCCTGTACATATGACATCTTAGTACGAATGACACACCGTGAAGGCACATGAAAACAGGAGCACTTCCTGTACATATGACATCTTAGTATGAATAAAACTCCAGGAAGGCACATGAAAACAGGAGCACTTCCTGTACATATGACATCTTAGTATGAATGACATTCAATGAACACAAGAAAACAGGCACTTTACTGACACCTCAGCAATAACACAATGTCTCAATCACTGGATTGTCTGGTCCAAACTGGATTATTTACAGACTGCAATCATACAGCTGTAATATTAAACAACAAACATTACACCTGAGTCACATGAGCTTTCTTACAGTTTGTGACAAAAACACCCTTGCTCAATGACTGACTGACTGACTGAGTTTGGTTTTACGCCGCTTTTAGCAATATTCCAGCAATATCACGGCGGGGGACACCAGAAATGGGCTTCACTCATTGTACCCATGTGGGGATTCGAACCCGGGTCTTCGGCGTGACGAGCCAACGCTTTAACCACTAGACTACCCCACCGCCCCCTTGTTCTATGAATTTAGCCATACATGATCAAATTGCAATGAATAGAAACAAGATGTTTTCCTCATTTGAAAATTCCAATTCCTTCATAGCAATTTTAAAACAATTAAAGTCGAAAAGTTCTAATATTATTTTATTATTTTCATAAATTCAACATGAGCCTTTTGTTTGCAGGGAACTATGAATACATCAACCTATTTTCCCTGGGTAAGTCTTTAGTTTTGTTAAATAATGCTCCGAATCAACAGTGAGTGAGTGACATGAGTTTCTGCTTTCAACAGTATTGTATGGGAGTAAAGCCCGAAATAATGCAGGTCTTAGATTTATGGCGTCTTCAAGGGACACAACTCTGTACAGCAAATTGCAGAGCTGACTCATATTTGCAGGAATCAACGGTCATTGTTACGATAGTCTTAACTTATCCCTAATAATACTACTAATAATAATGATGATTAAGAATTTTGTTGGTGCCCTTGGTTTGGTACCTCCTGATCTCTTGGCGCAGATCAAAGAGTGCCCGGGTTCTCCGACGGGAGCACAGCCCTTCTGACACTCTGGGCAATGCAAAAGGCTGCAGTGTTGTCTGGAAAGTTCTTGGTGGGTTCGACCAGGCAACGTTTCCTGCGAGAAGTCCCATTCGCTGTCTGGGCTGCGTGTAGAGGGAGCGAGGGCCCTGAGTTGATGATGAGCCTTACCAGCCTGTCTGTGCCAGGATCACCCGAACCCTCTCTGCTGCATACTATCTTATAATCTGTAAAATATGATCATAATAGAAACGTATTCAATTGTGATTTAGAAACAGAAAGATCGAGCACTTTCAGGATCAGATGTAGACTAACGCTTAGTCCCTGAATATATGGCATTTTGATAGTAACAAATAAACCCATTTAAATTGAAAAGGAGCCCCGGTGAGTTGGGAGATTCCTGAACCCGAGGAAACAGACTTGATTCATTAAGTGCTTTAGCATTGCAGGGAGGGCCAGGCATTTGGGAAAATAATGTGGTTCAGGGACTGTGAAACAGACGAGGTCAGATGGACAGAATTCCTCAGAGATACAGCTGATGAAGCAATAAGATTCTGAACCACATTCTTTCAGTTTTATTAAATCCATCTCATTCCATATTGTATAAATTCATTTCAGTCAATATTATATTTTCTCTAGTCATAATGTCAAATGTAGAAATTAAATCCCTGATATATACTCAGCAGCAAAATAAACGTCAGTACGAATTCAAAATTAGATAGGCCCTGTAATCAAACCATTACAGAAATATGCGGATCAAAAACATTTTTTGTGTACAATATCTGGACAAATCAATGAATAACTCAGGACAATTACACGACATTACGTGAACGTTTACAGTCTATTCAGACTCTTGACTTCAGTATCTAGTGTGACCACCACGAGCGGCAATAACTGCAGCACAGCGTCTATGTATGGAGTGCACGTACCAATCGATTGATGAAGGTCATTGGCACCTGGAACCACACTCTGAGAAAAGCCTGGCGCAATAAATCGGCTGTGTTCGGCCTTGGTGTGACATTATTCAGTCTCATCTGCATTTCATCCCAAAGATGTTCAATTGGGTTTAAATCAGGACTAAGGGCTGGCCACTGCATAATGTTGACACCCTTCTGCTGTAGGAAGTCCTGTGTAGCTTTGGCAGTATAGGCTCGGGCGTTATCAGGCTGGGAAATGTTGTTCCAGTGACGTGCGAAATGTGGTATGACATGAGGTCTGAGAGCTTGGTCGATGTAGCGCACTGCTGTGATGCCGCTTCCTATCCCTGGACCAAGGTTCTGGAACACCACAGGACCCACTCTCTGGTTCAGGCTTATTCCACCCCATACCATGATGCCTGCACCTCCCCATGAGTCTCTTTCCATAACACATTGGTCTGAGTAACGCTGGCCACGTCGTCGCAATATTCTTGTTCTGCCATCTGCAGTTAGTACGCAGTACTGACTCTCATCTATGAACAGAACAGTTCTCCAATGCCTGTATCGCCAGTTTTGGTGTTGTAGTTCAAACTGTAGACGTTCACGCCGATGACGAGGGGTGAGCATAGGCCCACGGTAAGGTCTACGGCAATGGAGGTTCCCGCTGTTAAGACGTCGGCGAACTGTATCAGTACTGATTGGTCTTCCCACTGTCTGACGTGCTGTTTCGGATGCCTGTATGAAGGGATTCTATACATGCTGTCGCACAACATGGCGGTCTTGTGGTCACCCTTGGTCTGCTAATACGGGGGCGACCATTTGTGGTTTGGGGTGGCCCGGAAACGTTGCTGCAGCCTGAGGATGGTCCGAACCTTGACCTGGAAGTGATTGGCACGGCTTGTTCAGCGTGGCCAGCTTCTAGTCTTCCTAACGCCTGGTTCCTCTGAGCTGTCGTGAGTCGCGGCATCCTGCTGACGTTGTAATGTGAATGTTTCAAACAGTTTTGGGGGTGCATTTTATAGGGCTGGTCCTTTTGAACAGCACTTTCAGCATGAGTTGCATGAAAAACATGGAGAACACCGTACCATCTCCGAGATCAGGTTGCGTTTTTGAGACCATTTCCTGGGATTCATTCTGAGTTTGGGAAAGAATGTCTTTGCGTTGGAGATGTTGTCAAAAATATGCTATCAAAACATTGAATGAGTTTACAGTTAACCGTTTCTGCGAAGGAAAAATTCAAACTGACATTTCTTTTGCTGCTTAGTATATCTTATGGTAACCGTTTAGGTTCATTTCCCCACTGCGGTCTGTGTGGCGAGTGCTTTGACGGATGGGCAAAGAAGATAGAAGCTATTGGGACAGAGGTGTACAAACAGTTCAACGACACTGATCTGCTGTGGCAAAACTACAGTAAGAAGAAATATTTCATCCCCATAGTGATTCTGGGTTAGAAAATGACCCAAACTTTCTATGCTTGTTTGTATGAGATCCCTGAATCAATGGGTGTACTGGCTCAGTCATCAGGGATGTTGTTCATAATATTAATCATCAGTTTGTCTGATCCAGAATTATTTTTATAAGTATCATGAATGATGTGTTTTTCTTAAGTTGGATAAATTCACAGATTGTATGTATGATGAATTTTCAAGGTTTCCCTGTGCTTAACCTCAAATGGATCATTCTATTGAACAACATATCTTAAGATATATTCAGATATAAATTATATCCTGATTCAGATGATATTTCTGTTTCACATACATGATGTGCATACATGAGACAATGGTGTGCATGCATGAGACAAGGATGTGCATGCATAAGACAATGATGTGTATGCTGTGCCTGATGTGCCTGGTGTTTTGTGCAGACAGATGGCAGGTGTCTCACGCTGCCCCGAAACTCCTGAGCATGCGGTCTAACATCAGCCTGGCACAGGGATCCATACAGCGAGCTGGAAACTTCACACAGCTCTTGTCTGGACTTCAGGCTGACCTTCAGAAGGTACGGTAGAATGGCAAGTTCTTGGTGCATGTTTGAGACCGCGTTGCTTTTGGTTTACGATAAGAATTCGAGGTCAGAAGAGTCAAGTGTGAAATGTAGAGATGAACAAAATTTAGTGTATGGAAGAAAAAGGATGAAAGGGACAACTTTGTACTCCTAATTGATGTGTATCCATCTTCCAGTACCTTTATCTGTATCTATCTTCGACCTCCTGTAAGCCATCTTCCAGTACCTTGATCTCTTTCTATCTTCGACCTCCTGTAGCCATCTTCAGTACCTTGATCTGTGTCTATCTTTGGCCTCCTGTAGCCATCTTCCAGTACCTTGATCTCTTTCTATCTTCGACCTCCTGTACCCATCTTCCAGTACCTTGATCTCTTTCTATCTTCGACCTCCTGTAGCCATCTTCAGTACCTTGATCTGTGTCTATCTTTGACCTCCTGTAGCCATCTTCCAGTACCTTGATCTGTTTCTATCTTCGACCTCCTGTAGCCATCTTCCAGTACCTTGATCTCTTTCTATCTTCGACCTCCTGTAGCCATCTTCAGTACCTTGATCTGTGTCTATCTTCGACCTCCTGTAGCAATCGTCCAGTACCTTGAGCTGTGTCTATCTTTGGCCTCCTGTAGCCATCTTCCAGTACCTTGATCTCTTTCTATCTTCGACCTCCTGTTGCAATCGTCCAGTACCTTGATCTGTGTCTATCTTTGGCCTCCTGTAGCAATCTTCCAGTACCTTGATCTCTTTCTATCTTCGACCTCCTGTAGCCATCTTCCAGTACCTTGATCTGTGTCTATCTTTGGCCTCCTGTAGCCATCTTCCAGTACCTTGATCTCTTTCTATCTTCGACCTCCTGTAGCCATCTTCCAGTACCTTGATCTCTTTCTATCCTCGACCTCCTGTAGCCATCTTCCAGAACCTTACTGTAAATCAGTATGTTCCACTTCCATTAGCCAACTTCCTGAACCGCAGCATGCAGACAGCTGCCATATAGCTGGAATATTGCTGAGTGTTGGCATTAAACAACAACAACAAAAAAGACGTGGACAGGTTATCACTGTTTCGGTCTATGTTTCAACAGGTATCTGATAGGGTAGGCAATCTCAGTGGCGACTTGGACAGCCTCCAACTTCAATACAACGCAGCAAACACCACCTACTACTCTCTCCTCACCTTCATCGGAACGGTGGACATTGACAACCTCACAAGTGTGTCTGAGCAGTCATTACAGGCCGACGTCCGAAATCTGTCATCGCTGATCGAAAGTCAGAACACTGATGGTAACGCCACCTGGCACGAGATACTGAAACTATCCATCCTCGTAGGGGAACACTGGGGACCGATCTCGGGCACTACAGCAGCGTGTTGACATCGCCATGAGGGACTTAGCTGCAGCCATGCAAACATTTAACCTGATGATCACAGTTTATAATTCAAGTTTCCTGTTCGGATACAACACGAATGAAAATGCATTGACTAGTGCGAAAAACGTGGTTGCAAAAGCAGAAAGTGATTACAATAGACTGACAGAGATTCTTAATAGTATTGCAGCTCAGAACTTAACATCTAGTGCCATAATTGACAGTCTGAGTGCTCAGTCGGCCACCCACAGGGACAACATGGCTGCTGTTAGTGTATCAAGCGGTATCACCAAGACCTTGGCGACACAAGTCCTGCAAGAGGCCGGGGACACGCTGGCCATTGTCAATGTCTTTTTGGTGAGTTCACTTACCATTTAAACTTAAGTAGTGAAAATATATTACTTTGTATGAAGCAGTCATGTTCCCTGAAAAATAGCATGGTTTCCATGGAAACATGTTACCTGACAGTTTTAAGTCTAGAGACTCCAAGCTGTCCAACCATACATATATATATGTTGCTATAATTACACAATGTCATTTAGAAAGTGTCAAATGTAACACATATTATTTTTTTGGGATTACACTTTCTCAGTAAAGTACAGATACTGGTACCTTTGTTGGGTTAAGTCCCATTCAGGCACTTAGTCGCCATCACAGAAAGTCAGCCGTCTAACCCACTCAGCCAGCAGCTTCCACTGGAAGTGTAATCCCAAATATATCATGTGTTACACATGTTGCTATAACTTCGATAGAACTGTCTCCTTTGTTGTACTAACTAGCTGGAGATTGCTACAAAAGGATCCCCTTGGGTTTGGTATAAGAATAGATACCCAGTTCTTCCAAGTGCTGATAACATGTGGATTGAATGGTCACAATGTATGGCCTGGCACTTAGAGTGTGGTCATTACAGGATTCTGACCATCTCCATGGTGAAAGACTGTGGTTTCACGCTACTTTTAGTAATAATCCAGCAATATCACGGCGGGGGACACATTGTACCCATGTGGGGAATCGAACCTGGGTCTTCCGCATGACGAGCGAACACTTTAACCACGAGACTACCCCACCGCACCCCGTCTCCATGGTGTAGTTGTTAGACTGTCCGCCTGAAGAGAGGTTTGATCCCAGCTGCGTCATACCATACCGTTATAATATGGTACTTGTTGTTCCCTGCCTGGCGCTGGGCATTAATTGGTAAAACAAGAACTGGTGGGCTCGGAGTCAGTATAATGTGTCTGTATTCATGCTTAACTGTGGCATGGTATCTCAGTGGGCTAGCACTATAAAACCAGCTTAAGTCTGGGCTAGTACAAGCAGCCGCACATACACATACTCACGCATGCACGTCGTCATATGAGCGAAATATTCTTTTGTACGACGCTAAACCCCCTTTCACCTCACCTCACCAGATTTCTAAAAATTTTGTTCTTGCTATAAACCACATGTTTGCCTGCATGTACAGTGAAGCATGGACAATGAATATCATGGCAGAGGAATTTATAAATGGTCATCACACACAGTACACATGTGTGAAATCAAACCCAAGCCTTTGGCAAGATCAGCCTATTCACAGAGCTACTCAACTGACCCTGAAAACATGAGTTTGATGTTAGTGCTATCTAACGAACAACTCTCATAAGGGACTTTAGATCCATGAAGACCTGGGTTAGAATTTGTCTTCAACAACCCATGCTTGTCGTAAGAGGCGACTAACAGGATCGGTGGTCAGGCTCTCTGACTTAGCTGACACATGTCATTGTATTTCCGATTGCGTAGATCGATGCTCATGCTGTTGATCACTAGATTGTCTGGTCCAGGCTTGATTATTCACAGACCACCGCCACATAGCTGGAATATTGCTGAGTGCAACGTTAAACAACCAACATCAAAACATAAGGGACTTTAGCTTTGTTTGTAGTGAGTGAGTGGAGTTGGTTTAATGCTGTACTTACCAGTATGTCAGTTATAGTGAGTGAGTGGAGTTGGTTTAATGCTATACTTACCAGTATTTCAGTTATAGTGAGTGAGTGTAGTTGGTTTAATGCTATACTTACCAGTATGTCAGTTATAGTGAGTGAGTGAGTGTAGTTGGTTTAATGCTATACTTACCAGTATTTCAGTTATAGTGAGTGAGTGAGTGTAGTTGGTTTAATGCTATACTTACCAGTATGTCAGTTATAGTGAGTGAGTGAGTGTAGTTGGTTTAATGCTATACGTACCAGTATTTCAGTTATAGTGAGTGAGTGAGTGTAGTTGGTTTAATGCTATACTTACCAGTATGTCAGTTATAGTGAGTGAGTGAGTGTAGTTGGTTTAATGTTATACTCACCACTATGTCAGTTATAGTGAGTGAGTGTAGTTGGTTTAATGCTATACGTACCAGTATGTCAGTTATAGTGAGTGAGTGAGTGTAGTTGGTTTAATGCTATACTTACCAGTATTTCAGTTATAGTGAGTGAGTGAGTGTAGTTGGTTTAATGCTATACTTACCAGTATGTCAGTTATAGTGAGTGAGTGAGTGTAGTTGGTTTAATGCCGTACTTACCAGTATGTCAGTTATAGTGAGTGAGTGAGTGTAGTTGGTTTAATGCTATACTTACCAGTATTTCAGTTATAGTGAGTGAGTGAGTGTAGTTGGTTTAATGCTATACTTACCAGTATTTCAGTTATAGTGAGTGAGTGAGTGTAGTTGGTTTAATTCTATACTTACAAGTATGTCAGTTAGATCATGGTGCGTCAGTTTGATGTGGGATCAACCAGGAGTGATACGAACCACAGACATGTACCACCTCTTTGATTATGCTCACGACTAAGGGTCTGAAGCAGAAAATTGTTAAAATTGAAAATTTAGTTTAGGAATGAATGTTGGATTCAAACCTTTATCTTTGGGTTCAGACACACCAAAGGAATACAACTCTGCAGATTAAAATTTTACGCTTGATACAACTGTGCCACTTGCGTCCTGGTGTTTATGAATATTTCCTTGTCCTTGACAGTCCGCAGCTCAAATCAGCAAGGCCAACTTGACCACTGCTTTCCTGGATGTTATTCTGGGCATCGAGTCCCTCAACGCCCTCTTGACCAAGCTGGGTCAGGCGGAAGGGGTCTACCAGAACATAAATTCAATAACTCTGCGACCGCATTCAGACATGGCGGCCATAACAGCCAACATCTCCAGCATCATCATCAACATGGCGACTGTTGCTCAGACCAATCAGAAGGCCGATGCAGCACTTCTTACAGCTCAGCAGGCTATGGTCAAAACACAGAAGGCCAGGTATGTGTGTTTGGTGGGGCAGGTTCAGTTGAAGTGTTAGTTAGTGAGTTTAGGTTAATCTTATATCTGGATTGAGCACAAGGTATAAGACTGTGGATTCTAAAAGAATTACAAACATGCTTATTTCATTATTGAGTTATCATCATCATCACCATCAGCACCACCACCATCATCATCAGGCACATCTAGGGGATACATTTCTGACGTGAAAATTACTGCATCATATCAATTCCTGTGGTGTATAATCATCATTTTATCATCATCATCATCATCATCATCATCATCATCATTTAATGCACCTAGAACGTGACCACCAGGACCATGGCACTGTATTAATAGTTCATCTGAGTGCACATGACATGGCACATTAGCTATGGTAATGTGAACAAATCGAGAGCGCCTAACTTCTTTAGAGTAGCACACATGAGATGACGTTTGAGGTTTCACTCAGATGCAACGTTCAAGTTATTAAGTCCTTTATGTTTTAGTCGGTAGTAAAATAACTGAACTGAATCTCAAGTGGCCTGGCCATCTAAGTCATCCCAGTAAACTGTTGGTCAATCTCTAAACATCTCTGGAAATGGTATATCTTTTAAAACCAGGATCACTTTGGACTTTCCTCAAACATTATTGTTATTATTTATTATATGATATTTATATAGCGCACATATCCAGGCAACTAGTGCTTGCTCAAGGCGTTGGTATTTTTTCCCCTCGATCATTGGATGTCAGTCTCAACGGCACATCGTGTTATCAATCTCAACTCCCTGGGGAGCATACAACTCTTGCAGCCACTAGGCGCACCAAGTTATTGTGGCCTTCTCATCCTAACGAGATACCCATTCACAGCTGGATGGAATGGGACACATAGTCACAGTACTTTGTCCAAGTTCACTGCACGTTGCTGTACCCGCAACTTGGTGTTTGCACGTATTCATGTGTCCACCATCTGGTCATATACCAACATTAAGCACTGGCCATTGTAGACTAGCAATCATTTAGGCTTCTGTATTTTAGATACAGCTGGAGGATAAATAGTAGGTCAGGGACTATGAGACAGACCAAATATGGACCTTCTTCATTTAGGGCTCCTGCATTGCATAAGGGAAGATAATTTGGTTCAGAGAATGTGTAGATGTGAGACAGACTACGGATGAACCATTGTAACTTATTCCAGGGATGACTCACAGCAGGCTAAGGAGGAGGTTGAGGGCATACAGACGGCACTGAACCAGGCCGCTGCCCTGAAGACCGAAGTAATCACCCTGAAGGCGCAGAGTGACTCCCAGAACCAGACCATCTTCACAGTACTGGGGGCGGTGAGTTACCATGGCAACTTAGGTGGAGGTGTACGGTGGGTGAGGGTGGGGTCTGTATGTTGTTCTTCTCCACAGTTGGCAGTGTTACAGCTGTATCAAGGTGTCAGAATTGGGGTCAGAATTGGAGTAAATTTTAGACTCGAACCCAGCAGCAGCAGATCCTTGGAGTGACTGCAATGAGAAGATAATTATAGAGATAATCCATGCTTCACATAACAAGGTGAAAATGGAACACAAATCGACTGACCACATCTGACCAAGGATGGTCATCATAACTGCCCGATCAGCCACGTTCGACCTGAATGTATTTAAACTAAAGTGTTATCCAGAAGCGATAATCTGTTCTATAGTGTTGACTGGCAATGACGAACTTGACTCATGTTTACAGTCTATTAAACTAAATAAAGTCCCAAAAGAATGGAGAGTCTCATGGATGTTTTAGCTGGTCTTGAAGGGCCTTCCTTCCTGGTTGACCCCTCTTTTCTGAGGGTTTAATGTGTCCCACATGTGCACCCTGCACACATGATTAGTTGAATTAAGATTTGTGATGAGACTCAATAGGAAAGGCATTGATTGTCATTACATGGCCATTCTCTTTTCTTATTGGTCATTCAGATGTTTCAAATTGAGAAAACATGCCTCAGATTTTGAGCTGCCAATTTGTCAGCCAAGTCACATCGTATACATTTCACATTGGTACATATTCGTGATATCTCAGAAATATCAATACATACTTCTATGAAGCAAAACTCATATATGAGAATGATACTTACAAGTACATGTATCTGACAGGCCCAGAGTTACAGCAGCCAGGTGACGTCATTGGGGACACTCACCAGTTCCAACATCAACAACGTCGAAACCTTCATCAGCTCTATCAACCAGTGCATCACTGACAGTACAGTTCAGGCAGCAGGACTCCGCACGGCAGCTCAGTCCGCTCTCGACAAAGCTACAGAGGCTGAACAGGTATGTGTGTGAGTGAGTGAGTTTTACACACCCTGAACCCCCCACTGGCTCCGCCAACGCAAAAAGATCTTCAATGTTATCTTAAGTCATTTTCAAAAGGGGGGGAGGGTTCGAACCCTTGAACCCCCTCTGGATCCGCCACTGGAGGAGACTGCTCAGCTTCTTTCACTAAAAACCCAAATCACTTAATTCATTTGTCTATCATTAGAATTTGAATATAATTCTTGAGATATAGATCATATTGTACTAGAATCTGTACTTTACTAAGAAAGTGTATTCCCAAATATAACATACGTTACATTTGACCTCTTTCTAAAACATGGCATCGTGTATTTCATAGCTTTCGGCCGTGGGAGCCGTGCCAAATACCACTTATCAGAGGGGTACACTAAGTCCGCAGTCTAGACTACCAGTTGTCCGACTTCCATTTTTGTGGAAGCCGCGGTGGCTGAACGGTCTAGGTGTCTGACTTTGTGTGCTGGCGATTAGGTACCTGACTCTGAGGGTGTGGGTTCGAATCCCGGATGGGACTCAACCTAAAAAGTACTAGAATCTGTAATCCCAAATATAACATACGTTGTATATCATATTGTATATCATATTGAGGAAGATAAGCATTCAGGGCAAATTAGTTTCCCATGTATGTCACAAGCAAGCTGATTCCCGTGAAGATCCGGGTTAGAATATTGATCTTCAGTAACCCATGCTTGTCGTAAGAGGCGAGTAACGGGATCGGGTGGTCAGGCTCGCTGACTTGGTTGACACATGTCATCGGTTCCCAATTGCGTAGATCGATGCTCATGCTGTTGATCACTGGATTGTCTGGTCCAGACTCGATTATTTACAGACCGCCGCCATATAGCTGAAATATTGCTGAGTGCAGCGTAAAACTAAACTCACTCACTCACTCACTCACAAGCAAGCTGATGTTGGGATCCGGATATAGCCTTGGCTGACACTGTATCACTTAATTCGATGGCGATATTCATGGTTTCTGTCACTGGTTTGTCTGGTCCGGGTTCGTCTCTGGTCCGGGTTCGTCTCTGGTCTGGGTTCGTCTCTGGTCCAGGTTCGTCTCTAAGCGGGTGTCATTAGCTGGAATGTTTCGACACCGATCGACATTCAACGGCAATAAGTGTATGGTTGCAAAACAATGTATTGTATTTCTGTAGGGTCTGGACACCATCATCACCCTGACAAGTGTCATCAACTCACGTGTTGGCCTGAACAATGTGTCGGCACCATTCAACATCCTCGACAATGTCAACACTGACTTGACAACTCTGGAGACAAACTTAAACAGCGTGGAATCTATCACAGACTTGAACGGTGAGTAAATGTTCGGCTGAGTATCATCAATTAGCTGAAGTATATACAGTTGATACAGTGTTTTGTCTACAGTGTATCGTAACAGACCTGCATCACCTCACACACTCACACTCACCCACTCACCCAGATACTCACCCACTCACCCAGACACTCACAAACTCACCCACTCTTACTCACCCACCCACCCAGTCACTCGCTCAACCAACCACCCACTCGCTCACCCACCCACTCATCCACTCACTCACTCACTGATTTACTCATCAAGTCAACCACACACTCACTCACCCATCCACACACTCTCTCGTTCTCCCACGCACCCACTGACTGACTCACTGACTCACCTTCTCATGAAATTCTGACTGCATATTATATTCTCTTCAATAGGTTTTAGAGGGGCTAGTTCCTATGCTATTTACACGATCATTTCCTACCTTTTGTTGTGTATATTTTCTGCTCCACAGTTACATCAAACAGCTCAATACAACTACAAATTAAATTGTATTTCATTTCTCCTCGTGATTACCTTTCAACCAGGTTAAAGAGCTTAGAAACTGTCAAAACTAAACTGTTAGGTACAAGAGAGCTCGGTAGGGGCAAAAAATGAAACATACAGAAATGGTTATTCCATGGTGATGTGTTTGTACAGTAATCATAAGTGTGTCTTCACACTGTTTCAGCAACTGATTCCAGTTTAATAACATTTCTAGCATGTTTGTAATGTTTTGGTCAAATCCAGTTTCCAAACATATATTTTCTTTTACCTAAAGTTTATGTCTGATATTTGTCTGAGTTTAAAATCATGACATTTTAATTGAAATGAAAATTCAAATGTTTCCTGTCCATCAGCGATGCTACAGAAGTACCTGGAACAGCTGAGGGAGATCGAGGCAATCAAGACGGAGGTGCAGACGCTGGAGACGGAGCTGGATGGTCTCATCGTAAGACTGACTTTGAAAACAACGTCTGGGACAGCGCAATGCAGCAACTGATGCCACTACGCCTACCTTGCTCTGCACATACGTGACGGAAACTCAGCAGTGTATATTGTCATCAGTATGTGCCACTGACGGATTCCGAGGGGGGATAGGGGATAGGGGGCGGGGAGACACTCCTCTTCTTGCAGACACTGTATGCATAAACTGTGCCCGTACTGTTGGGTAGTTCATAACATTATTACTTGGTAATGTGAATAACATGCACATGTGCAAACGCACGCACATATGCACACACACGCGCGCGCGTACAGATGCACACACACACACTCAAACACTCACATATGCCCACATGCATACACGCGCGCGCGCGCGCACTCACGCACGCACACACAATGCCCACACACAATGCCCACACACAATGCCCACACACAATGCCCACACAAACACTCATGCAATCACGTATACACGCATGCCAGACTCATGCACTCCCACAGACACGCTCCCTGGCCTCCCCAAACCAACTCTTCTTTCTTCAGATCCAACCATTGATTGACACTGGACACTGATTGTGAGAGTCTCCTACACTGAATCCTCCATTGTCAGCATCAGCCCCACACTAAGCAATGAGTTCATTCATGTCTTCCATCTTCGATCAGATGATCATATCCCCTCATTGTTGTCATCATTGCAGTTATACAGTGAGTTAATTGAGATTTTAAAAGATGTGATAGGAGATCTCTTCATCTCCATCATCAGTTCCCCATTGAACGATGCGTTCATGGACGTTTTCAATCTCTGGTTAGACATGACAGTACATCTTGACCTTGTCACCATCAGTTTCGCGGTAAATAATGAGTTTGTCAACGGTTTCCCAACACTGAACAATCAGGTCTGTTCAGCTCTCCACCAGTCCACTCTACTAGTGAGGTTGTGTATATTTTTGTCTGCTATGCCGTTTCGACACATGACTTTGGTTGTGTTCAGACACACAGTTACTTCTTCAAAATTTGGGCCTCGTTTCACAAAGCTAACGTAGCGCAATGATTGTCGTAACTCCTATAATGTAACATAGACTTACGACAGCCGTAGCCCTACGATTGTCGTAACTCCTATAATGTAACATAGACTTACGACAGCCGTAGCGCTACAATACCTTGTGAAACAAGGCCCTGAACCTGCCACTGAACATCCGCTGAACAGTGACATGTGACCTCCGCAACTGTACAGAGCTTATGGATGCTCATCTTGGTCATTCGAACCATACCGGTGAGGATTTGATGACGTCATCCCATATAGTCCATGTCATCAGGGAACGGTAGAGTTTTAACTTACCTGAACAACCACAAACGCAATGGTTATAACCTGAAAACAGTTTTATACAGCAACTCTTCACTCGGTGGTGCAATCAATATGGGAATTATTCAGTAAGTCCAGTTTTTAGTGGAAATCATTATATTAGTTGGAATATATTTTGGATGAAATATTGAATTGAAATTGTGTTACTGTATTCCTTAACTTGGACACCACTGTTTACAGTTTCAGATAAATTTTATGCATTATACATGTGTGTATATATTCAACATAAACATGTTTGTATATACAGTAGTTACATACTGTAATCTGTTTGTCCTGGAGCTGTAGATATTAAGCATGATTTTGCTTGTTTACCAATACAGATTTCATTTATAAAATAGAAATACAATGTATGTGGAAACCAAAAGGTCGAAGTACGACACTGAGTGGCATCCTACAGTCGTACCGATACCAGATACCAGGCCTGACACATAATATATTTCTATGTAATGGAGGATCTTAATATGTACAGATTAGGCCAGACCAATTCTATTTCTTGTTTTACGGATTTTTGTCCTCAGAAAACCTGAACGCAGGAGGGGAAAAAAATATAAATAAATATCACCAGTCACGGTAATATTCCTTTTAAATACGAAACATATTTTACTACTGGCAGGTTATGAAGTGTATATGGGGCAAAAAACAATATGAAAAGAAATTCTTGTAAGTTTACATTTTTGGCCAATACAAACATTAGGATTATATTTTTTGAGCGGGCAAAATTATTTATTTTTTTTATTATTCTAGAAAAAATACGACCGGCAGATCCGTAAAACAAGAAATAAAATTGGTGGACTTATATATATTTTTTCCATTCAGTTCTGTTTGTGAACTGCGCATTAAATATGTGTGGATTCCGGGGGAATATCAATAGTCATACTGAAAAAAATGTTATATTCAGTTGCTGGGAGACACTGGATCTATGCAGTCACTGGTTTGCCTGTTCCAGACTCTATTTACTGGTCGTCATGACGATAACCAACATTCACTCATGTCTCTGGTTTAAGTTCCATTGGTTAAATATAAGTCTTCGGAAGAAGTGCCTCTTAACCAGGTAGCAATATGTATGTAAGCGTTTGTCCAGAAAGATTATTGTGTTTATCAGACCATTAAAGACAACCAGAAATACACTTCAAATGAAATATGACGTATGTAAACAACTTTCAAGCAATGATAGTTTGAGAAAATAAGAAACTTGCAGTTGTATTGAGACAACTCTCAGGACTGTGATGCACTTCATATTTGCATAAACTTGTGAAAATGTGAAACTATTATCGATAAAAACTTTATTATTTGTTATGATGGTTAAGGCCTATTTACTGCCTCTTCACCAGGTGAATACTGAATGAAAATATTACGATTACTATGTGTTACTATGTTACCCTGTCATTCAGATCCGTGAAGATCTGGGTTAGAATTGATCTTCAGTAACCCATGCTTGTCGTAAGGGGCGACTAACGGGATCGGGTGTTCAGGCTCACTGACTTGGTTGACACATGTCATCGTATCATGGATTCCCTATTGATCACTGGATTGCATAGATATTGCTGATGCTCAAAGTCAATCACTGTACCTTATTGCAGTCAGGAAGATCCAGATCTCGATTGATTTTACAGATCGCCGTCAATTTAGCTGGAATATATAATGATTATAGAATATTTACTGCCGAGGTGTTTTATTTATATTTGCAGGAAGGCTAGTTTTGGAAGGACTGGTACCTGCCACCCAAACATTTTCTACATGTTTCCTCACTTTATTGGCATCTAATTAAACCTGGTGACTTCCCTGTTGTTTGATTAGTTTTATGTTGCATTGTTAGCTTTATGTTGTGTTGTTAGCATTTGTTTATTTTGGGTGAAACCTGTGGGGCTGGATAAGCTCACCTTTCTGCACACACCACTACCATCACAATTTTATAATGATTCACAAACACATGATTTAGTTGGAATTGTACGACTGACTGTACTTTTAAGCATAGACCGTATGTTTTGAGGATTTTGTCACTTTTATTTTTGTACATTAACCTTACCATATCAGCATGTATAGATATTTACTCAATCAGAGACCATATACCATCGGTATATGGTCTCTGACTCAATACACATTGGTATTCACCTAATGAAGGCAATAAGTAGCATAAAAGTGCTTTTACAAGCAAAGAAGATGTTATCCATATGTGTCAAGTCTTTAGGGGCGGTGGGGTAGCCTAGTGGTTAAAGCGTTGGCTCGTCACGCCGAAGACCCGGGTTCGATTCCCCACATGGGTACAATGTGTTATGCCCATTTCTGGTGTCCCCCGCCGTGATGTTGCTGGAATATTGCTAAAAGCGGCGTAAAACTAAACTCAGTCAGTCAGTCAAGTCTTTATGATCTTTTACCATTGGGGTCAGTGGGATACTCTAGTGGTTATGGCGTTCGCTCGTCACGCGGAAGACCTGGGTTCGATTCCCCACATGGGTACAATGTGAAGCCCATTTCTCATTATTGACAGGTGCTGATATCGGATTGGGGGCAGAGGTCAGGGGGTTCAGAGGTCAGTAAGATTTGATTCAACTTAGCCTACGGCACGTTTCCACACATGGTCGTAGAAGAAGAAGAGAGGTGCATACCGTGAGATAGGATAAGCATATAAATATACAATTTATAGTAAAATTTTCAAATAAATGTAACAGTAAATGCAGTGCAGAACGGCATTTAAAATCTTTGGCAGGTGTTAGAAGAGCATTATTGAGTGAGTGAGTATGGTTTTACGCCGCTTTTAGGAATGTTCCAGCAATATCATGGCGGGGGTCAATGGTAAAAGAGTGAGTGAGTTTTAGTTTTAGTTTTACACTGCTTTTAGCCGTGAGATAGGATAAGTTTAAAAATAAATATACTCACACGCATAAGAAACGCAAGTTTTTTATCCAAATAGGAAACAAACTCGGACCCTAAATTGATATGGGTTTTTGGCATATAGTGAAGCCTGATGGTGTTATCAATCATTTTTGTTGCGTTTTGGAAGGCCCGAGTAAAAACACATCAATAGAAGGAATCACCAAAACGCACCATACCAATGAACATGTTGGTTTCATCACACACTTCTCGTGAAATCCAACATGCACGAATTGTCACCACCATTAGTGGGTATAAGACTGCACAAAAATTAGGTCTATTACTCCTTGTTAAACAATGTCACGCTTAACTCAAATTGAAAGAAACCAGGCTATCAGACGTTCGGAAGCTGGAGTGTCTGCCCAAAATGGTGCCCGTCATTTCGACGTAAACATAACCACTATTTACCGTCTCCAGCATCGATACAACGCCACAAAGACCACAGATGACCTTCCTCGGAGCGGTCGTCCAAGGGTCACAAACCCTCGACAAGATCAGCACAGTACCCATAAACACTAGCGAGATCCGCTATTGTCAATACCTTTACCTTTCGAAAACTTAATAATGTCTTCAGTCTTAGTAGCCAATGAAATGTCTTCACTCAATCTTTTTGTCTATCTGACCCTGTTTGCATTTCTTGTGTTTAATATTGAAAATTACATTTATATCTGCTTTATACTTGACTTGCGTTAGTTTTGCATGTGAGTATATTATTTATCATTAAAGACCAATTACTGAATATATTTATCGTTACAGTCTTAAATGTATATTTATCATTACAGTCCCAATATATATATTTATCATTACAGTCTTAAATGTATATTTATCATTACAGTCCCAATATATATATTTATCATTACAGTTGAAATACTGTATGCTATAATCATTACAGACCCAAGATAGATTTATCATTAGTTATAAACCCCTAACTTCCTGCATTCAAGACACACAGGCAGTTTATCGTTGATATGTTCAGCTCTGAAATAGAAGCGTACCATTGTTAGAAAAAAAGTATTTTGATATTTTAATATTCAATAAACTGGTTTCTGTTCAAGGTTTTCTGTTACTGTTACTTTGTTTGTATCATCTCAAGTGGTTTTTCCCCCGCCGATACA